TCTTAAAATGAGCATACAAATATATACTCGTATCAAATGAGGAAAAAATTACCCTTATATTGGATGCATGTAACTCTGTACAATTTGAGTGTATATAACAGGTTTTGCGAAAGTTAATACTGTAATTTACATTAGATTTATTAGTATCATAGATATATTATATCAATAGATTTTTGTAGACTATAATTATATTAGATATTTCCTTGCATTTTTTTTTTAATTCTTTCTAACAAAGGTATGTACTATATTTAGGAGGGTCGGTATGTGTACCTCAACAAAAACATAATAATCCAAAGACGTGGCTGCAACCATCTAAAAATCTATTTAGTTTATCTGATAAAAATAGCCATAACAAGCTGTATATATAAATTTTATCGTAGTGAACTAGTCGTGCGCAACAACTCAATAATTAAGTAAGTAATCATAGAAATTGCTAGCTCACGACTCGTAATTACTTTTACCTAGTAAGTAGACTTTTTAAGCGCATTTGGAAGCACTATATAAGTATTGCAATATAATGGTGGACATTGCTAACCCTCATTAAATATAAAATGCATGGAGATGTATACTTTTATGGAAAAGTACACATACAAAGATATTATAATAATTGAGATATTATCGTATACATCAGGTGCACCATTCATCCATGAGTAGTTCGTTCTCATTTAATTTTGGATTAGTTGAGTGTACGGTGCACTCAGACGTATATAATATTGATTTATAATAATTCCAAATCATATATTATCCAAAAAATTCTAATCCTTGTGAAAATTTCGCCATGGTGTCATTTTGAGTATCCCTTTTTATATATGCCTCATAGTATTTCTTAAAAGACCAACTCGTTAGTTAATTACTCATAACTTCATAATGAATTTTCACCACTATTTTGATCATATTTTTTTGAAAATATATGAAAACAAATGTCCATATCTAGGCACTATTGGATTTATTATAATGTATATATTCAATTTATATTTTTACTATTAAAAGATATTGATAGCCAAAATTGTACATTGTCAAGAGTATTCAGTTAAAGTAATGCAAGAAATTTGATACAAGAGGAGTATGAGATGAAGTGAAATAGTGAAGTGCTTAAACTTCATATAAGATGATAAAACTATATTTAGCTTAATTCTCTTTAACATTCACTAATTGTTACTTACAAATTTGTGGTGTTATGTTCATATTTTTCTTCCAGCCATGGAAAAGAGTTATGGACCCTATGATCAACAACCATCATATGTACCGGACACCTCGAGCACACCACCACCACCATCGCCGCCATCATCACCACCACCACCACCACAACCACAACCTAACCCTACGTGTAGGAAACTAAAACAACTTTGTGGAGGTTATGGCGATTACGCTTGTTGTGAAGGATTATATTGTCTTGGTTGGACACCAGAGCAACCAGGTGGTCTCGGACTATGTACACCTTTAGATAATCAACAACCTCCGTCGAAAAGATAAGTGTAGACACCACCTTCAAGAGTGCCAACTCTATGGTCCGTTACGTATGTTGTCAAGGATTGAACTGCGTTCATGCTCGAAACCTTCCTACCGAACCTCTTATTAAAACTCGAAAGAAGAAGCTTCCTCCTGGTACGGGTTTATGCACTTATGCTAATTATTAAGCTATAATATGTACTCACTAGTTCATACTAGCAATACTGATTGAGTTTAGTATATGTTCATCATGTGTTTTCATGTATGTTCTATAGCATACATTATGTTTTTGATTCCGGGATTATTGTACTCATTTTGTTAATTTTTAATTTCAACAGTTTGACTTTTGCACTATTCAATTAATTATGTTAATTGTAGTTGGTTTACGCATCCTCAAATCCTTTTAATGTATGGCCATGAGTAATTTTATAAAAGCCATTTTTATACTCTGCGATGATTACTAATATACACAAATAAATGTTTAAATTTTTATTTTTCTAACAAAACAAGGGGTAAAATGAAAAGGTTACAACTTTTTTTTTTTTTATTGACAAAGAAAAGCCTTAATACTCTATCACTCCCCCTCACATAAAGCTCTTTAGGCATGAAATGTGGATGTAACAAAGTCTACCCATAGCTGGTGCGAATTAATTCCACTTTAAAGGAAGGGCAGATGAGATTCGTACTCGTGACCTTTGTATTACGCTGGCTCTGATACCATGTTAGAGGACCAATTCAACCAAAAATTTAAGCTGATGGTTGAGCTCAGAAATATATTTTTACTCTATCATTTGGGAAAAAACAATAAGATCTAGATCGACTAAGACTTTTAATATTGGGTTAAAGACATTTTGGTTCAATTGGTGAATTGGGCCGAGAATATATACCTGCACTGACAGAAGAAAATTTTGGCTTGTAATGAGCAGCCAAAAAATAAAAAATAAAAATAAAAATCAATTTGTACCCAAACACATGCATAGCAATAGCATATATATAAATTTCTTAATAAAACTCCGTAACATTTATTAAGTAAACTCAATCAATACAATCAAATTAATACAAGAAATCAAACACTCAACAAAAAATACATATATGCAACTCAAATTAACACAATTGTAGCTCAAGAAAATGAGAGTCATCCACATGAATGGACTAATAAGTCATCATTTCGACGAAGAACTCTGCTTGTAAGTAGGCACACAAACACCACCATCACCAGCATAGCTACTCGCATCATAGACACAAGCGTACCTTTCGCAACACTTGAAGTCCAGTGCTACCACCCACAAATTCATAATCACTTTGACATTTTCTTCCTGCATACAAACACTGCCAACTTCTGGATAATCGTCATCAAGTACACATCTTAATCCTTGGCAACATTTCAATCTATTGATACCTCCGCAAAGTTGATATGTCCTTCGACATGTTTTAGCGGCCTACAAACTCCGCCGATCCAGGATAATCACCATCAAGCTCACATCGTAGTCCTTCACAAACATTGTACGCTGAAGTGCCACACAATATTGTTGAACGGTCTTAAACGTTCGTCGCATACACGTTCCTGTTGCGCCTGGATAGTCACCGTTGAAAATGCATTGTAGTCCTTCACAGCATTGATATGCGGACATTCCTCCGCAAGATTGTTGAACAGTCTGGCATGCTCTTTGCCCTACCATCAGCGTTCGGGTGGTGCACTGGAACCATCAGCACCCCTAGTCTCGATGTTGCAACATGGCTCAGGTTGTTTTCCCTGTTTGTTACCTTGCAAGAAGCGCAAGGGCAGTTTAGATTTGGTTTCTACAACTTCTTCTTCAGCGGGCTCGGTGACCTCCCGTAATGGGTCACCCAAATTGAGATGAAAGTTGCTGCCTGGAACTGTAGGGGTCTTGACAAGCGGACTCCCCTAAATTTCCGTATCTAAGCTCTTTAGTCCGCTCCCATAACTTGGATGTGGTGTTTTGATGGAAACAATGGTTTCTGTGGATAATGTTGTGCTCAGTTTAGCATCTATTCCTTTTTTGGGTTGTTGTGGTGTAGATGTTGTAGGATTAAGTGGTGGTTTGTTCATTTTTTAGCTTGCTCCTTTTAGTGTAGTTCCAGTGTTTATATCTCCAAACTTTGTAGTTGTAAAATAGAGGTTGGTGATGTGATAAAATTTGTGATCTTTGTGTACGGGGCACCTCATGTAGCAGATAGATCAGATGTGTGGTCGTCTATTGCTAGATTTGTCCAAACTTACCCGAACATTTTGTTGATTGGTGATTTTAACCAAGTCGGGTATCTATCGGATAAAATAGGAGGGTCTTCACTTATTCCAGGACGTTTGGATTTTATTCAATGGCGGTTGAATTTGGGTTAGTGAATGTTCCTTCTTCTGGACCTTCTTATACTTGGACAAACAATAGAATAGAGGTGGACCCGACTTTTGAAAGATTAGATAAGGCATATGCAACTTAGGATTGGTTTATTGATTATCCGGACTCCATTGTTCATCATCAACCGATTCTATTTTCGGATCACACAGCTATTATCTTTTCAGACTCGTTACCTCAAGATTCTGTTCGGCGACCTTATAGAATCGAAAACTGGTGCTTATCTGCTCAGGATACTTCTAGGATTATTAAGGACGGCTGTCGTTTAGAATTTACAGGCTCTCCGTGTTTTACCTTATCTCGCAGGCTTGTTGTTATTCGCAGGCGACTTAAAGACTGGTGCCTTAGCCACAGGAAATCTTGGGTATAAACTGGAAAGCTTTATGTTCTGATTTGTCTTCTTCTTCTACTCAATTACAATCCCCAGTGGCGCGAGTTCTTTTTCTAAATACTAGGAAGAGAAGATAGCCGAAGCAACTGCTGCTTTTCTCTATTGGAAACAACGTGCTAAAACTAAATAGGATGCTGGAGGGAGTCACACTCCAAATTACTGTTTCGGTGGTCCAAGCTCGTCGTCGTCGTAATCTGATTGTCAGTTTGAAGAATGATGCTGGTATTTGGGTTTTGGATTCTCTTGGCTTCGCTCTCTTATTCAGGCCTTTTACTCTGATCTATATTCTCATGTATCTCCATTTGGGAGTGACCCTCCTTTTTCTTGGGATCACCTTGGCCTCCCGACGCTATCCTCGTCTCAAAAGGACATGTTAATGGCCCCGTTCTCGCCTTCTGAGATTAAAGCTGCAATGTTTCATATTGCTAACGACAAATCTCCTGGGCCTGATGGCTTTACTTCGGCTTTTTTCAATACTTATTGGGATCATACTGGGCATTTGGTTATCTCGGCAGTTCAATACTTTTTTGCTCATGGTTATATGCTGAAGGACTGGAATAGAACCTTCTTAGTCCTTCTGCCGAAGGTTTCTCAGCCGGAGTTAGTGTCTCAGTTTCGGCTGATTGGTTTATGTAATGTCATGTAAAAATTTATAGCAAAATGCATTACTGGCCGTCTGCGAGGGGTTCTTCCATCTCTTATTTCAGGGTTCCAGAATGCCTTTGTGCCGGGTCGCCTAATTTCTGATAATGCTTTGGTAGCTCACGAGCTTCTATCCTTTATGAATGCTTCTAAAGCTCGGAAACCTTTTTTATGCGGCTCTAAAGTTGGATATGAATAAAGCTTATGATAGAGTGCGCTGGGATTTTTTAAGTCAGGTTTTACGGGCTTTTGGTTTTCCGCCTTATTCGGTTCATATTATTGAGCAGTGTGTTACAACTGTCTCGTACCAGGTTCTTGTGAATGGGAGTCTTACACCGTCCTTTCGACCACAATGTGGTCTTAGACAAGGTGATCCTCTGTCACCATATCTATTTGTTTTGTGTATGGAGATGTTGTCGACCTCTCTTAGGCGGGCGGAAGAACAGGCTTTGTTTTCTGGTATTCGTGTGTCTAGGGGCGGACCTTCGATTTCCCATCTGTTCTTTGCAGATGATTCGCTGTTATTTTTCCAACTTTCGCCCCAAGCGTGTGACAATGTCATGGCCATTCTTTCGGATTTTTGCTCTGCTTCGGGTCAGATGATTAATCTTCAGAAGTCCTTTGTCAAGTTCAGCCCAAATACCCCTCAAGACTACCGTGATTTTTTAGCTCGCAGTCTTCGACTACAATCGAAGGCTTCTTTTGGTACTCATCTAGGTCTTCCTGTTGACCTTGGAAGGAGTAAAGTCGCGGAATTCAGGTTTCTAATTGACAAGGTTGCTAGCCGGTTGTCTGCTTTTGCTTCTCTTCGCTTGTTAGCAGCAGCGAAACTGGCTATCATAAATTCGGTTTTGATAGCATCGTTTAATCATATCTTGTCGGTTTTCAAGATTCCGTCTTCTGTAGCTTCTCAACTTGATAGCATGCTTGCCAACTTTTGGTGGAGATCGTCTGGTTCTCGGAAGGGTTTGGCGTTGCGCTCAGTGTCTCTTCTTCATTTACCAAAAGGTTTGGGGGTTTGGGTGTGCGCAACATTGCTTGCTTTAATTCAGCTATCCTTGCTGGTACAGGGTGGAGGATGATTCGAAATCCTCAACTTTTGGTTTCTAGACTCATGTTTTTGAAGTACTCCTCTCTGCCAGTCAATCCGGGAGCTCGGATTTCTCGCCCCTCTTGGGGCTGTCGTGGGTTGCAGATGGCTCTTTCGACTGTTTCTTCTGGTGTACGTTGGAAAGTGGGTAGAGGTGACAAGGTACACATAACAGCCGACAACTGGGCTCCTGGGTCCAGTGTTATTCAAGGATGGTTTATCTCAGTCGGATCTTCCGACTCATGTGTCTGGTATAATTGATCCGCGTTCTAACGAGTGGGACTCCTCGAGAGTCCATCGGTTTTTTGATAGTCCGACTGCCGTCAGGATCCTTAGTTTGGATCGTCCGCAGGAGCTTATGGATGATTTTGTATATTGGAAATTTACCAAGGATGGCTCCTTTTCTACGAAGTCTGCCTATGCTCTCTTACTTCATCAGACTATCAGGTGTCCTCCTTTGGGTCCTTGCCTATTCCCTGGTGGAAGAAATTTTGGGCGCTCCCCCTTCTTCCTAAATGGAAGATCTTTGGCTGGAAAATAATTCATGCTGGTATTCCGGTTGCCTCAGCTCTAGCTGTTCGCGGCGTTTCCGTGGATTCGACTTGCTGCTTTTGTCGAAGGGAGCAGGAGACGATCAACCATTTGTTTCGAGACTGTGATTTCGTTACTCCTTTATGGGTTCGCAGCTCGTTTCATTTCAATAGTCAGGGTCTTCTTCATCTTCCCTTTCTCCAATGGTTTTCTGTTATGGTCTCGTTGTTAGCGGCTGCTAAGGATTGGGAGAACTTGGTGCAATTTTTCTCCCTTCTTTGGGCTATATGGTTGTCCCGTAATAATGTACGTTTTCGGCAACAAGCTGTCTCTCCGGATGATGTTTTGCTTCTTGCTTCTCAGTGGAATGTGCGAGGGAGGCAGGCTCAGGATTCTCACCTTCCTTCTTCTACTTTGGGTCCTAGCCCTAGGCCTGTTGGTTCGAGATTTGCTGCCACTCTTGCTGGGGACCCTACGTTGGGGTTTAATATTTGTTTGATTTGCGACGGGTCTTGGTCATCCTCGGATAATTCGGCAGGTGCTGGTTGGGTTCTTCGTGATTGTGGTTCTCCTTCAGTCCGAGGAGGAGGGGCTCGTGCTTCTTTCTCTTCTTCAGCCTTACAGTCTGAGTTACAAGCTTGTTTTTGGGGGTTACGCAATGCTTTTTCTCGTGGTTTTCGTAGGATTCTTATTTACTCGGACTGTGAGCCTCTGTGTCGGATGTTAGGCCAACAACAGAAAGATGAGGTTTCTTTATACTGGTTACTTCGGGATACTCGGGTTCTTTTGTCTACCTGTGCGGCTTGTAAAATTCTTAAGGTTCCTAGGGAATGGGTGTCTCCTGTACACTGGTTGGCTGGAAAGGCTCGTGCTCGGGAGTGTTTTTTTGGTATTTTTAGTCTGTTGCTTATGTTTTCTTTTCTTTGTTCTCACTGTCAAAAAAAAAAAAACATGTAAGGTGTGTCAAAAAAAAAAATGTAAGGTCCCTTTTTCAATTCGATCACGGTGATATTTCATGGGTTAGATTGCAATTTTTTTTTTCCCTTCACATAGACTCATTCAATTTGACCTAAATTGCATTACAGCCATCAAAGGTCCAACACTTTTGAGTTATTTTGTCAACATCATCCATATTTCTTAAGTTCAATAAGAATATATTGTATATGTATGATTAGTAGTTTAAGTTGTGATATTATAATACACCCATGCTTTCTAGCCATTTTTCCAACGAATGAGGTTCAATTTCCTAAATTTATTAAGTGTCGTTTCTGTGGTAGACCAATCAATCACAAAATTCTACGAAGTATATATGATTAGATAACGTATATTATTACTATATTTGACTTTGATGATCATTCAATATTTTTTTTTTTAATTTGACATACGTATGTGTACCCCCATCAACAAACAATACACTTTGAATTGAAAAAAAAAATTAAAAATAAATCCAAGACCGATCAAAGCAACAAAATGAACATTGTTGATATAGAGTATAAAACATATTCTTTAATCTCAACCATCTGTTTAAGCTTTTGATTGAGTTGATTATCTAACAATAATTATGATATTATGAATAATAATATTATGAATAATAATACTGATTAAAAAGAACATTTATGAGAAACATCACAGTGCAAACTAGAAACAAATAGTGGTATATTATACAAGAAACTCTTCTAGATACTTAGTAGAGTTGCTTGTATGTATTCATGAATTTCGATGATTATAAGGAGTCTCAATTTGCATAATCTATTAGTAGATCCGGTAGAGGTTTTTTACAAACACCAATAACAATATTGGAAGCTGAGCAGACTAGTCCTTCACAACAAGCATATACACCTTTAGAAACACATATATTGCCTTCACCTTGACATTTTTCTTCTTCGGATGTTTCAATTGCATCGATGAATGCTGGAACTGAAATAATTTTAACCATGAATATTAGTCACCCGTTTTTCAAAAATTATTTAACTTATAGAGTAATCGAACATGCATATATGAATTGAAAACGACATTTGACTAGAATTATAGAAAAAAAAAAAAAAATTTAGCCCGTGCACATAAAATTTTTATATACATCCAGGTTTACCGTACATCCAACTAACCCAAGATTAGTTTTTGTTCTTCATTTGATGAATCAACGAAATATAATCATCAAAATAAGTACAAAATACTTATGGGTGTACGGTACACTAGGTGTATATAACAATATCTCCAAAGCACATAATACGTGTAATAATAATGAGTATTGTAGGAGAAAAAGAGGTCGGAGCCAAACCTGATACACTTAGTAAAAGAATAGCTAAGAACATCATTGACATAACAGTGTAGTTGATACGAATACTCGCCATTTTAATGAAGGAAATATAAGAAGATTGTTGCATTTCTAAGCTAAGCTTATACGATCTATTATTGTTTTAGGCGAGTGATTGAACATTCCTCAGCTTTCCTTAGCATTTATATTGCTTACCTTATGGAATGAAAACTAATTTTATTGTATGTTGATCGACAAGCCAAAAAAAACCTAAGGAAATTAAATACATTATCAAATAATTAACAAGATATAATATAGATGCATCATTATTTTCGTTGTTATTACGTGCATGCAACCATGTCTTTGCTTTGCTGGACTCATCACTACTGCTAGTATATGATATCAGTAAACTAACATTAGCTATATCATGATTAATCATGTAGCAAGTTGAATTGAATACAATTAATCATTTTAGAATAATATTGAACTTGGTTGTATTAATTAATTTGACTAGCTGGTTATAAATAGTTTAGCTTATTGTGTAAAAGTGTTTAGTAATTAAGTGCTACGTACTTAGTTGTTTTAGTGTATTTAATAGACAAAAGATGATTTTTTTTAATAAGCTAATATCAAAAAGTTTTGTATTGATTGTTTTCTAAAAGTGTGTGCTTTTTGAGTCCAAAAATCTCTTTCAATAAACTATTTACCAAACACCCAAATTTGATACTACCTCCGATTTTTATTAAATTAGTTGCAATTTTGGGGTATTATTTGTGAGATATAAAATATTGCAAAGTTGCAACTAAAAATATTCGAAGGTGGTATTTAAATCAGTCAAACATATAATAGGGATCAATAACTCCAAAATGCACTTTACCAAACAAGACATAAGTGTATTTGATAGCCAAAAAGTAAAAAAGCTAATTATTCAATAAGTTGATTTCAAAAAGTTCTTATAATGATTTTTTCAAAAAGAGTTTTAAGTCTTTCAGTAAGCTAACCTCTAACTAGGCTCTATTAGCTAAAAGCTTTCCAGCTTCTATACCAAACAAGACTAATATCATTTTTTAATTTTAATTTTGTATCCTATGGACAATAATCACATACATATTTATACATACTACAGAGTATATATACACCTTAATAGTATATATACACCTTAATACTCTGTACAAAAGATGATTATAATATTTAATGCTAGATTATTCTAAAGAGATATAAAGTAATTTATATATATACACCCGAGTGCAAGGTAAACCCAATGGTATTTTCTGCTCATGATATTTTTGCTCGGATCATTTTAGAATCTTAAAATGAGCATACAAATATATACTCGTATCAAATGAGGAAAAAATTACCCTTATATTGGATGCATGTAACTCTGTACAATTTGAGTGTATATAACAGGTTTTGCGAAAGTTAATACTGTAATTTACATTAGATTTATTAGTATCATAGATATATTATATCAATAGATTTTTGTAGACTATAATTATATTAGATATTTCCTTGCATTTTTTTTTTAATTCTTTCTAACAAAGGTATGTACTATATTTAGGAGGGTCGGTATGTGTACCTCAACAAAAACATAATAATCCAAAGACGTGGCTGCAACCATCTAAAAATCTATTTAGTTTATCTGATAAAAATAGCCATAACAAGCTGTATATATAAATTTTATCGTAGTGAACTAGTCGTGCGCAACAACTCAATAATTAAGTAAGTAATCATAGAAATTGCTAGCTCACGACTCGTAATTACTTTTACCTAGTAAGTAGACTTTTTAAGCGCATTTGGAAGCACTATATAAGTATTGCAATATAATGGTGGACATTGCTAACATAATCAAACTTCAATTTAATTTTAAAACATTTAATTAACACAATGGAGAGGATTTTTATCAACTTATTTGTGTTGTCAATTTTGCTAGCTCTTTTGGCATTGGCTGAATCAGGTTTAGTTTTTGTATTTCTTTCTTAATATTGTTTGTGTGTGTGTTTTTTTTTTGGTTACCTTTTGCCCTAAGGTCCTCTGTTCTATAATATTTTTTCCATTTTTGAATTTGAGTTTCTTAAAATAGTGTTTTTCTTGTCCTTTTAGGGTTTTCTAATTTAATCATTTTGTCCTCGTTTTTATAGATATTTGAGCCCTCATTAAATATAAAATGCATGGAGATGTATACTTTTATGGAAAAGTACACATACAAAGATATTATAATAATTGAGATATTATCGTATACATCAGGTGCACCATTCATCCATGAGTAGTTCGTTCTCATTTAATTTTGGATTAGTTGAGTGTACGGTGCACTCAGACGTATATAATATTGATTTATAATAATTCCAAATCATATATTATCCAAAAAATTCTAATCCTTGTGAAAATTTCGCCATGGTGTCATTTTGAGTATCCCTTTTATATATGCCTCATAGTATTCTTAAAAGACCAACTCGTTAGTTAATTACTCATAACTTCATAATGAATTTTCACCACTATTTTGATCATATTTTTTTTGAAAATATATGAAAACAAATGTCCATATCTAAGGCACTATTGGATTTATTATAATGTATATATTCAATTTATATTTTTACTATTAAAAGATATTGATAGCCAAAATTGTACATTGTCAAGAGTATTCAGTTAAAGTAATGCAAGAAATTTGATACAAGAGGAGTATGAGATGAAGTGAAATAGTGAAGTGCTTAAACTTCATATAAGATGATAAAACTATATTTAGCTTAATTCTCTTTAACATTCACTAATTGTTACTTACAAATTTGTGGTGTTATGTTCATATTTTTCTTCCAGCCATGGAAAAGAGTTATGGACCCTATGATCAACAACCATCATATGTACCGGACACCTCGAGCACACCACCACCACCATCGCCGCCATCATCACCACCACCACCACCACAACCACAACCTAACCCTACGTGTAGGAAACTAAAACAACTTTGTGGAGGTTATGGCGATTACGCTTGTTGTGAAGGATTATATTGTCTTGGTTGGACACCAGAGCAACCAGGTGGTCTCGGACTATGTACACCTTTAGATAATCAACAACCTCCGTCGAAAGATAAGTGTAGACACCACCTTCAAGAGTGCCAACTCTATGGTCCGTACGTATGTTGTCAAGGATTGAACTGCGTTCATGCTCGAAACCTTCCTACCGAACCTCTTATTAAAACTCGAAAGAAGAAGCTTCCTCCTGGTACGGGTTTATGCACTTATGCTAATTATTAAGCTATAATATGTACTCACTAGTTCATACTAGCAATACTGATTGAGTTTAGTATATGTTCATCATGTGTTTTCATGTATTGTTCTATAGCATACATTATGTTTTTGATTCCGGGGATTATTGTACTTCATTTTGTTAATTTTTTAATTTCAACAGTTTGACTTTTGCACTATTCAATTAATTATGTTAATTGTAGTTGGTTTACGCATCCTCAAATCCTTTTAATGTATGGCCATGAGTAATTTTATAAAAGCCATTTTTATACTCTGCGATGATTACTAATATACACAAATAAATGTTTAAATTTTTATTTTTCTAACAAAACAAGGGGTAAAATGAAAAGGTTACAACTTTTTTTTTTTTTATTGACAAAGAAAAGCCTTATACTCTATCACTCCCCCTCACATAAAGGCTCTTTAGGCATGAAATGTGGATGTAACAAAGGTCTACCCATAGCTGGTGCGAATTAATTCCACTTTAAAGGAAGGGCAGATGAGATTCGTACTCGTGACCTTTGTATTACGCTGGCTCTGATACCATGTTAGAGGACCAATTCAACCAAAAATTTAAGCTGATGGTTGAGGCTCAGAAATATATTTTATACTCTATCATTTGGGAAAAAACAATAAGATCTAGATCGACTAAGACTTTTAATATTGGGTTAAAGACGATTTTGGTTCAATTGGTGAATTGGGCCGAGAATATATACCTGCACTGCACAGAAGAAAATTTTGGCTTGTAATGAGCAGCCCAAAAAATAAAAAATAAAAATAAAAATCAATTTGTACCCAAACACATGCATAGCAATAGCATATATATAAATTTCTTAATAAAACTCCGTAACATTTATTAAGTAAACTCAATCAATACAATCAAAATTAATACAAGAAATCAAACACTCAACAAAAAATACATATATGCAACTCAAATTAACACAATTGTAGCTCAAGAAAATGAGAGTCATCCACATGAATGGACTAATAAGTCATCATTTCGACGAAGAACTCTGCTTGTAAGTAGGCACACAAACACCACCATCACCAGCATAGCTACTCGCATCATAGACACAAGCGTACCTTTCGCAACACTGAAGTCCAGTGCTACCACCACAAGATTCATAATCACTTTGACATTTTCTTCCTGGCATACAAACACTGCCAACTTCTGGATAATCGTCATCAAGTACACATCTTAATCCTTGGCAACATTTCAATCTATTGATACCTCCGCAAAGTTGATATGTCCTTCGACATGGTTTTAGCGGCCTACAAACTCCGCCGGATCCAGGATAATCACCATCAAGCTCACATCGTAGTCCTTCACAACATTGGTACGCTGAAGTGCCACAACAATATTGTTGAACGGTCTTAAACGTTCGTCGCATACACGTTCCTGTTGCGCCTGGATAGTCACCGTTGAAAATGCATTGTAGTCCTTCACAGCATTGATATGCGGACATTCCTCCGCAAGATTGTTGAACAGTCTGGCATGCTCTTTGCCCTACCATCAGCGTTCGGGTGGTGCACTGGAACCATCAGCACCCCTAGTCTCGATGTTGCAACATGGCTCAGGTTGTTTTCCCTGTTTGTTACCTTGCAAGAAGCGCAAGGGCAGTTTAGATTTGGTTTCTACAACTTCTTCTTCAGCGGGCTCGGTGACCTCCCGTAATGGGTCACCCAAATTGAGATGAAAGTTGCTGCCTGGAACTGTAGGGGTCTTGGACAAGCGGACTCCCCTAAATTTCCGTATCTAAGCTCTTTAGTCCGCTCCCATAACTTGGATGTGGTGTTTTTGATGGAAACAATGGTTTCTGTGGATAATGTTGTGCTCAGTTTAGCATCTATTCCTTTTTTGGGTTGTTGTGGTGTAGATGTTGTAGGATTAAGTGGTGGTTTGTTCATTTTTTAGCTTGCTCCTTTTAGTGTAGTTCCAGTGTTTATATCTCCAAACTTTGTAGTTTGTAAAATAGAGGTTGGTGATGTGATAAAATTTGTGATCTTTGTGTACGGGGCACCTCATGTAGCAGATAGATCAGATGTGTGGTCGTCTATTGCTAGATTTGTCCAAACTTACCCGAACATTTTGTTGATTGGTGATTTTAACCAAGTCGGGTATCTATCGGATAAAATAGGAGGGTCTTCACTTATTCCAGGACGTTTGGATTTTATTCAATGGCGGTTGAATTTGGGGTTAGTGAATGTTCCTTCTTCTGGACCTTCTTATACTTGGACAAACAATAGAATAGAGGTGGACCCGACTTTTGAAAGATTAGATAAGGCATATGCAACTTAGGATTGGTTTATTGATTATCCGGACTCCATTGTTCATCATCAACCGATTCTATTTTCGGATCACACAGCTATTATCTTTTCAGACTCGTTACCTCAAGATTCTGTTCGGCGACCTTATAGAATCGAAAACTGGTGCTTATCTGCTCAGGATACTTCTAGGATTATTAAGGACGGCTGTCGTTTAGAATTTACAGGCTCTCCGTGTTTTACCTTATCTCGCAGGCTTGTTGTTATTCGCAGGCGACTTAAAGACTGGTGCCTTAGCCACAGGAAATCTTGGGGTATAAACTGGAAAGCTTTATGTTCTGATTTGTCTTCTTCTTCTACTCAATTACAATCCCCAGTGGCGCGAGTTCTTTTTCTAAATACTAGGGAAGAGAAGATAGCCGAAGCAACTGCTGCTTTTCTCTATTGGAAACAACGTGCTAAAACTAAATAGGATGCTGGAGGGAGTCACACTCCAAATTACTGTTTTCGGTGGTCCAAGCTCGTCGTCGTCGTAATCTGATTGTCAGTTTGAAGAATGATGCTGGTATTTGGGTTTTGGATTCTCTTGGGCTTCGCTCTCTTATTCAGGCCTTTTACTCTGATCTATATTCTCATGTATCTCCATTTGGGAGTGACCCTCCTTTTTCTTGGGATCACCTTGGCCTCCCGACGCTATCCTCGTCTCAAAAGGACATGTTAATGGCCCCGTTCTCGCCTTCTGAGATTAAAGCTGCAATGTTTCATATTGCTAACGACAAATCTCCTGGGCCTGATGGCTTTACTTCGGCTTTTTTCAATACTTATTGGGATCATACTGGGCATTTGGTTATCTCGGCAGTTCAATACTTTTTTGCTCATGGTTATATGCTGAAGGACTGGAATAGAACCTTCTTAGTCCTTCTGCCGAAGGTTTCTCAGCCGGAGTTAGTGTCTCAGTTTCGGCTGATTGGTTTATGTAATGTCATGTAAAAATTTATAGCAAAATGCATTACTGGCCGTCTGCGAGGGGTTCTTCCATCTCTTATTTCAGGGTTCCAGAATGCCTTTGTGCCGGGTCGCCTAATTTCTGATAATGCTTTGGTAGCTCACGAGCTTCTATCCTTTATGAATGCTTCTAAAGCTCGGAAACCTTTTTATGCGGCTCTAAAGTTGGATATGAATAAAGCTTATGATAGAGTGCGCTGGGATTTTTTAAGTCAGGTTTTACGGGCTTTTGGTTTTCCGCCTTATTCGGTTCATATTATTGAGCAGTGTGTTACAACTGTCTCGTACCAGGTTCTTGTGAATGGGAGTCTTACACCGTCCTTTCGACCACAATGTGGTCTTAGACAAGGTGATCCTCTGTCACCATATCTATTTGTTTTGTGTATGGAGATGTTGTCGACCTCTCTTAGGCGGGCGGAAGAACAGGCTTTGTTTTCTGGTATTCGTGTGTCTAGGGGCGGACCTTCGATTTCCCATCTGTTCTTTGCAGATGATTCGCTGTTATTTTTCCAACTTTCGCCCCAAGCGTGTGACAATGTCATGGCCATTCTTTCGGATTTTTGCTCTGCTTCGGGTCAGATGATTAATCTTCAGAAGTCCTTTGTCAAGTTCAGCCCAAATACCCCTCAAGACTACCGTGATTTTTTAGCTCGCAGTCTTCGACTACAATCGAAGGCTTCTTTTGGTACTCATCTAGGTCTTCCTGTTGACCTTGGAAGGAGTAAAGTCGCGGAATTCAGGTTTCTAATTGACAAGGTTGCTAGCCGGTTGTCTGCTTTTGCTTCTCTTCGCTTGTTAGCAGCAGCGAAACTGGCTATCATAAATTCGGTTTTGATAGCATCGTTTAATCATATCTTGTCGGTTTTCAAGATTCCGTCTTCTGTAGCTTCTCAACTTGATAGCATGCTTGCCAACTTTTGGTGGAGATCGTCTGGTTCTCGGAAGGGTTTGGCGTTGCGCTCAGTGTCTCTTCTTCATTTACCAAAAGGTTTGGGGGGTTTGGGTGTGCGCAACATTGCTTGCTTTAATTCAGCTATCCTTGCTGGTACAGGGTGGAGGATGATTCGAAATCCTCAACTTTTGGTTTCTAGACTCATGTTTTTGAAGTACTCCTCTCTGCCAGTCAATCCGGGAGCTCGGATTTCTCGCCCCTCTTGGGGCTGTCGTGGGTTGCAGATGGCTCTTTCGACTGTTTCTTCTGGTGTACGTTGGAAAGTGGGTAGAGGTGACAAGGTACACATAACAGCCGACAACTGGGCTCCTGGGGTCCAGTGTTATTCAAGGATGGTTTATCTCAGTCGGATCTTCCGACTCATGTGTCTGGTATAATTGATCCGCGTTCTAACGAGTGGGACTCCTCGAGAGTCCATCGGTTTTTTGATAGTCCGACTGCCGTCAGGATCCTTAGTTTGGATCGTCCGCAGGAGCTTATGGATGATTTTGTATATTGGAAATTTACCAAGGATGGCTCCTTTTCTACGAAGTCTGCCTATGCTCTCTTACTTCATCAGACTATCAGGTGTCCTCCTTTGGGGTCCTTGCCTATTCCCTGGTGGAAGAAATTTTGGGCGCTCCCCCTTCTTCCTAAATGGAAGATCTTTGGCTGGAAAATAATTCATGCTGGTATTCCGGTTGCCTCAGCTCTAGCTGTTCGCGGCGTTTCCGTGGATTCGACTTGCTGCTTTTGTCGAAGGGAGCAGGAGACGATCAACCATTTGTTTCGAGACTGTGATTTCGTTACTCCTTTATGGGTTCGCAGCTCGTTTCATTTCAATAGTCAGGGTCTTCTTCATCTTCCCTTTCTCCAATGGTTTTCTGTTATGGTCTCGTTGTTAGCGGCTGCTAAGGATTGGGAGAACTTGGTGCAATTTTTCTCCCTTCTTTGGGCTATATGGTTGTCCCGTAATAATGTACGTTTTCGGCAACAAGCTGTCTCTCCGGATGATGTTTTGCTTCTTGCTTCTCAGTGGAATGTGCGAGGGAGGCAGGCTCAGGATTCTCACCTTCCTTCTTCTACTTTGGGTCCTAGCCCTAGGCCTGTTGGTTCGAGATTTGCTGCCACTCTTGCTGGGGACCCTACGTTGGGGTTTAATATTTGTTTGATTTGCGACGGGTCTTGGTCATCCTCGGATAATTCGGCAGGTGCTGGTTGGGTTCTTCGTGATTGTGGTTCTCCTTCAGTCCGAGGAGGAGGGGCTCGTGCTTCTTTCTCTTCTTCAGCCTTACAGTCTGAGTTACAAGCTTGTTTTTGGGGGTTACGCAATGCTTTTTCTCGTGGTTTTCGTAGGATTCTTATTTACTCGGACTGTGAGCCTCTGTGTCGGATGTTAGGCCAACAACAGAAAGATGAGGTTTCTTTATACTGGTTACTTCGGGATACTCGGGTTCTTTTGTCTACCTGTGCGGCTTGTAAAATTCTTAAGGTTCCTAGGGAATGGGTGTCTCCTGTACACTGGTTGGCTGGAAAGGCTCGTGCTCGGGAGTGTTTTTTTGGTATTTTTAGTCTGTTGCTTATGTTTTCTTTTCTTTGTTCTCACTGTCAAAAAAAAAAAAAACATGTAAGGTGTGTCAAAAAAAAAAATGTAAGGTCCCTTTTTCAATTCGATCACGGTGATATTTCATGGGTTAGATTGCAATTTTTTTTTTCCCTTCACATAGACTCATTCAATTTGACCTAAATTGCATTACAGCCATCAAAGGTCCAACACTTTTGAGTTATTTTGTCAACATCATCCATATTTCTTAAGTTCAATAAGAATATATTGTATATGTATGATTAGTAGTTTAAGTTGTGATATTATAATACACCCATGCTTTCTAGCCATTTTTCCAACGAATGAGGTTCAATTTCCTAAATTTATTAAGTGTCGTTTCTGTGGTAGACCAATCAATCACAAAATTCTACGAAGTATATATGATTAGATAACGTATATTATTACTATATTTGACTTTGATGATCATTCAATATTTTTTTTTTTTAATTTGACATACGTATGTGTACCCCCATCAACAAACAATACACTTTGAATTGAAAAAAAAAATTAAAAATAAATCCAAGACCGATCAAAGCAACAAAATGAACATTGTTGATATAGAGTATAAAACATATTCTTTAATCTCAACCATCTGTTTAAGCTTTTGATTGAGTTGATTATCTAACAATAATTATGATATTATGAATAATAATATTATGAATAATAATACTGATTAAAAAGAACATTTATGAGAAACATCACAGTGCAAACTAGAAACAAATAGTGGTATATTATACAAGAAACTCTTCTAGATACTTAGTAGAGTTGCTTGTATGTATTCATGAATTTCGATGATTATAAGGAGTCTCAATTTGCATAATCTATTAGTAGATCCGGTAGAGGTTTTTTACAAACACCAATAACAATATTGGAAGCTGAGCAGACTAGTCCTTCACAACAAGCATATACACCTTTAGAAACACATATATTGCCTTCACCTTGACATTTTTCTTCTTCGGATGTTTCAATTGCATCGATGAATGCTGGAACTGAAATAATTTTAACCATGAATATTAGTCACCCGTTTTTCAAAAATTATTTAACTTATAGAGTAATCGAACATGCATATATGAATTGAAAACGACATTTGACTAGAATTATAGAAAAAAAAAAAAAAAAATTTAGCCCGTGCACATAAAATTTTTATATACATCCAGGTTTACCGTACATCCAACTAACCCAAGATTAGTTTTTGTTCTTCATTTGATGAATCAACGAAATATAATCATCAAAATAAGTACAAAATACTTATGGGTGTACGGTACACTAGGTGTATATAACAATATCTCCAAAGCACATAATACGTGTAATAATAATGAGTATTGTAGGAGAAAAAGAGGTCGGAGCCAAACCTGATACACTTAGTAAAAGAATAGCTAAGAACATCATTGACATAACAGTGTAGTTGATACGAATACTCGCCATTTTAATGAAGGAAATATAAGAAGATTGTTGCATTTCTAAGCTAAGCTTATACGATCTATTATTGTTTTAGGCGAGTGATTGAACATTCCTCAGCTTTCCTTAGCATTTATATTGCTTACCTTATGGAATGAAAACTAATTTTATTGTATGTTGATCGACAAGCCAAAAAAAACCTAAGGAAATTAAATACATTATCAAATAATTAACAAGATATAATATAGATGCATCATTATTTTCGTTGTTATTACGTGCATGCAACCATGTCTTTGCTTTGCTGGACTCATCACTACTGCTAGTATATGATATCAGTAAACTAACATTAGCTATATCATGATTAATCATGTAGCAAGTTGAATTGAATACAATTAATCATTTTAGAATAATATTGAACTTGGTTGTATTAATTAATTTGACTAGCTGGTTATAAATAGTTTAGCTTATTGTGTAAAAGTGTTTAGTAATTAAGTGCTACGTACTTAGTTGTTTTAGTGTATTTAATAGACAAAAGATGATTTTTTTTAATAAGCTAATATCAAAAAGTTTTGTATTGATTGTTTTCTAAAAGTGTGTGCTTTTTGAGTCCAAAAATCTCTTTCAATAAACTATTTACCAAACACCCAAATTTGATACTACCTCCGATTTTTATTAAATTAGTTGCAATTTTGGGGTATTATTTGTGAGATATAAAATATTGCAAAGTTGCAACTAAAAATATTCGAAGGTGGTATTTAAATCAGTCAAACATATAATAGGGATCAATAACTCCAAAATGCACTTTACCAAACAAGACATAAGTGTATTTGATAGCCAAAAAGTAAAAAAGCTAATTATTCAATAAGTTGATTTCAAAAAGTTCTTATAATGATTTTTTCAAAAAGAGTTTTAAGTCTTTCAGTAAGCTAACCTCTAACTAGGCTCTATTAGCTAAAAGCTTTCCAGCTTCTATACCAAACAAGACTAATATCATTTTTTAATTTTAATTTTGTATCCTATGGACAATAATCACATACATATTTATACATACTACAGAGTATATATACACCTTAATAGTATATATACACCTTAATACTCTGTACAAAAGATGATTATAATATTTAATGCTAGATTATTCTAAAGAGATATAAAGTAATTTATATATATACACCCGAGTGCAAGGTAAACCCAATGGTATTTTCTGCTCATGATATTTTTGCTCGGATCATTTTAGAATCTTAAAATGAGCATACAAATATATACTCGTATCAAATGAGGAAAAAATTACCCTTATATTGGATGCATGTAACTCTGTACAATTTGAGTGTATATAACAGGTTTTGCGAAAGTTAATACTGTAATTTACATTAGATTTATTAGTATCATAGATATATTATATCAATAGATTTTTGTAGACTATAATTATATTAGATATTTCCTTGCATTTTTTTTTTAATTCTTTCTAACAAAGGTATGTACTATATTTAGGAGGGTCGGTATGTGTACCTCAACAAAAACATAATAATCCAAAGACGTGGCTGCAACCATCTAAAAATCTATTTAGTTTATCTGATAAAAATAGCCATAACAAGCTGTATATATAAATTTTATCGTAGTGAACTAGTCGTGCGCAACAACTCAATAATTAAGTAAGTAATCATAGAAATTGCTAGCTCACGACTCGTAATTACTTTTACCTAGTAAGTAGACTTTTTAAGCGCATTTGGAAGCACTATATAAGTATTGCAATATAATGGTGGACATTGCTAACATAATCAAACTTCAATTTAATTTTAAAACATTTAATTAACACAATGGAGAGGATTTTTATCAACTTATTTGTGTTGTCAATTTTGCTAGCTCTTTTGGCATTGGCTGAATCAGGTTTAGTTTTTGTATTTCTTTCTTAATATTGTTTGTGTGTGTGTTTTTTTTTTGGTTACCTTTTGCCCTAAGGTCCTCTGTTCTATAATATTTTTTCCATTTTTGAATTTGAGTTTCTTAAAATAGTGTTTTTCTTGTCCTTTTAGGGTTTTCTAATTTAATCATTTTGTCCTCGTTTTTATAGATATTTGAGCCCTCATTAAATATAAAATGCATGGAGATGTATACTTTTATGGAAAAGTACACATACAAAGATATTATAATAATTGAGATATTATCGTATACATCAGGTGCACCATTCATCCATGAGTAGTTCGTTCTCATTTAATTTTGGATTAGTTGAGTGTACGGTGCACTCAGACGTATATAATATTGATTTATAATAATTCCAAATCATATATTATCCAAAAAATTCTAATCCTTGTGAAAATTTCGCCATGGTGTCATTTTGAGTATCCCTTTTATATATGCCTCATAGTATTCTTAAAAGACCAACTCGTTAGTTAATTACTCATAACTTCATAATGAATTTTCACCACTATTTTGATCATATTTTTTTGAAAATATATGAAAACAAATGTCCATATCTAAGGCACTATTGGATTTATTATAATGTATATATTCAATTTATATTTTTACTATTAAAAGATATTGATAGCCAAAATTGTACATTGTCAAGAGTATTCAGTTAAAGTAATGCAAGAAATTTGATACAAGAGGAGTATGAGATGAAGTGAAATAGTGAAGTGCTTAAACTTCATATAAGATGATAAAACTATATTTAGCTTAATTCTCTTTAACATTCACTAATTGTTACTTACAAATTTGTGGTGTTATGTTCATATTTTTCTTCCAGCCATGGAAAAGAGTTATGGACCCTATGATCAACAACCATCATATGTACCGGACACCTCGAGCACACCACCACCACCATCGCCGCCATCATCACCACCACCACCACCACAACCACAACCTAACCCTACGTGTAGGAAACTAAAACAACTTTGTGGAGGTTATGGCGATTACGCTTGTTGTGAAGGATTATATTGTCTTGGTTGGACACCAGAGCAACCAGGTGGTCTCGGACTATGTACACCTTTAGATAATCAACAACCTCCGTCGAAAGATAAGTGTAGACACCACCTTCAAGAGTGCCAACTCTATGGTCCGTACGTATGTTGTCAAGGATTGAACTGCGTTCATGCTCGAAACCTTCCTACCGAACCTCTTATTAAAACTCGAAAGAAGAAGCTTCCTCCTGGTACGGGTTTATGCACTTATGCTAATTATTAAGCTATAATATGTACTCACTAGTTCATACTAGCAATACTGATTGAGTTTAGTATATGTTCATCATGTGTTTTCATGTATTGTTCTATAGCATACATTATGTTTTTGATTCCGGGGATTATTGTACTTCATTTTGTTAATTTTTTAATTTCAACAGTTTGACTTTTGCACTATTCAATTAATTATGTTAATTGTAGTTGGTTTACGCATCCTCAAATCCTTTTAATGTATGGCCATGAGTAATTTTATAAAAGCCATTTTTATACTCTGCGATGATTACTAATATACACAAATAAATGTTTAAATTTTTATTTTTCTAACAAAACAAGGGGTAAAATGAAAAGGTTACAACTTTTTTTTTTTTTATTGACAAAGAAAAGCCTTATACTCTATCACTCCCCCTCACATAAAGGCTCTTTAGGCATGAAATGTGGATGTAACAAAGGTCTACCCATAGCTGGTGCGAATTAATTCCACTTTAAAGGAAGGGCAGATGAGATTCGTACTCGTGACCTTTGTATTACGCTGGCTCTGATACCATGTTAGAGGACCAATTCAACCAAAAATTTAAGCTGATGGTTGAGGCTCAGAAATATATTTTATACTCTATCATTTGGGAAAAAACAATAAGATCTAGATCGACTAAGACTTTTAATATTGGGTTAAAGACGATTTTGGTTCAATTGGTGAATTGGGCCGAGAATATATACCTGCACTGCACAGAAGAAAATTTTGGCTTGTAATGAGCAGCCCAAAAAATAAAAAATAAAAATAAAAATCAATTTGTACCCAAACACATGCATAGCAATAGCATATATATAAATTTCTTAATAAAACTCCGTAACATTTATTAAGTAAACTCAATCAATACAATCAAAATTAATACAAGAAATCAAACACTCAACAAAAAATACATATATGCAACTCAAATTAACACAATTGTAGCTCAAGAAAATGAGAGTCATCCACATGAATGGACTAATAAGTCATCATTTCGACGAAGAACTCTGCTTGTAAGTAGGCACACAAACACCACCATCACCAGCATAGCTACTCGCATCATAGACACAAGCGTACCTTTCGCAACACTGAAGTCCAGTGCTACCACCACAAGATTCATAATCACTTTGACATTTTCTTCCTGGCATACAAACACCGCCAACTTCTGGATAATCGTCATCAAGTACACATCTTAATCCTTGGCAACATTTCAATCTATTGATACCTCCGCAAAGTTGATATGTCCTTCGACATGGTTTTAGCGGCCTACAAACTCCGCCGGATCCAGGATAATCACCATCAAGCTCACATCGTAGTCCTTCACAACATTGGTACGCTGAAGTGCCACCACAATATTGTTGAACGGTCTTACACGTTCGTCGCATACACGTTCCTGTTGCGCCTGGATAGTCACCGTTGAAAATGCATTGTAGTCCTTCACAGCATTGATATGCGGACATTCCTCCGCAAGATTGTTGAACAGTCTGGCATGCTCTTTGCCCAACCGAAGCTCGGGTTCTGTCGACCTCTACTGCAGCCCTTATCGAACCTGAAGTTAAGCAACAATAACAATGAAAAGGTGCTTAAAATGAAGATTATTTGATAGTGTTTTACATTACTATATATTGAAAGGGAAAATAATACTTTCTCAATCACTTAGCTAACGTTATCCTGAATTTCATGCTTGCCAATACATAATTTAAATCTTTTGTATATCTAATTAAAATTATAAAATTTGATTTTATACATTGAAACAAATTTGTCAAGAATGTACTGGTTTGCATTATATGATTATACTAGTAATCACATTCAAATGTTACAATTAAAATTTAAAAGTGAATGGTACAATTTTGAGTGAAAAAAAAAAAAAAAAAAAAAAAAAAAAAAAAAACCTAGGATTAGAGCTTACTTGAGAAGGTTAAGAAGATGAACAATACAATAACAAAGACAATATAATTTGGGAAACTTTTCTCCATTTTCTTAATATTTGATGGTAGAATGAACAAAGTCTATGATCAGAAAATTATGATTCTCAAAAAGCCTAAGAACGGATTATATTGTTGTTTACAAAGAGTATTATTGGTTGACAATTCCTATATTTTGTCCTTGGAAATAAGATTTGATTTAGTATTACTGATTTGCACGAAGTAGTGTTAATGCTGTATGTTAGATATTTTTTAATCTCTATTTTTTAGTATGCATTCAAAACTCGAGTAGTAGAATAGAATTATCATGCTTGCAACTCATGACAATAATATATATTTGTTCGCAAAAGTGGAAAATGTACTGCCCCCGTGAGTGTTAATAACGCTTTTTTTTTAAAAAAAAAAATAAATAAAAAATAAAAATAAAAAATTCCGTCCATTTCAATGAACTAAACAATTAAACGGTCAATTTACCCGTTTACAACTTGCACTGATTTCATATACTCAAGCCTACCACGGACATTTATAACAACATATAATGGTCAAATATGGTTCCAAATGACATGATATGACCCCGAGATGTATCCTCTACTATCTCAACACTTTTAGACATCAGGTCCCGAAACCTCAAAATTGCTCAAAAAGCAAGGATCATAGCCTTTAATTTTGAAAATTTTTAACTTTTTTTGGCCCGGACATAAAAATTTCCAAGATGTTTAACATGGACCCTAATACTCTTCGGGAGTCCAATTGGGTGGGTGGAACCATCTAATTTGCCTTTAAACGGTCAATTTACTCGTTTACAACTTGCATCGATTTCATAAACTCAAGCCTACCACAAACAACATATGGTTCCAAACGACATTATATGATCCCGAGGTGTATCCCCTACTTTCTCAAGACTCTTTGGCATCAGGTCACAAAACCTCCAAAATTGCTCAAAAAACATGGATAATAGCCTTCAATTTTGGAATTTTTTGACTTTTTTTGGCTGTGAAATAAAAATTGCTGAGATGTTTACCCTGGATCCTAATACCCTCTGGGACTCCAATTGGGTGGGTGGAACCATCCAATTCGCCTTTAAGCATCCAATTTACCCATTTTTGTACGTGCCTCTTTTATTGGCTATGAGCTTTCATGGGGCCTTTATGTAGCCAAATAATGGTCAGATCATATATGAATCGAAACAATATTATATGAACCCGAGATACATCCCATAGTGTTCCGCGAATTTCCGACACTGCGTCCGGACACCTTCTAAATTGCTCCAATTTCGTGTATTATAGCCTTCATATTAGGCTCTTGTGTATCATTTTTACACCCGGCGAGATTATGCATCCAATTACTTCCATGGGCTCCCAAAGGACCTTGGGAGTTATAAATAGTGTCGAAACCATCTCATTCATCCGTTATCATCATGTCTTACGGTAAATTCGACGTACCCACAAATGACAAAAATATCTCCAAGTATGCCTTGTCCTTGGGTGCACATCTCTTGCGCACATGCCACACGTCCCCTTGCACCACCCAACATCCCAACACTTAGGCTTTGTGTCTTGTCTTAATCTTGTACCTAGCAATTTTTAGCATATAAGATGCACTACTAGCTAACCTCGTTTTCCAAAATATAGGTGTTTTTAGGGAATAAGGTGGTGGAGGGGATGAATCGAAGCGACATTGGGCCGAATCTCAATGGATCGTGACAGCAAGGTCAGTCTGCCACTTACAATACTCCGTCGCGTATTTAAGTCGTTTGCAAATGATTCATCCAGCCGCTCGATAAGAATTGTACTTCAAGGCGGCTCTCACGACACATGCGCCACGCAAGCTTAGCCTACGACACATGCCTTGGGGGCCGAAGCCCATAATTTAATTTTTACATAATAAGGAAAAATAAATAAATAGATTGTTCCCTCTCATTCCCAACCTGTTACTGTTTAAATGCTCCTAAATTGACTATTCACGTTATCTACTTTAACCAATGTTGTTGGTGATTTAAACATAAGAAAAAACATTTTCTAATTGGAAAAATTGCTAAAAATAATACAACTTTTGTCCCATTCTTTTTTAATAATACAATCTTTTGATTATTTCGTAATAATACAACCTTTAGGGAGTGTTCATTTTAAACAAGATAAAATCGAATTTTCGGTGAGTTTTGAGGTGGGAGAAGGGGATGGGATATTCCATCCTTCTTCAAATCCTCATCCACACCACCAAAAACTCAACCGTCTCCTTTCCTAACCCCAAAGTCCACCAAAAATTTGATTTTATCTTGTTTAAAATAAACACCCCCTAAAGGTTGTATTATTACAAAATAATCCAAAGGTTATATTATTTAAAAAGAATGGGCCAAAGGTTGTATTATTTTTAGCAATTTTTCCTTTCTAATTTGGATACTTGTTGAGTTGATGTCTCTATGTGTAAATGTATAATTTTTAACTCTCAACTTGTTGTAAATTATATTTAAAAATTAAATATATTAATCAATAACTATCTATAAATATTACTAAAGTAACAACCGCTAACATCATCCCCTATTTACTTTGTACAGATGTCAAGTTTTGTAACAAAATTTCCCGCCTAAATCAATTACTGATATCATATTCTTATTTTTATTTTTACTTATTTATTGAAACCTTCTTATTTTTTACCTAAAATTAATAAATTATATTTATAGAGTTTTTTTTTTTTTTGAAACAATTATTATAATATGTTATTTCTATTTTTTTTTACATTATTATGGATTTATAAAAAAAACAAACTATATGGATCCCAAATATAATTACTCTTGGTTTAAGAGTACTCCATATTGTATAATTTGGTTAAATTTTTACTATCTTCAAAATTATATAGATCTAATTATCATTGCAATTAATGGTAATGTTTCTATAATTTTTTTTTCTCATATGAGGTACATATATATAATATATTTATTTCAAAGAAATTTTTTATGTCATGCGTCGCTTAGGGTAATTTAGTTTATAAATATAGATCACCGTACATGGCACAGGATCTAACCTAGTATATACTAAAAGACACATCAGCAATGACACGTGTCATCTCCTGGTGTGTCCTTATTTTTATTTTTTATTTTTTGAAAAAAAAATTAATTATAGTATAAAATTTTATACAAAAATAATTTCTTATATAAGTTAACAAAGATAATTTCTTTAAATAAAAAAGATTTGATATATCTTTTCACACAAACATTTACGAATATAGTAGCTAGAAAATACTAACGATAATTTGCGACATATTTTAATCTATTTTAAGGAAGTTTTCATATTTTTTCTCTAATAAAAATAGTTGTTCATTTATTATTAGAATTCATATCAAAGTGATGTGTATATTTATCATTATATTTTTTTAGATTTTTAATTTTTTTTGTAAAATAATCAAATTATATTTAAAATTTGATATGGATTATTATTTTTATAGAAATTACTGTGAATGACACGGGACCTAAATTAGTTATTTATAAAAGTTGCACCCGTTCCTAGTCAAACTTATCTCATTCACTAAATCTTATATGGTGTGACCCATTGCAAAAATGATTATCAATTTCCTATGAACTTATTATAATCAATTAATTAATTAATTAGTACTAAGATTTTGATAAGATATGATCCTGAATATTCTCTTACAAGTTAGCTTGCATATTCATATCTTTATTACTTCGTGTGTAGCACATTTGTCTAAATGATCTCTAAAATGTTTGACTGAACCACTGATCATCATCTTATTATTATAAATCAATTTGTTAAATACGGATTTTAGGCCATTTCCACTTCACAAGTTCAAAGGAAGTTTTATCCCAAAACCATATGGCAATAGGAGATTTAACCCCTTAGCTATATAAAATGTTTAACTCTAGCTATCAACTTTGTGTCAAAAAAAATGTTTAACTCTCTCAACTTTTTTCAATATGGAACTGTTACATGTGTCCTTTGGTGGGATATACTTCAACACTCCGCCTCACATGTAAGGTCCCTTTAACTCAAGGACTATTTGGCCCAAAATACTTCATATATTAAAGGCCCCAAACCATGGGTCTACTAATATACACAAGCCATTAAAGATCCCAAACCGTGGGCCTAACTCTAACCATAGGTCTACTTATGTGTCATTTGGTGGGATATACTTCAACACAATTCATGTATACAACCAAAAAATTATTTCACAAAAAGATTGTTACAAGGTATGAAACTAGTATAACATGAACATCACACCCAAATGAAGTTAATTTTATTTGGTGTATGATTAGTGATGAACACGCTTACATTTACCACCAACATGTGGATGATTCATATTATCAAGTACACAAATAAATCCTTTACAACATTGTGCTCCGGTGAAGCCGCCGCAAAGTTGTCCAACCTTGTGACATGATCTTTGTTTCGGCTTCCTGCAAACTCCACCGGCATCCGGATAATCACCATCGAGTATACAATCTAATCCTTCACAACATCGAAACGCGGCTATGCCTCCGCAAAATTGACCACACTTGTTACATGTCGTAGTTGTTGGCTTGCATTCGCCGCCTGCGTCAGGGAAGTCACCTTCGAGGTTGCACTGCAGCCCTTCACAGCATTGAAACCCGGCGATGCCTCCACAAAACTCGTTAGCCTTCTTACATGTTCTTGTTTCAGCTGCTATTGTAAGGGTTATGTTACGTGTGAAAGGACCATGTCAAACATAAGTACGTTATTAGAGAATTATTACATGAAATTTGAATTTCACATCTTAATAGAATTACTAGTTGTTTTTGGAAATTATGTTTACAAGCTTTTTTATTCTAAATGGACAACTTACTAGAATACTCCGTACTAGATAATGCTTCTTGATAATAAAAGTGTGCAAAATGTTACCATGGACGTAAATTGCATGTTAATTTTTATTCCAAACTTAGTCATCGCACGGATTATTCATTTTGAAGAAGGATTACAAGATCATCAAAGAAACAATTACGTTAGATATTTAGAGTAGAGGTGATCATGAATCGAGTTGGGCTACATCTAAAGGTATCTTATTATTTTAAACCAAAACATGTAGCCATGCAACATGCTCCATCCAACATATATAATATGGCCCAATTTGAGTCAAGGCATCGAGTTGGGCTTATATTCAAGCTAAATATATCGCACCCAAACCCATGTACAAATTTGGGCTGGATAGGGTAGGCTTTGAGGCTATTTAGGATCGGGCTATCTTATAAAGACCAATTTTCTCAAGAATAAAGCCTGGTAGGGAGCTTATGGGCCAAATATTAGGCCCAAATGTCATTATAAAACTCGTGTGTGTTTTCGAGTCAGGCTACACTTGATCAGCTCTAAAATCATTGCTTTCGCAAATAGTTGGGGAATAAATCTAGGGAAGCTTAGGGAAGAACGACAACAAATGCAAATAAATTTACCTGATAAGGTGAGCAAAGCCACTAGTATAGTTATCAAGATGAATGTGGGTGTAAAAACTCTCATCATTAACATTATATAGTGATGTTGACAATAAATTTGGCATAAGTATGATGAAAGAAAAGCACATATACAGTTTATGGACTATATATAGTACATTTAACATTTATAATTTGATAACATAGTAGTTAAATAATTCACCATTATGTCACGTCATTACATTGTCGGTTACTAGTATTTAATCTATGAGCTAGTAGCTGTATAAATATGACTAAGTAAGATATGATATTCTATGATATGATCGAATCAAAATTAAATGTTACCCATCTAATCATGGCCTACGTTCATTGACTTTGCATATTTTCCGCATCACGGTTTTGTTAGCATGCAGATTTTTCACCAACTTGGTATTTTTATGATTTTCGAAGTGTACACTGAATCCTAATTTCTAGCTGCATTTATCATATAAGTGGGATTTATTTTTGGTTTTGATTTGAAGATTGATTTCTACGAGTACTTTTAACCTATCTTAGCACTTGCAGCTGACGTGGAGCAAGTATTCTTATTTGACTTTTGTACCCTTGTTTATATCTTTGATTATATACTTATTGATTTTAAAGTGCATGTCACAAGACTGTGTTTAACAATTTCTAATTTATAAAATACTCATCTCATATATCAATGATTTGTAAGCTTGCTTTAAAAGTCAAATGGTGCTACTTTATAATTTGAGACAGTTTTAGCATTATATGCACAGACTAATAAGCTATACAAACTAAATGAGAAAATCGTAAGTGAAAACTTGTGGAAAAGGACTTTTAAGTTGTATTTTGTTTGTATTATTTGGGTGACCTTTCGTGGTTGTTAACGCCAGAGCTACGGCGTTGACTATCACGTATTAGTCACGTGACTTAAAATAAAAAAATTAAAAAAAAATCCCCAAATTTCCCTGCTTTCCTGATCTAACCCTTTCGTTAAATGCTATGTATTCAGTTTCGGTTAGGTCGGGAAAGGAGGAAAATTTGTGGAATTTTTTTTTCTTTTTAAATAAAAAAGTCACAGCCAACGCCGCTAGTTGACCACCATGCAAGCTCACCAAATATCCCATACAAATAAAATACAACTTAAAAGGTCATTTTCCACAAGTTTTCATTTAAAAGGTCCTTTTTTAAAAGTCGACCACTTAAAAGGTTCTTTTTCACAATTTTCTCAAACTAAATAAACAAAAGGAAATTGAAGAATTGGGAGTTCCTTGATTAAAATTTGAAATCAATAGATGTTTATTGAGTAAATTTATTCAATTCATACGTATAAATTACATCAACAATTACAAACTTTAATTAAAGATGATGCAACTTAAAATTACATCATTAAAACATACTCCGTACATAAGAAACCCTTCCAAATGCATGCAATACATTTTAATTTGGCTTCTTAATTAATACGTACTAAGTATTATCTTTATTGGTAAAGACTTCCCTTGTTACATTTTCCACCAGCATCCGGAAAATTACCATCAAGCACACATTCAAGCCCTTCACAACATTGAATTCCGGCGATACCGCCACAAAATTCACCAGCCATCGGACATGATGTGCTTGTGGGCTTACATACTCCACCTGCATCAGATTCATACTCGTCGCCATCGAGTATGCAGTCTAATCCTTCACAACATTCAAATCCGGCGATGCCTCCGCAAAATTCTTCAGCCTTCATACATTCTCTAGCTGCAACTGTTGGAGCTGGAATATTTAGTAAAATTGCTAACACAAACACAATGCTAAAAATTATGAAGGTACGTGTAGTTTTCGCCATTTGTGCAATTATGAAATTCGATTAAGAAATTCTATATATTGAGAACAAGTATAGATTTGAGGTATATATATATATATATACTATAAGAACTTAAGAAGTAGTAGTTGATGTATTTGAATATGAAATATAAATGATTAAATGATCAATTACATGCATAATATAAGGTGTATGTTACATTATTGTCAATATTAATGTAAACAAGCAATGAGCTGGAAAGATAAGTCTTATGCATGATAGGTACATTATAATAGGACTAGTTTAGTAGTATGTACCTTTATTTTTAAAAGTCAAAGAAAAATTATATAGACATGATATGTAATTCGATGACAAGTAATTTAACAACGAAATATGGTTTTGGTACACGTTTGCTTATCTTAAACTTGACTTTGTTCAATGTTCTTATCTAATCTTCGGCCTAACTTCATTGACTTTGTTTTTTTTTTTTTTTTTTTTTTTTGGCTGCTTCACGACTTTTGAAGTCCGATCCAATGCATGATTGAACATGAATCGAAACAAAATTCATGTAAATACGAGTTTTGATTCAACAATTAAAGAATTTTGGCTATATATGACCTATGAAAATTTAATTTTGGGTATAATATAGTGAAAGGTGTTTTACTTATATTTTGGGTATGTTTCAACAAATCTCTCAAATTATAAGTAGTTGCAAACTCGCAATAATAATCTAGACATGGAGTATTTTTAGACAGAGAATTGGTTGGATTAATACTTTCTTAATAATTTTCTCGATAGTAATTTATAGCCCTATCTGTATGAAGTTTAGGATTTGTTAGATAGCAAATTGAAATTAATTTTACTTATAAAAGACTAACAAATAAACAAGTTAAAAGGTCATGCCCATACACTTTTGTGTGTGTATGCGCGCGCGTATGTGTGTGTTATACAAATATGGAGGTGTTAATGAGGTCAGTCGGATAAGAGTAGTAGGTTTTGTTTTTTTTTTTTGTGGTGCCAAACCCGAGATATCATCAACCATGAGCGTAGACCTAGATTTGATATCAAGTCTTGGGTAATATGGTAACACCTCACTTCTACAATACTTTAAACCGTTAAAGTTAGTTCACATTCATTGACAGGCTAGGGCATTAAAATTTGGAGGGTTATTAAATTAATAGTCATAGATCATATCACCGTTGTTCATATTAAATGAAATAAATTTATTTCAATCATAGTACACTATAATGGTTTGAAATATACCTTCACACATCATATCACATATAGTAGTTTATTTAGAACCCTACAATTGATAAATGATGTAACCAACAATGAGTTAGTTACATGAAAATGAACTCAGAAGGAAAACAAACCACCTATAACATATTGGTTACGTAGTATTATTTATTAAAATCATTAAATGAGAAGATGAGAAGCTTGATCATTAGGAAAACTCCAACGATTGGGTTAATATTTTCGCTTGCAAACTCCTCCGGCGTCTGGGAATGTGCCTTCAAGAACGCAGGTTAATCCTTTACAACAAGCAAATCCGGCGAATCCTCCACAAAATTCACCGGCAACCTTACATGAACCAACGTTACTCTCCTCAACTTGGGCCAATGTTGGAGCTGTAACATGATGAACATCACACAACCATATAATTAAGATACATTTAATGCACAAAAGAAAGAAAACTACATATATAAGCGACATCTATCTCTAATAGTCTAATGTATTTGAGTCATTAATCATAATTAAATCAACTAATATTAAGTAAATAATGAATACATGCATGTAGCTTAATTGGTGCTAAGATGATAAATAGTTGTAGATATGATAACCCAAAGGAAGGTGAAAATGGAGGTTATTGTTGTTAAGATTTGAATTTTAATACTTCATCCGTTCTATTAATATTGCAACAAGGATGAAATTATGCATCGCAAAGCACATTTTATATGCTAAATATCTATAATTGTGTAAGATTAAATATCATAAAAAAAAAAGTTGATATGTGAAAGTATTTTATGAGGCGAATCCAACAAGATCCTACATGTCTATATTTTGCTTAACGTATAAATTATACTATATGGTCAAACAAGAGTGATAAATAATGCAAAAAATCTATTGTTACAATATTAATAGAACGGATGAAGTAAGTTACACATACATGCTTATTTCATTATTATACTTTATTATCAAATCATGGGGCGGCTTAAATCCACACAAAATTTGCAAATTTGCAAATTGTAGCCATTTAAAGTTCTTATATTGCAAATTGCAGCCATTAAAATTTTTTTTTTTTGCAAATTGCAGCCCAAAAGTTCGTATAAATTGTAAATTGTAGCCCGATTCAATTTTTTCATCGGTTTACATGTTGAAAAACCTTCGGTTTAGGTTTTAGGGGTCATTTTAGTCCTTAAAGACCCGAATTGAGCTCGAAATTAGCAAAAAAAATAACGTAAGTGTCTCGTATTTACAGTTTCCCACAAATCGATACATTTTTGTTATGCAAAACGAGATACTTACATTATTTTTTTGCTAATTCTGAGCTCAATTCGGGCCCCTAAGCACTAAAATGACCCCTAAAACCTTAATCGAATATTTTTCAACTTGTAAACTGATGAAAAAATTGAATCGGGCTGCAATTTACAATTTATACGAACTTTTGGGCTGTAATTTGCAAAAAAAAAAAATTAAATAGCTGCAATTTGCAAAACACAAACTTTAAATGGCTGCAATTTGCAAATTTTCCTTAATTTAAATATATATAAAACAAAAAATTGAAGTAAATATAGAAATTAGGAATTCGCCACTATGTAATCACATCAACCCAACTATCTAGTAATCACATCACTATGTAATCACATCTCCCCCCTTCAAAAAAAAAAAAAAAAAAAAAAAAAAAAAAAAAAAATCACATCAACCTAACTCGGCCAATCATATCATATATTCTTTTTTGTATACCTTCCCAATCAAAAAAAGTGATGAATTATGGATAAATGAAATACGTACACTATCTAGTTGTTGACTTATTAGTTGTTACTAGGAAGTATGTATGTACTTACCTGAAAGAAAAACTGCCAACATAATGGTTATGATGAAGAAAGTGGTTGACATCTTCGCCATTTTTATGAACTTGATGATACAGTACAAATTAAGCTAATACGGAGTATATCTAGTTGATGGAATGAACAATGAAGATTATAATCTCATTTCATAGTCAATGCTTCTATTTATAGATAAAAACTAGGAAGTACAAGATGATCAACTTAATTATAGTATATTTTTAGCTTCCGAAATCACATTATATTACAAATTTTAAATATATAATTAATAGTGTCAATTCATTTAATTTTTTAAGCTAAAGATCAGATAAGCCACTTTTATTGACCGTTTTTTCCTTCTTTTTGTTCAAAATCTAGGCATTTCGTTCCCTTTACGTCTATGTTTATTTGTTAATTGTACCTCCAAAGCCCATCACTAATCTATTGTCTTTTCATAATTTTTAATTGGTATTATGGTATAGTAGATTAACTAGATTTTCCTACTACTTTAGCGTGTTATATTTTTCAATAAATATGTAATCTATATCTGTAATTATACATTAAAAAGCGTTTGTAATTATGTTAAAAATATGGTTTGTATAACATTTGAACCCACAACTTCATGTTTAACTACTATAAAAAGTTATTCACAAAGCTATTGTTGTATTATATGTTATTCTTTCAAAAATCAAATTTAAATAAGGATATAAATCATGAATGACAACATTTATACAACCATTAACTAAAAGAAAGTTACTCCGTATGAATCATATAAACTAAATATACCTTAATGAATCAAACGATTTACCTCATAAATAATTATGAATGACAACATTTATACAACCATTCAAGTATGAGGTCCTAATTTTATGAAAAATTGTTAATTTTTTACAATTTTTTTAATTGATAATAAACTCGTATTTTTGTCGAAACAAACAAGTTGAAGTATAAATTACTAAAAGCACTTGAATCCTTAGTTTCGTGACAAATTAAACGTAATCCATGACGTATGTAGCAGGATTTGGATTCGAAGTAGATTTCGCATCGCCGCAGTCTTACTCTTTGTTCTTAAGCTAAAATAACAAATATGTTTAAGGTTTCCTTTTAGTGTAAAATATTTTCAAATCCAAACAAAACTAAATTTTTATTGAAAATATTTACATTAATTTAAACGAGACCTAAGTAAATTCAAAGTTTTATTTCCATTCAAAATCTTTGTATATACAGAGTATATTATAAATTTCATTAATTTTCCTTTATTAATTGAAAATGTACCAAAATTAATTATGGAGTTTATTTTTCATATTATTTATTACTTCGTATACAATTTCACTTGAATTTCTCCGTGCATGATTTTAATGTTTAGTCAATATTCTCTCTTAGCTTCCCAATGCCACATTAATGACTTTGTTCCCTTTTTTTTCTCTCTCTCCTTCTTTCTTTTTTTTTTTACTATTTTTTTTTTTATTTTTTTGATTTGATTTGTTGTGAAAAAGTGAACTATTCAATGTAAATGAGATTTAATGGTTTCTCTCACATCAAAATTTGCTTTCTCAATTTACCTCCTGATTCCCTATTCAATGCATGTTTTGGTTGGTGATGGAAAAAAAATTTAAAAATGAGAAAAGTGAAATTTTAGTGAATTTAATCCTCCCACAAAATATAGAAAATAAACTATCACTCTCTTTAGTCAATCGTATTAAAGTGAGGGTTTTATATTAAGTTCTCATATGAGCAAGGATATAAAATAATTTCTTTGAAAAAAATAATTTTTTCATAAGGGTTTGTTCACATTTATTGAACTGAGTTGAACTGAATTGATTGGAGTTGAAGTAAATTGAACTGAGTGGAGCTGAACTGAATTGAACTTATTGGAATTGAACTGAACTGAACTGAATATTTTATGAGAGAAGGAAATTAAGAGCTAAACTGAATTGAAATGAAATTAAAGTGAAGTGAACAAGCCCTAAAATTATACAACTTCATATGAAAAATAAATTTGCATGTGTATAAAACAAGCACCTACGAGTAGATTATAGAGCATGCACTATCTCTATTTTTCTTTGTTGGGCAGCCCACAACAAAAGAGGCTATAATTGCTCAATCTGTTTAATATCTTTTTTTGGTTTAGTTTAATACTTTACCTCATTGATAACCAAATTGTCGCAGAATCGTAACTAAATCATCAATAAAACTGGTTCGTAAGCATGACATTTTTGTAAATAAATCAACAATTGTAAGGCTTATAGTTAATAAGAAGTTGATGATTTATTTAATGCATGCCACTTGAATTATCAATGAGAAACTTGTTTTTTTTCTTCTAAATACTCCATACCTAATATTGTTATGAAGCATTTCATAAAAGTATAAATTCCATAAAAGTATGTTCAAACTAGGTTCATCATCTGGCAGTAATAGGGATTACACATTTACACCATTTGCCCATTTGGTGATAAAAGTCAATAAACTATAATAAGACACTGTCCACCCAACAGCTAAAAACCAAACATTAACCAGTGTTCAATTTGAGAAAGACAAGGATAAAACAACACAAAATCTTTTGTACAGAGATTCTTAAAAGTAAACATCTCTATCAACTTTTATTGTAGGATACCAGTAAAAATGGTTTTAAGTCTTTCATGCATTATCTTTCAAAAAAAATAAAATGTCTTTCATGCATTAATAACTCAATCTTTCATTATTTTACTATAGCCAACACCTATATATAGCAACTGTGAACCTGTTGTGATGGGGCTATATCTAATAATGTATTCTGCTTTATTAATGAACTCATTTATAATCTGTTTAGTAATGTGTTTTAAGAGGCTTTAAGAGTATTTCCCCTGTTTCGATTTTGTACTAACACCTTGGGATGTTAGCTTGAAAGTTGAAATTGATAAAGATAAGATACGCGATGCCAATGGTGATGCATTAGCTCGATTATTCATACTATCGAGTTAGTACAAAAAATACTCGAACAATCATCCCCTTAACTTATTGCCTTTAGTTGTTTATCCTCGGAGTGTAGCCTATACTCCTTTAGTGATTAGTAAACACAACCACTGCATCTAAGGTTTGTACAATAACGTGTTACTAATATTAATTGGTAACAACAAGCTTGAATCAACTCTTGTTATGTTGAACCATAAAATGGAAACCATGACATTAAACATTAATCAAGCAGTGTCCATCATCCTTTTCATACTAAGTGGACAAGAAATTACTCATACTTCGTATATAATAACAGAGGATTTCTGTTCTAGTCGAGGGTATTAAAACAAGTCAGGGACTTATATTATCAACGATACTATACACGATGAATTACAACAATAACAAAGGGAGGAGAATTTAGAATTTTGGCTGGTAGAAAAAGGCAATGTATGGAAAAAGGGATCAAAATATTTTCAATATTCTCAAGAACTAACCACCCAGCATATCATACATTATAAGCAGATATGAGTATACAACAGACAGTTCAATTCGATGGCTTCAAGATCATATGTTCATAAAGGGTAAAAACAAACCAACATATATTCATATATGCACTAATTCAAGATCATATTTTCGCAACATTCAGTATGATTCACATGTAATTTTTGTATCAGCTCAATGATTTACCAAAGAGAAATCACATCAGACTTCTACTCAACCTACTGTTATCATCCATATATACAAACCTTTGATGAAAACAGCTTTAATGTTGTAAGGTTTAGTGCAATAACATACTAATATCTACTACCTAGATCGGTTCAATATATGCATCAGCTAAAATGATGGCTTAGAACAAAAAACTCTGTTTGATTTTGCTTGTATATTGAGCAATCAACTTGTCAATCTCTTGCATTTCAGCTTTCTTGGCTAGAATAGACTGATCTTCATCTTCGTCGTCTCTTCCACAACCCCCATTTTTTGCAACCTCTATAGATGCACCATCATTTGTCTGCTGAAATCCACACGCCACCAGTTCACTCTTCTGCAAATTTTCACCAGGTTTCGTCTTCAATGACTTTGCTGGTCTGGACTCGATCTCAACAAGTGAAGTATGTAAGGTCTGATAAGAACAACTTAGCAACTGCTGCCTATTTTCAGGGGATTCAATGCATTCTTTCTTTACCAGAACTTCAGACTGCAATTTATACCCATCCTTTTTCTCAACACCCAACTTAGGTTGCTCATAAGATTTTTGTGGAAATCCTGAAGGAAACTTATGATTACTGCCAACACTATTCGGCGTAAAACCAGGAGGGACATTCAATATATTACCAACATTACTCATAGTTGTATATCCAGAGGGCACATCTGCCTCTTTGCAAGCAACAACAGATTCGCGAGGCAAAACTACAGGAACATCAAACTTGTTACCAACAGTCTTTGGAATGAAACTAGAAGGCAGCTCGAAATAATGATCAGCATTGCTATTCTGTGTCAATCCAGGATGCACAAATGCCTTTTCGGAGGAAGCATTAGACTTGGGTGGGAATCCTGGAGGAACATCGAGATCATTACCAAAAAGTTGAGTCAGAAATCTTGGCTTTAAATCTATGTCAAGAGCTGCAATGCTCTTATCAATAGCATCATTCACCTTTCTAATTTCTACACTCAATCTCTTTTTTGAACTCCTATTCTTCCTCACGACGCCACACCAGGCAGCTGGCTTCATTAACACACCCTGACGAAGCCAGTTCAAGTACCTCAAGGTAACTTGTGGCACATAAAACTTTGATGGAATATACAAGATTTCATCATTTGTAGGGTTAGTGTAGTTAATCCAAGCCAATTGTACAAGCTCCCTTTTCGGTATATCAGAATCCAACAAACCTCTCTTAACTACCTCAGGCACATCTTGATCAAACCCAAACTGCATAGCTACACGATTCGGGTTATACTTTTCGATTGTTTCCAACCCCACCAAGTCACACACCCTCAAAAATCGAACCATCGATTTAACATCATCCCCTAAAACACCATTCATAATAACCCACTCCTCACAATCTCGATAAAACATAGGCAAAGGTAAATTATCAACATCCTTACAATACGGCCGCCATTCGAAAGAATGTCCAGCAGATAGCAACAAGGGCCTCACATTCCCTATCTCACTCTCATTAACACCATGCCATCTAGCCAACCTTGGCTCCCCCAATTGAACCAAAACCGGGCTCGGTCGAAACTCAGGGAACCTCTCCCAAGCCCAAACCTGCACCGATTGCAAAGGTGCCCAAACAGTCACCTTAACAAGATCATCAAACCCATCACCTTCAATACCAACAGAATTCACCATAGTAGATTTCAACAAACTCAAATCCCTATAAATACTAGCCAATACAGCAGGAGCAAGAGATCTCTGAAATCCACTAGCTAGAATAATAGCAATCTTAAAATACTTTTTCACAATAACATCACAAGGAAAAGTAGGCAATACAAACCTCGAAAGCCAGTAAGAAAGGAAGGCTTCGTGCTCGATACCGGAATCGAGGCCGTGTTCCATGAAATACTTCATCCACTGACCATGTAAAGCCTTCTGAGATGGCCCCTTTGACATCTCTTTATGTGCATCAATCAATTTATTCTCAATAACAGCAAAATGATCAGTATTATCAGACTTGGAAACAGAGTCCTCTAAAACAGAGTACCCTCCTAAAACCATAACATCTTCCAAAGAAATTGTTGCTTCACCCCAAGGAAAAACAAAAGTATTTGTGTTACAACACCATCTTTCAGCTAAACTAAAGAACAAATCTTCATTTCTGATGATTTTATACTTTGATGAAAGAATTGCTTCATAAATTCCTGCTCTTTTCCAGATAAACTGGTAAGATGGATGCAGTTTATCAACCCATGAAACCCATGATTTTGTTGGGGTTTTCCAACCATTGAAAGTACAATCGATTAAATTGGGTCGAAATGGGAGAGAAATTGAGGGTAAATTTGGGGTAGAATCGAGTAAATCAAAAGTGGGTTTGATGAAATGTGCGATTTTTTTGGTGGGTTTTCCTCCTTTGGAAGAAACCATGAGTTCTTCTCTCTCCTCCATGATAGTTTGAGAGTGTTCTGCCATTTTTTTTGGGTTCAAGGTGAAGAATGGTGTGGGTAGTACTGAAGCACAAACAAGGTGAATGGAAGGTGGTCTTGCTTTGTTTGTTTGTTGAAATCAATTTGGGTGATACGGTACGAAGTACTACGATTTTTGTTTTTTTTACAACAAATATTTTAACTTTGGATAATTTAGGGAAAGTGGATTAATGAGGAGTGTAACACTATAATTATTAATTTTCATACATCTCCTTTTTCCAACCTTACCATTAAAGTATATTGAGATACTCCCTCCGTGCCCTTTTGATAGTCGCTTATGGACAAATTTTAGTCCCAAAATATTCACCTCATTTGTTTTTCCCAACAACTATTAATATTAATATTTTTACTAAAATTCCCTCCAATTTGCAATAATATTTGTGCAAATTTAACTTTCTCATGTCAATTTTGTTTTCCATGTACTTTTATTGTTTTATCTCTCTATTTTTTTGCACACCTAATGTCAATTTACTTTTTCAATATAATTTAACTATTCTTTTTTTGTGTTTATTAATTCCCGTGAAAAATATCCTTAAGGGACTATCAAAAAGGGATGAAGGGAGTAATTTTTATAAAAATAATTTAAATAATTATACTCTCTAAAATATTCATTTACTTATTTGCCCCTATTAACATTAATTGCCTTTATTTTAAAGAAAAAATTGAAAAGAATAATTCCATCTTTGACACATCTTTTCAAAATAATTTCACCTTTGCGTATTCCATAAATAATCCCACATTTTTACCCCATATTCACGAAATAAAGCTCTTCAACAGGTAAACTTTTTCGTTTTCTTGAATTCACCTCTTCCCACCTTATCACCTTCTTTCATGGCAACCCATCCGTCACCATCATGGGTACCATCCCTCACCCCCACCCCCACCTCTGAACTAAACTAGCCCTAACCACCACATCACCACCGAGCTGACCCCCATCCGAAACTCAAGGGGTCGGGGCTGCCATGTCCAAACATCACACCCAAAACCACCACCTGACCCCCAACCCGAAACCCTACCTAAATTGGCCGATGTCTGGGATCAGCAGCGACAACCCACGGAAACACCCAATTTGGCTGATTTGTGGGTTGTATTGCAAATTCTAGGTTGTCGGGATTGTTGTTGGGCTAAATTGTGGAATTGTATTGCGAATCGGTGGTTGTGGTTGTCGGGATTATTTTTGGCCAGCGGCAAGTTGATGATCTGACGGGAAATTGGGTCCAGCAGGGGAGAGAATCGGAGAAGATGCTGAAATTAGTGGGGTAGGATGAAATGGGTTGTGATTCTTGTGAATCGAAGTCCTCCATTGAAGGGGAGAGAGTTGGTTTCAGTGAGGACACCGTTTTGGCTTTGTGCTTGATGCGGTAGTGGTTGTGGTGGTTGCAGTGGCGGACCCAATTAAGTGACATGGGGGACAGATTAAAAAAAAAAAAAAAAATTAAAAAAAAAAAAAAAGTGAAAAAAAAACAAAAAAAAAAGCAAAACGCGACACTGCTACAGAATGAAGAATAGCCAACAACACTCAGTCTTCACTCCTCCAATTCGCCATTGCATCCACTGAGATCGACCGTCGAGGCGTGCGTCGCTGTTCCACCAACCAGGCAACCACCGCCCTGCTGCATCGCTGCTCTCAGTTCCTCACCACTCACCAGTTCACCAAGTCACCACAACACCACTTCGGTCTTCGGCAAATCGGCAGTTCGGCAACCTCTTCACTAGCTGCGTGCACCGGCACCGCCTGCGTGCAACCAGACAACCACCGTCTGACCGTCGAGCCTCGGCCGTCTTCGCTTCATCAACATCAATGGTATGTCTTGCTATTTGCTAACCCTAATTCGAAATTCCCAATTTGAAATCTCCAATTGACAATTGTTAACCCTAATTTTCAGATTTTTCTTTAATTATTGTTAATTTTAATTGCAATCTTTGTTGAATTTTAATTTTAATTGCAATTTTAATCTTAGATTTTACCGTTTTATTAGTATGCAATGATGTGAATTGTGGAAATTGATATATATTTTTCAATTTAATTAGGAAATGTCAAATGATTCACCTAATTCAAACAAATCCAAGGCTACTAGAAAACAACCCGATCTTCGACAATTCATGTTTAAAAGAAAGAAACTCCATGAAAATGAGTCCAACAACTCCCCTTCATTAAGCTCCCCTCAAAGTCAAGAAGATGATATGGAAATGGGTGGTTCAAGTACTTGTAATGTACCATTTAAAATTTTAATACTAAGTATTAACCAATTTGTGTGTTTGAGTTTTTTTTTGTTTTTATTTTGTGTTAAGTTTTTTGTAAGTTAAGCATTTTGTCCCCCCGAATTGAAAATCCTGGATCCGCCACTGGGTGGTTGTGGTAGTTGTTGCTACCGTGGGAGGGGGAGGGAATCCGGGAAGATGGTGGCTACGTCTGGCTTTCCAGGGATTGGTTGGGTCTGCCTCATTGGCTGGTCAGCGGAGGCAGCTCTGGCGAGGCATTTACTCTGGCAGGGGTAGGAAGAAGAAGGGTTATTTTTTTTTTTTGTTTATTCTGTAAATTTTTTTCAAAATTATATATAAAACTTATTTAAAAGATGATATGTGTCAAATTACCTTTTAAAACAGGTTATCAATTCTATCAACCGGTCAATAAATTAAAAAGAATCATTTGAGAATATGGGGTACAAAAATGAGATTATTTTGAGATGATGTGCCAAAAGTAAGATTATTTTTTTCAAATTTTCCTATTTTTAACTCTCTTTTGAGAAGTTATTTTTACTCCCTCTGTTTTTAATATTTGCTCCATTTCTCCACTACTTTTGTTTTTACAATTTTTTATTCTTCCACCTACCCCACTACTTCCATATTTTATTATTTTCTCCAATTTTTCCTAAAATTTCGCGCATAGAGAAACGGGACAAGTATTTAAAAACGGAGAGACTAAAATTGTAACAATGATTTCTTTCAAAATAAAATATGATTTCTTTCAATTTTAGTTATAAATAAAATCATGAATGATTTGCAATTACTGAGAAGTAATTTTAATTTTAGGACAAAGCTCCTTATTTTTTTTCTCATTTACAAGTAAAACACTTATATAGTTGACAGGCTAAAACTAAAGACGGCCCCAGGGACGTTGGATAATATAACATAAAGAAAAAAATATTAAATTAAAATGTTCATTCCTAAATTAACTCCCTCTGTTTTTAAATACTTGATCCATTTTTCATTTACAGATGTTTTAAAATACTTGCTCCATTTCCATATTTGGAAAGCTTTTGCAATATATAATTTACTTCTCTAACTTAATTAGTGGGCCCAATATAAATCATATTTTACTAAATTTTTATTCCCTCTCCTCCAATTCTCTCTATAACTTTTGTTTTTTTACAATTTTTTTTATTCTTTCACCTACATTGTTATCTCCATATTTTATTACTTTATTTAATTTCTCCTAAAACTTCGTGCATGGAGAAATGGAGCAGATATCTAAAAACGGATGGAGTACCACTTTAGAAAATATATTAAATGCTTATCTAACGCTATGGGCATTCGTTAGCAAGGCGGTTAATAAAATTACACTAGTTTTTGGGCCCGGACGATGCCCCATATTATATTATTACATGGAACTGATCAGTAATATATGTTGTAATTTATGATTCAAATTCTTTCTAATTAAATTTGTTGTTCATAATGTCGTATGTTATATATTAATATTTTGTATTCAAAAGATCACATAAAAAATCACATAGCTTGGTGGTAAAACAATTAGTTCTATTAGTTTTTTATTATTATTATTATAAGTGCATGACATGTAATAAAAACAAATGGAAGGGAGAGCTTCATGGCGTTATGAGTAGTTACATGAGCGACGTGGCGTAATGAGAAGAGTTTGTGTGACATGTGAACGTTGTTAGAAATGCCTTTCAATATATTACTCCCTCCATCCCCAAAACTTTGACCCTTTTGAGTTGATTTCGCAGTTATTAAGATATTTAAATAAAAAAAATAAAAACATATTGAAAAGATATATGTACATGGGGTTTGTAAAAAAAGTAGAGAGATAATGTATTAAAAATATATGAAAAAACAAAAATTTATATGGGGAAGTTAATTTTATACAAATATTGTTGTAAATTGGTGGGTATTTTAAATTTTTAATACAAATGGGTTGATCATTTTTAAGAATAAAATTATGCCAAAAGGGTCAAAATTTTGGGGACGAAGGGAGTAGTATAGATTTGTTACATATATTTTGACTCCTTATTTGCATATTCTTCTCCAAAATTACATACGATGTATAATTCTTCTTAAATTTACCTTCTTTTTTTTTTAACAAGAGCTCTCCTGTATTTAGGGATATTTATCGTTAAAATTATGCATTGACAAGCGTAATTGTTAAACGAGCCTGGGCCACACCCGTTACAACTGTCCACTTTACACGATCACGGAGGTTCCACCTCAAAACCATATGGAAATGAGGAAAGTAGCCTCTTAGCCTTATAAAGTGAATACAACTTTCCTATTTTTTCAATGTGGGATACACATCCCAATACAAACTCTCGCTTATAAACTCAATCAATTTGGGACAACACACCACTCACATATAGATTTTCTCATGGGCTCAATAGTGATAAAGGAATCGTGTGGTATTTTGATGATCTTATTAAAATTAAGTATAGTACTTCATAGAAATTATTTGATCTAATTATAATATATTTTAGTTGTAAGTTAAAACCTGGCCTCTATTAATTTCTTATCAAAATAGTTAAACCTATTTTTGCTACATTTATTTTAGGCAAAATTGGCCTCAACACTATGAAATTTGGCTTGGGTGCACTCAGCACCCTGAACTAAGAAAAATAGCCAAAACACCCTAAAGTATTAGCATGGGTGCACTTAGCACCATACAAGAAAATTTCCGGCCAAAAGTGGCCGAATTCCGGCAATTTTTTTTTAATAAAAAAATGTTTTTTTTTTATTTTCTTATTATTATTATTATTATTATTATTATTATTACAAAAATACCTCGATTTGCGTGTTGTTATTTTTTTTTTTACGGAAATTAAGGTTTTAGGGGTCATTTTTACCCTTAATGAGTCCAAATTAAGCTTGGAATTCGCAAAAAAATAATATAAATACCTCGTTTTGCGTGTCGAGTAATATCTCGATTTGCGTACTGTTATTTTTTGTGATGGAAATTGTTCGGGTAAGGTTTCGGGGATCATTTTTATCCTTAATGGATCCAAATTAAGCTCGGAATTCGCAAAAAAGTAATGAAAATACCTCGTTTTGAGTGTCGAGGAATATCTCGATTTGCGTATTGTTATTTCTTGTGATGGAAATTGTTCGGGTAAGGTTTTAGGGGTCATTTTTACCCTTAATGGATCGAAATTAAGCTCAGAATTCGCAACAAAGTAATGGAAATACCTCGTTTTACGTGTCGAGGAATATCTCGATTTGCGTATTGGTTTCGGGGTCATTTTTACTCTTATTGGGTCCGAATTCAGCTCGGGATTTGCAAAGAAAATACCCTGTTTTACGTGTCAAGAAATATCTCGATTTGCGTGTCTTAGCTACTTAGATATTCTCGACACGCAAAACGAGGTATTTCCTTTTTTTTTGCAAAATCTGAGCTAAATTTGGATCCATTAAGGGTAAAAATGACCCTTGAAACCTTACCTGAACAATTTCCGTCAAAAAAAATAACAACATGCAAATCGAGGTATTTTCGTAATAATAATAATAGTAATAATAATAATAATAATAATAATAATAAGAAGAAAAAAATAAAAAAATAAACATTTTTTATAAAAAAAACATATTTTTATTAAAAAAAAAAAATCGCCGCGATACGACTACTTTTGGCTGGAAAATTTCTTGTATGGTGCTAAGTGCACCCATGCTAATACTTCAGGGTGTTTTGGCTATTTTTCTTAGTTCAGGGTGCTGAGTGCACCCAAACCAAAGTTCAGAGTGTTGAGGCCAATTTTACCTTTATTTTATGTAAACTAACCCTATCTAAACTTATTTTCCTCGTACTAATGTAAATTAAGTGAACAAAATATTTGGATATAATTTTATTTTACTTTTGGTTACAAAGAATTATCTTTATGATTAAGCAAGCAAGAGAATGTTCCACGCAATAGTTATGCTACATGGATATGCAACCATCTATCTTACAAAACTGTACTTCCTCGTTCAAAAATTTATTCCTCATAATTTTTCATATACGATTAAATATTTCCTTTTTTTTTTTTTTTTTAGAGAGCCACAAGGACGGGGGTGAGAATCGATCCCAGGATCTCCCGAAATCCGGAGGGAAACTCTAACCACTTGAGCTATCCCTCACTCTCACAAATAAAGTTTTTTTTTTTTTTTTTTGACACGCCTTCAAGCTTAGCTTTATTACACAAATTAAGTTTTCTATGCATTGATTTCACTATAATTAAATATACATGTAAGGCTGGAAACTTGGGATTAAGGCCTTAACTCATACGTAAATTTCCCAAATTTCCAAAAACCCCTTCTCTTGCTTTTTTATTTATTTTTTAATCAAGGAAACAAAAGCCCTTATCCTCTTAAACCAACTCTTAAAAGTAAAAAAAGTACTTTTGTATCTACTCGTAGTAAAATTATCCTCTTAATTTTAGTCCAAATAAATCTACAAAAATCAAATTTTCCTCAAATATTTTTAAGAAAGTCGGCTAACTATGGTTTTAGTTTTCCTTTATAAATAACTCAATTCCATTATCAAATTGTTCTTGTATATTTCCAAGTCTTTATTTTATTTTAGGTGATTTTAATTACTATTCAAAACACACCAATTTCCTTCTTAACTTTCTAATATGAGTCCCAAATCTTCTGATTTGCCTCGACCCCTCAAAGGTGACGCTAGTAGTAGTCGTCGTGGTTGTACTCATGATCGTGGTCGTGATCGTGCAAGGGTGAAGAAGGTGGAGATCATTAAAATACAGTCGTATAAACCCAATGTAGCACCGAAGAAGTTCTACAAGAAACCAAGAATGCGTGTGGTGTTACCCACTGAGCGAATCCGCATCCGCTGTCCTAAGGGTTGGGATAAGGTGACCGACGAAGAGTTGATTGCTTATTTTCGTGATGACGAGGATGATTCGAGTCAGGATATTTCTCTAGAGGAAGACATTGATGAAGAGCCAGTTAAAGTTCCCAAGGAGGCTGTTGTTGAGCACGACACTGAAGACAACGTGATCCCCAAGAAAACTTAGAACCAAATTTGGTGTTTTGTTTGTAGTAAAACTGTTAGGTATCTGATATGTGAAGTTTATATATGATTGCATAAATGAAAGTATTATTGCAAGATTTCTTTATCTTTATAAATCTGATGTACAACTCTACAGCACATTATTATTTGAATGGTTTCAACAATCTTGTGTGATAATTGTATGCATATTTTGATCAATTGATCTTTTTCTTTTTGTTCTTGTTGATTTCATGTAGTGTAAGCACTTGGGAAATTAAGCAATTTCGTTCACAAATTAAAACCCTAATGAAATCTGTTTATACTTGAAGCCAAATTTAGAAGTACAGTACAATTTTTGGCTGATTTTAAGAAATATGCAAGTGTGGTTTGAAGGAGGGCTCCCACAATCAAACATTCAGACAGAAGGATCTAAGTGAAAGTCATTTTATCAATTATGGCCGATATAGGTGATGCCATGGTGGTGGTGAGGCCGTGACTCGTGAGGGCATCCCTGCTTTCTTGCTGCAGGCCTGCAGCCTGTAGGGACTAAAAGTTATAGGCATATGGTGGTGATGAGGCCGTGACTCGTGAAGGCAGAAATAGGCGAAGCTACGGGCCTATGGCAACCCCTTTTGGTTTCCTAGGAGCTCAAAGGCCAGTGAAGTTTTGATTGTTGTGCATTGTACATTGTCAAAGCCATTATTAATACAAGGGAGTATGGTAATTTCTGATAGCCCTTATGATTCGAGACGTGATATTAAGTTGTGCTTCTTTTTTATGTAACCATATAGCTAATTGTGAGCCCATACCAAACATATACTAGCAAATTAGGTAACACCAACATAATGCTACACTATTTCTTTCCTATTTTCGGGTTAAGGGATAGCATAGGTTACATAATTAGTGAACATTGTTGTGCTTAATAAAAGAAGAATGCTTGGACAGTTGCAAAAAAGAAGATTTTCTCAATTTAGGCAAAATTGCAAATAGCACCTTAATGCATTAATCAGCAACAAAAAGATCAAAGCACATAGCTACATGCATTTTCATGCTTCATAAACTGAGAAACAAATCAGAATGTACAAAATTCGAGTGACATACCATTGATCATCACAGCCAGTAATTCTCAACATGAATTGGACTCCCAAACGAAATACCGAACTTTTTTACCTTTTTGACAGCCTTGTTTGAGCCATTGAACAAGGGGTAATCAGCTGAATCCCCAATTCTTCTTTTCAACTTCTTTGTACTACTCCTTGACAGGATAACATCTTTGCACTCCGGTTTCTCTGCCATCTCATCATCTGAATCCATAACCACCAGGCCTTCCAGACTTTGTACTTCATCCTTAGTACCATTGTCACCAGTCTCACCACCCGAAACATTCAGGATTTCACTCACGGGACTAACAGTTGCTGCTGGTTCAAGTGAATCACTGCCCTCATTACAATTCGATTCTGTTTTCACAATGTCACTTGTTTGTATCGGCCTCTTATGATCATCATCCTTGCACACCTGCTCAAGGCCTTCAATAATCGCGTTTCCATGAGCACTAATTGATCCTTCCCTTACTATGCTATAACTCACTTCAGATGGCTTTTTAACATCAAGCAATCTGACATTTCCTGATTTTAAAGGGCTAGTTATTCTAGCATCAACCTTAACCTTATGACCAGATTGACCACATTCAAACTGCATCATGACCCTACGAGGCTGATAAGTTGCAGTACAATCAATCCCAATCAACTCCTGAGGTAGCAAACACACTTGAAATGCTTTCAATTCATCATCAACATCACCCAAATAACCACACAATATCTTCCCAACATCAAGGTCAATAGACCTATACCGCCAATTCACCAAATCTAAAGCATAAGGCTGCCAACAAAAACTCTCACTCGACGATCTTATTTCTCTTCTAACATCAACCAAACTCCCCTTAAATCTCACCTTATCCCACCTACCAATCCTAGGCTGCCCTGAACTCAAAGGCCTAGCTAATTTCGACCCTAACAAGGGAAATCTTTCGAAAGCCCAAAGCTGCAAAATCTGAAATGGACCAGGAACAGAAACCTCCTTCTTAGCAGAATCAAAATCAGCAGCATGTAGAGTAAGAAAGGTCATGTTCTGATACAAACAAGCAAGAACAGCAGGAGTAAGAGCGATCCTCGCCCCTCGAGCAAGGCGAATAGCAACCGGAAAACCATGTGATCCTACTGATCCATCATCAATGACAGGAAACACAAACCTAGAAAGCCAAAATGCCAAAAATCCCACATGTTTCATTTCATCATTCTGTTCATTAAAATACTTAATCCAACCATTACTTTCATTACTACTAATTGACAGAGCATTTTTTACACTATGCAATTTTGATTCGAGATTTTTATATGAACCATCAAAAGCAGAAAAATTCACATTTTCTCCTAAAACAGGCAAACCATACAAAACACTTACATCTTCCAAAGTAATGGTAGCTTCACCCCATGGAAAATGGAAAGTGTTTGTTAAAGAACTCCAATATTCAACTAAACCCAGAATTATATCTGGGTTAGGTTTAATTTCATGTAAAGAAGAAAGAATTCCATCACAAATACCTGTTAATTCCCATATTTTGGCGAATTTGAGTGATAATTTCTCGACCCAATTAGCCCAATTTTTATGGGGTTTTTTCCAACCTGGAAATTTCACCTTAATCGGCCATTTTCGAAGGTTTTTTTGCTCGAAAATGTCAGACAAAAGAGGGTTTTTTTTGGGGTTATTGGGTTTTTGACATGATTTTAGGGTTTTTGGTACTGATAATTTTGCCATTGGTGATGAAAATGAGTGGGAATTTTAATGGGTTTTTTGGGATTTAAGGGAAGAATCAGTAAAATGGCGCGAAATTAGATTGTTTTTGAAATATAATTAATTTTTTTTATTGATTTGACAGGTTATTTTAATGGATTGAAATATGAAAAGTGTCTTCAGGAATTCTTCTGCAAAGATTTCTGGACAAGTTTCATATCACGTTCCCATGTTACTTGTTACTCTTGTTAGTGGGTTAACCTAGGCCTATATATGGCTGCATTTTTTTTTTTTTAGGAAAATTTGTTACAAACCACCTTTTAAAGTGTCTTTTTTATTTAAAACAACCTTTTAAAATATTTTTTGCAACTTCAGACCACATTAAAAAAATTTTTTACAAAAGGCAACCCAATGCAAGTTTCCGGCGTTGACTAAATCTTTTCTGATGTTGACTACGCATGTGCAAGACACGTGCCTCATATATTACTTCATACACCCAATTTTCCTCCAATTAACTCCAATAAAAAAAAAAAAAAAAAAAAAAAACTCCAATAAAAAACAGTGCTTCTCTCTCCTTCAATTTTGGAGACAAAACCTCACTAATACTCTCTGCAATTCTTCTCAACTTCCATTAATTAAGAGGTTCCAAGTAGAGTAAGCATTCATTTTTTGTTTAAAGTTTTAAACTTTCTCAATTATCGCTTATCCTCTTTTCTTTTTTTTTCTTTTTCTTTTTTTTTTTTAATTGCCATTTGCTGCCATGGTCAGATATAAAGGGAAGAAGAAAGCTCTGTCATCTTCTAGCAAATTGAGGGTCAATTATCAAGTTATGTAAAATCCCAGGTAACTTGCTTTACACCCAATTATCTTGCTTGAGGGGGACCAATTTTCAATTTGTAGGGTTTAGTTCGATTATTTAATCAAGCTTTGACATTTAAAAATTAGGATAAATTCATGTTGATTATTTAAATAAATGTACCCAATAATGCTTAATTGTATGGTTTTGGTGATTGTTTACTTTAATCGAACAAAATGTGAATGTCAGTTCAATTTTTTTCATTTTTTTTTATTTTGCGATTTTTTGGGGAATGCCGAACCTTAATTTATTTTGTTGCATGCATGTGTTGTTTGTATCAGGTTTAATGGTAGAATAAGCATATTTAATCCTTGGTATAAACTTATGGAACCCATTAATATAAGGTTGTATTATGCTGGTCACTTTAAGACAAACCCCAAAAAGAGAGAAACTACTCATGAGAAAGGGGACAGTAATTACTATGGGGTGGCATTACATCCTAATGTTGAACAGGTTTGCTATTTTGAATTTGTTGATTGGATTAAAAGGGAATTAGGATATAGTGAGGTGGGTCAGATTTGGTTTAGGAAAGAAGGATGCTCTTTGTTCACTGATAGGAAAGAGATAAAGAGTGATGTTGAGATACCTGAGTTTTTGGAAGCACCTGAGAGGGATGGTTGGTACAAATTGTATGTGGTACATGAGGAGAGTGAGAGTCAAAAAGGAAGGAGTGACATGTCTTCATGTGGGGGTGGTGAGTCATTTATTAAATTGGGGGGCCCACTTTCCAACCCTAGATCTAAAAACCTTATCTCTTTGTCATTGCAACCAGATTCAAATCTCACAGTAGCTCCCAAAAAAAACATCCTTCCCACACCCTTTATGCATAAATTGCCTATAATCTCATCAAGTAAGAAAACATGTGTAACTGTGTCAGAAAATTCATTATTTAGAGAGGGTCTGGAAAATAGAGAGGGTTTGGAAGATACACATGAAGGTGATGATTTCAATGAGGGTGATGATCAGAATGTTGATTTGAGTGAGGCTGATTTGAGTTATGCTGATTTTGATGATAGAGGTGATGATGATCTGTTCCAAGAGTATGTTGATGGAGATATAAATGAGAGGGTAACTAGGAGTTTGGGAGGGATTCATAACAACTCACAGTTGGTGCATGATGAAGAGGATGAACAAGAAGATGAGCAGGAAGATGAACAAGAAGAAGAGCTTGACTATGCTATACCTGATGATGTGGTCTTGAATGACAGTGATGATGATATTGATAGTGTCATAGGGTCAGATGATGAGGGGCTCAAATATCCTGTTTTTAATCCAGAAGTAGACTTCAAAGGTTAGGTCATCTTGAGTAAAGGTTTGAAATTCCCTTTTAACACTATATTCAGGAAGGCACTCAGATACCATGCAATAGAAAATGGCTACAATTATTACTATTTGCATAATAACAACACTAGGGTGACTGTCTATTGTGCTATGAGGTGCGGTTGTCCCTGGAAAAAAGCTAGGATTTTGGAGTGTAAATGCAATCAAAAGAAAAAGTGTAGGTTTAAGGTGTATTGTAGAAAGCTGAAGCAGGAAAGCACTTGGCAAATTAAAAGGTTCAGACCATTGCATATTTGTGGTCATCAACATGTGAACAACAAGGTTAATTCTCAATACCTAGCTGAGAGATACTTAGAAGATTGGAGGGATGATCCTACAATGAAATTGAGTGCATTTATAAAGAGAGCAAGAAGAGAAGTGAAAGTTGAAATTGGATACCATAAAGCATGGCATGCAAAATCTAAGGCTTTAAATATGATTTTTGGTGATGCTAGCCTAGAGTACAAAAGGGTTTGGGATTATGCGGCAGCTATTAGGCAGTTTATACTTGGTAGTACAGCCGTGGTGAAAGTTGAAGGCATACAGAAACCTCCTCCTCTATTTCAGAGGATGTACATTTGCTTACAACCATGCAAACAAGGGTTGACCATGAAGAAACTAGTAGCATGAGAATAACACAAGCTGACTTACACGAATTTGAGGTTGACCATGAAGGAGATAATTTTGTAGTTAACTTAGAAACAAGAGTATGTGGTTGTTACAGATGGAGTTTAATGGGCATACCTTGCTGGCATGCTCTGGCATGCATACAGTTAAGGAGATTGAACTATGAAGATTTTATTCACACTGCATATCATGTTGAAACTTATGCAAAAGCTTATGCACCTGCATTTAAAGCAATGCCGGGGCAAAATCAGTGGCCTGTGACAACATACCCACACCCCTTGCTTCCACCTCATAGAATCCTCCCAGGTAGACCCAGCAAAAAGAAAAGAAAAAGGAGGTTGGTGAGGATAATGAGAAAAAGAATGTAGAGAGAGCAAAGAAGCAAAATAAATGTAGTAGGTGTGGTGGACTAGGTCATTACAAAACAAAATGTTCCAGACCCTTTCAAATTATCCCTGAGAAATCAAAAGGGGGAAGGCCTAGGTCTGATGGATCAACTGTTGTTGCCCATGTTGAGTTAAATGCTAATGCTGCTGGTGGATCATATCCTTCTCGTTCTGGTGGTGCTACAACAACAAGTGCTGGAGCAAGTGGATCAGTGAATAAGAAGAAAGGGGTGGCAACAAAAAAAGGGAAATCCAAAGCCACTTCAGTTACTACTACAGTTAATGGGGGTGCAGCTGCTGCTACAACAAATGATGCTGGTGGTAGTGGATCAGGCAAGAATAACAACAGAGTGGCTACTACACAAGGCAAATCCAAGACCACCTCTTCTAAGAAGGGGGGTGTGCAGTTGTCCCAACATGTCCAAGCATCACAATTTTCTACATCAACTTCTGCCCCACAACCTCAATCTCAGTCTGAACATGCTGATTGATGGTGTTTCTCAGTATTTTGTATCTCTTTCTTTTGTTAAAACTATGGATCAATATCATCATTTGGTTGTAATGTGATATTAAAACTTGTTATATGTTAGTTAATACTTTGTCAAAACTTTATGTTTGTGGTTTTAATGATCAATGCTCCTTTGTTTGATATGATCAAAACTTGTTATCATGCCGAGATTGGTAGAAATAATGCAGGAAATACAACTCATTGTATGATCAAAATGGTAGCAATGCCGATAAAACATGGTAAAACATCCATTAATTAGTGCAACTGGTTCATATTACAAACATCCATTAATTACAAACATGGTAAAACATCCACAGAGTTTCACTACAAGGAAACTACAGCAACAGACACAACAACACAAATAAAAAGTAATTTGTCACTTTGAATTCCAACATTAGTTTGTTGAAGATTTTCATTTTTCTTGAGCATTTTCTTCTTTACTTTGTCCGATTCTTCATACAACCTTTGCTTCTCATGCTCTGTTAGTGATAAGTTTGGCCTTCAAAATGCTTAAATCAGTGGCTTACTTACTCCTTTCTGCAATCAAGACATTAGTGACATCCCTTTGCTAGTCAAGAATGTCTTCATCAAGCCACTCAAACGTGTTGCATCCCCTTTGACCGGTTTCATGTTTGTAGAACTTACAAGCGTAGAATTTCCGTCCTGGGTTTGGGGAAAAAAACCCTAATTTTTCACAACACCAATTTACAGAAAAAAAAAAAGTAAAATAAAAAACTAAAACCACGATACCTGGTTTGAAATTGATAAAATGCTTGGTTGACACCTTGAAATCCCATATTCAAACAGCTTTAGAGGAATTTGTTCTGCAATTTTTTTTCCAATTGAACGACAAAGAGGAAGGAGAGAGAAGCAGGGGTTTTTATTGGAGTTAATTGGAGGAAAATTGGGTGTATTAAGTAATATATGAGGCACGTGTCTTGCACATGCGTAGTCAACATCGGAAAAGATTTAGTCAACGCCGGAAACTTGCATTGGGTTGTCTTTTGTAAAAAAAAAATTTAATGTGGTCTGAAGTTGCAAAAAATATTTTAAAAGATTGTTTTAAATAAAGTAAACATTTTAAAAGGTTGTTTCTGACAAATTTTCCTTTGTTTTAAGTAATTGTATTTGTACTCTATTATAAAATAGAGAGAAATATAAGAGAGATTGATAGAGAATATATCAGTGTATTTCTATTCTATATAATGGGGTATATATAAATACAATACATTAGGGTTTGAATGGATAAGAATATAAACCCTAGATCTAGATTGTTTCGGAATGATACAAAGGAAGATAATGGATATCTACAAATATTTCATAACACTCCCCCTTGGATGTCCATTATCGAAGATTGTGCCTCATTAACCTTACTACGAAAAACCCTGTGGGATAAAAACATAGTGAAGGAAAAAGAGTACATCATTCTTCGTAATACGCTCGAGATGCTGCCTCATTAAAAACCTTACCAGGAAAACCCAATTTGGGACAAAACCATGGTCAAGGGGAAAATAGTGCAACACGTATTTTCTCCCCCTGATGAATACATAACTTGAGATCTTCTAGTGTCGCAACAATGAATCCAATATGTTGGATATCTTCTAATAAGTTGGTAAAATATCACTTGTTGATCTTCGACTTTCCTAAGCTGAAGTTGCATCTTCAATTCTTCAAGTCTTCACGTGAACATGTGAAGTGTCTTCATTTCACCATATATGTGTTTATCTCCAATATCACCATTCCAAATCTCTATTTAATAGTTGATTAAAAAGGTTAAACTCATGCGGTTATGACTTCTTCTGGAAGTCGTTAATAATAAATATTGGTGATCATTATTTGATTTAACATTCATTAATAATAATTTGATGACAAAACTTGATATTATTAATGTCATTCTTCAATCTCATATGAATTATAATATAACATATGTAATTATGTACGCTAATCATGATTCTTCTGGACCATGAGAAAACATTCTTGCACATAAGTATTTCATTGATATTATTTAGATGTTTCATGATTGACATGATAGCTCTCTTGTAAATACAAGTAGTAAATCTTACTAACTCTCATATGCTCAAACTTCAGGTTGAGATGTCAATAATGTAATCACATAGACTTTTCAAGAGTTTGATAACAATTGCAATATTCAAGACATAAAAATTGTAGGGTTGGGCATTTAATACGTCGTATATAAGTTCTTCGGGAACTCCTTTTAATGATTCATAACATGTTATTAAATAAGTGTCATCAATAATTTCATTACAATTATAAGCCCATTGGAAAATAAATATCTCTTTCTAATTTTTCATCAAAGTTGTAAATATGTCTTACTATACTTTGAATGAACATTCACATACACCACAACCATTGTAAGAAATTAATCCATGCAATATGAGATATATAAAACATTATAACATATAAACAAATTATACAATGAGTAATGCATCTAACTTCCTACATATGCAATAAACCATTAACCTATGACTCACATACACATAAATATAAGACTCAAAATAATGCAAGACCCTGTACAGTGTGGATTTAAAAATCCATATTTCATTGGACTTCGGGTCCATGATAAACTTATGATCATTATCATTATGTCGACATCAAAATGAACATATATTTCAGATCCCTTACTTGTGGATTTAAAAATCCATATTTCATTCCATTATGCATATGCATATTATTCATCGGTTCCATTATGTACCGGTATCATAAAATTCCTTTAACTTACATTCCGCATGCTATTTTACTATGATATTTGAATACATTTCTCATTGGTACCATCATAATTTTTTCTTACATCATATGCCATCTATTATAATAATTCAGATATCTATACCACTTTTAGGGTATTTCATACACTATGATATTTATATACTATTACACTATTAGTGTCAACTGCACTATCTTGCCAAATATCATATCTATTAAACATATCTTTAATTTGGAACCGATCATATACAACCTACACTTCAGGTGTAGTGATTCAAGTACAATTGACAAGATTTTATCTCAATGTATACACATAATTAATATCACCAAAATGTATCTTCAACGCTATGCAACATGAGTCATAACTGAATACAAATCAAATCATAAATGTGCAACATGTCTTGATAATGTATATACAAAAGTTGGAATATATATAACTTTTCAAACTACCATTATAGGGATCATATTTATTATTTATTTATTTTAATTAATTTTTTCAACTTTTGCTAATTCGTTCTTCTCCCCCTAAGTTGGTAAAATATCTCATTTATAGAGGCATCTTATTATATACCAACTTAGTCGACAAATTTGCATTAATAAAATTCACTTCATTAGGAGGATCACAATCAAAACTTATCTATTCTGGAGAACAATTTCAATGAAGAATTATTTATTCATTAACTTTATATTTCATGTGTATTTATTATTAAATTTTCAATAATATTTTCTCTTCTGGAGATCAATGTCAATGGGGAGACACATGTTGTGTAGTTGTACGTTTTGCTTTCTTCTCCTATTTCATATGTGCTGACATATAATAGCCCCAATCAAAAGAATTGTTATACAAGCATAAATCACTTGCTCGTAATTCTAGTTGGTGACGATATTCTGGATCTTTAAAGACTTAAATAGTATATTTGGTGAGCTTCTAATCACTTGATAGTTGACAATAATATATAAGTTATTTTGGTGAACTTCTGGTCAGCCCTTACTCCTTTATATATATAAAAAAAAAAAAAAAAAAAAAATCAAAACTTATTAAATCTTGAAATTTTCATCAAACAAATTATTATAACTCACAATCCAAATATAACCCAATCTCAATGTTACGTCTTGCCATTCAATTCATTTTATATATTTAACATTGAGAAAGCGTCAGCACATTATCAAATGAAACTTCAGGTTTCCATTACGGGTAATTATTATGAAACCCGAATGGCCTAATTTAATTATCACATCCAATCACTTCTCTAAATTTGAACTATGGTCAGTTTTCAACACTAGTATCACTTTATTAAACTATCTATATGCATGGCCATGAATGTCATATGATTTTAGAACACCAACATGTGTTTCTTTATACAATTGGCAAGACAATCAATTAATATTTTATCCAATAATTACTCATACTCTACTGGAGTTTAAACTATAAACTTGATATATGTTAATCTTGTTGGATATTTCATACTCTTCTGGAGTCTTTTATATAATCAAACATATGAACTTTACTAAAAGTGATTTCTTCTAGAAATATAATGATATTTACCACTTCCTCAAATTTGTCATTGTCAATAGTGACTCCTTTTCTTTTCAAAAATACTTAATTATCTTTAGAACCTATTGATTTATCACGCTTCAGGCATGCTATAGGTTCATCAACAATTGATGTTGTACTCTTAGGACATCAATTTTAAATTAGAGCATTTACAACTAGTATATGATAAATGTCATTTGTTTATATCCATCTTCAGGATGGTATCATTTCAAAATATTTAATGAACATGTGACCACTTCTATTAAATAAATCGTTGATATTTAAGTTATTGTATGAATCAAACTGACCATCAATATATTTTATTATTTATATGCAAGGGTTACATACAATCTCCCCCTAATCCTTGCAAATGGGGGTATGGAATGAATCAATCCAACAACCTTTAAAATTCTTGCAACTTTTAAGCCATAAATTCTTTTGGCAATGTCATGTATCAAGTAAAGTGTTCCTTTTAGCAAAAACATGCTTATATAAAAATTATACTTAAAGAACACTTATCATGTTCCTCGTGCCCAATTACATTCATCTTAAAAAAAAAACAAAACCTCTTATATTTATGGGCATAATAAAATGTTGATTATGTATAGTTTCTCACAATGTCATATTGCAATTTATAAACTTAAAAGCATTGTTATTTGGTCCAATAGTTAATATGTAATTATCTTTGCAATTCTAATTAAGCTTTTCAATGATTTGTAATTACAAAAACATAATGAAAATATGTTTCCTTTTAATCACATGAATTCTCATTCACTTATAGAGTGAATAAATATAGTAATTTATGTATCTTCAATACTCACTTAGAATTCAATACCTAAAATACGTTCAAAACCTTTTGTAAATTCTATCTCATGGACTCTATATATAGTCGCATTAGTATCGTGGATGCTTTTTAGCAACATACTTTATTAGAAATATCGTGGACTCTATCTTTATATCAATTTTAGGTTTTAAAACCTTTATAAATTTAAGGAACTTCAGGTCCATATATATGTGTAAGTATTTCATGTTCAATTTACATTCATTCCAATAGTCTAACTTCAAGTAGGTACATAATATTATAATTGAATGAGAAGGTAAAAATATGAAAACCTACTACTTCACGCTTTAATAAAAACATACCTGAATCGATTGAATCAACTATACTGTTGGATCAATTATATCAATATATTGCTTGATAAAGCTTAATTAGAAAATAGAAACAAGCACATAAGCAACCAAAATTAACACGTTCACGTTAGTGGAAAACCACATGTTTCATATCATATTTGAAATATAAAAACATAATTCAATACATAAATTATAAATTGTTTCACATGTGCCTTAGGCTTACTTCTTACAAACATTCAAGGCATTAGACATAGGATTTCACAAACAAATTATATGGGTAAATAATTGCTAAATCAAATCATTCATATTTGCTATGAAGCATAGAGAAATAACCAAACTCATTTACTACGGATAGGAAAAGTAATACCAAAATCTAGCAAATATTTGTAATACAAGACCATACGTTCATAAATTAACACCAATAATAATTCTAAATACCCTTTTAGATCCAAACTAAACAAGACTCATAGTCAAAACAAAACTACAAATTAGTTATTTTCTGCATCAAATCCAACTATTCCCAAATTGCTCATTGAACTCTAGGAATAATAAAAATACGAAAATTTGGGAAACAATATAAACATATTATCTAAAGGTTTAAAATTAACAATAACAGGATAGTTGAGAATGAACTTTCCTGATATCAAAACCTTTTTCACCATAAAAACCAGCCTTATCGTCAACTTCATGTTGTCAACGTCATCTCTGCTAGCCTGTAACTCATGAAAACGTATGAAAAGAAAATAAAGTATAGCCCTTGATTAAGGCTAATCTATTATATTATGGATATATGAGAAAGATGATTCAAGATAAACAAACCAATGCAACTGAAAAATAATACGAGCAGTTCTTTGTAATTAAATAAAGCGGCACTACCATTAACATTCCAAATTATTAATACCATGAGACTTCTTGTACTAGACCCAAATTAATTAATGAGGATTGGGAATGATATGACATTCTTGAAACGTGTGATTTCATTATTAAAAGATCAAAACCCATGATCAAGATTAATCTCCTTCTGAAATCAACAATAAAATTTACATAGAGCTTTGGTGCTGATAACGTGTTATAAAATAGAGAGAAATATAAGAGAGATTGATAGAGAATATATCAACGTATTTCTATTCCATATAACATTAGGGTTTGAATGGATAAGAATATCAACCCTAGATCTAGATTGTTCCGGAATGATACAAAGGAGGATAATGGATATCCACAAATATTTCATAACATACTCTTATTTTTTATTTATATTTTTTATGAGTTGAATAATTTCTCATAATAAAAAAATAACATTAGTAATTTTATCATTCCCTAACATTGAATATTTAAATTGTATAATTTCCAATAAAAATGCAGTTATAAATGTAAAATAATAATAGTTGGAAATCATGCATGTTTCAAAATTGCTTAATTTATGAGAAATCATTAATGCGTGTTCAAATTCAATTGAATTTAACCTTAATTCAATCCACATACAAAATATCTACAGTAATAGACACCCTAGTAAGCTCTATTAGGGAGTTTTGGTAATTAGTGAGAATATCTCTTATGAATAGAGTTTACTTAAAAGTGTGTTCTCTTCGGCTTATTAGACATGATAAACAGAAATGTTTGCATTGGAACTCGAAAGTGGTTTTCACATTGCAAATATGCAAATATTTTGATAAATGGGAATAATTACATCGAATGTTGGTATAAGAAATAAAAAATGTGTAAAAATAAGATATATACGGAGTAGTAGTACACTAGTATCGGCCCTATTCTGTTCACCTTATTTCTAATTATTTTAGGAAAAATAAGTTTAGATAATTTCATACTTCGTATAAGATAAGTTCAGATAAGTAGTGATAAAAGTTGCTATTCAAAAAAAAAAAAAGTAGTGATAAAAGTTCATCAGGGCTACCCAAGTTCAATTTATAACTAAAATAAGTTCTAATAATGGCTAATAAGTTCAGATAAAATCAGATAATTTCAAATAAGTTAGATAAGTAAAAATCAGTTGAATATAACGCACTCTTTGTCCAAGCTATACTTGAATTTTAAAATTACTACTCCCCCCGTCTCTAAATTACATTCCTACTATTATATGAAGAATAAATGCTAGAAGTAGGAATATAATTTAGGGACGGAGGGATTATCATGGTTACATGAATTGTAATTTAGTCAAATATAAATCGGTTGTAATTGTTAATTAAAAAAAAAATACTTTGACTATATACTACTCCATATTTTACTTGTATATACAAGTAATTGTTAATAGATTACTAGTTTACTACTCCATATAACAAATTTATTAATAAAAAATTAATGATTAGGAGTAATAATTTATATATATAAAATAATATTTTCAAGTTTTTGGCGAGCTAGTGAGCTTTACGTACAAATCTTGTATGAGTTGTTCGATTCAGCTCAGCTCATTAATATCTCGAATCCAAATTCATATAAACTTAAATCTTAACCAAACAAAGCATTACAAACGATGTCAAAAAAAAAAAAAAAAAAAAAAGACAAATCCTTTAATTTGTATATTAAGTCCATTAAAAAAAAATATACATAGTATATGTATATTGACTAGTTCGATTTCATTTATCACATGGTTTTCCGACGTCCCATCAACACCCCTTCATATAAGAACATCTCATAATTCCTCACATCTTCACTTCTCTTAAACTAGTCCAATAATGGATTAAAATCCATATTCATTATTATGGGTTTATATATTATCCAATATCCATACAAAAAAGATGTACTCGTACTACACAATCGAATATATTGGCCTGAAAATTCTCCAAAATCCAGCGATGTACAAATAAGCACGTCCATTCAATTATTATTCCTACCAACATTTATATGATCTCATCAACATATCTAATTATTTGTAAAATCAGAAATTAAGATTTTATTTAATAATTATAATTATAATAAAATTAAAATAACGCGTCCCCACCCATATTTTACGGGGATTATTTTTATAACTTAATTAATTTAACTAATTATAAAATCTATACGTGTCAACAACTAAATGAATATTTGATATTTTCTATATTTAATCCAATTCTCTCTCCCGCCTTTTCTCCCTTTATCATCCTAACTACTTCTTAACCACCTTCTCTGTCTTTCAACAACCATCTCTTTCTCCTCTCTTTTCTCTTTAAAAATAACTATACTAATTTATTTCTCCATTATTTTTATTTTTATTGTTTTCATTTATTTATTTATTTGATGGTTGATTTATAATTTGGTTTTTTTTTCTTGGGAGAGGAAAAAGGGAGATAATATCACAAAAAACAGAATAGCATGTATCACCATTCTCCCAACATGGTGGTGCATTCTGATCCAAACATTTCGAGGATGAGCGCGGACGGGAGCGAGTGTATGGCTCGACAAAGCAGCTTTTCGACGATGGGAGGGAACTCGTTCATCGACGAAGCACCAAGGATGAGCGCGGAGATGTCTCCTATGATGATGTCCCCTTGGAATCAGGTGTCCCCTTTTGCCAAATCCCCTTGGTCTCAACAATCTGATGATTCCGGCCAGCTTAGCTTGCTTATCGGATCGCTTGTCCGAGAAGAAGGCCACATTTACTCCTTGGCTACCAAGGGGGACTTGTTGTATACAGGGTCGGATAGTAAGAATATTCGTGTTTGGAAAAATCTTAAGGAATTTTCCGGGTTTAAGTCCGCTTCTGGATTGGTTAAGGCGATTGTTATAGCAGGTGGGAAGATTTTTACGGGTCATCAAGACGGTAAGATCCGAGTTTGGAAGGTGTCGCCTAAGAATCCTAGTATCCATAAACGGTCAGGTTCTTTGCCAACATTGAAGGATTTGTTTAAGGCGTCTATTAGGCCAAGCAATTATGTTGAGGTGAAGAGGCATCGTAGTTCGTTATGGATCAAGCATTCCGATGCTATATCGTGTCTTAGCATGAACGCCGAACAGGGGATATTATACTCGTCTTCTTGGGACAGGACGTTTAAGGTTTGGAGGATATCCGACTCCAGGTGCCTGGAGTCGGTAGCTGCCCATGAGGATGCGGTGAATTCGGTTGTCACGAGTTCGGAGGGTATGGTTTTCACAGGGTCTGCGGATGGAACAGTGAAGGTATGGAGGAGAGAAATGCAGGGGAAGGTTACGAAACATTTTTTCATACAGACACTTCTGAAGCAGGAATGTGCAGTTACTGCCCTCGCCGTAGACCCAACAGGATCCATAGTCTACTGTGGTTCAAGCGATGGGATGGTCAATTTCTGGGAAAGGGAGAAGAATCTTGCACACGGTGGAGTCCTGAGGGGTCACAAGTTGGCTGTTCTGTGCCTGGCTGCTAGAGCTCGGCTCGTGTTTACAGGGTCAGCTGATAAGACAATCTGTGTGTGGCGCAGGGAAGGAACAATTCATACCTGCCTGTCTGTCTTAACCGGCCACAACGGACCTGTTAAATGCTTGGCTGTAGAGGATGACGAGGAGGCTAAAGGTCAACGGTATATTGTATACAGTGGAAGTCTTGACAAGTCTGTGAAGGTATGGAATGTGGCAGATCAGGAGGGAATGCATTTGATGCAGCAGCAGCAGGTGATGGAGGTTAATTCTGCATCTGAATCATTGAGGTCTGACTGTAGCTACCAGTGACTGCGCGCATTCACCTGATCATTCATCACCGCCTGTTATTTCACCATGGTGAAGTCAGTCATTGGAAAGCCTGTCACATATCTAGCAGCGTGTCTGACAATTTGTAATTTATTTTTGGAGGTTTGCCTGAGAAAATGTATGTATGAGGTAGAAGGGTAAACGAAAGAAATTATGATTATGGAGATATGGTTTTCGTGTACTTGGAATTTATCATTCTGATAGATAATTGTAATATGATTATATTGCTCTAAATTGTACTGTATGTCCTTTAAAAATGTCAAATGCCTTGTTAGTAATGTAGTTATGATGATAATTTTGTTTCACTTTTTTAAAATTTTTTTTGGGTCTATAAAGAACCTCAATGGTATAAGTTAGATAAGATTTGATATCACGTTAAGGTATTAACTCAAGACCTCTAACCAACTAAACTAGTTGTCCGCTAAATCGGTTGCTCAAAATAAACTCCAGAAAATCGAACATTTACGTACCCAAATCATGACTCTTTAGGTAGTATGATGATTGATATCCCGGCCCTCTCAATGGCTGCAGGCCTGCAAATAAGGAAAGCAAGGAAAGATTAGATAATTGTGTTTGATTTCACTTATTCTAATCTTTTTATTTATCTGCAGCAAGAAAAGATCAGATAATTATGTTTGACTTCACTTATTCTAATCTTTTTAGTTATGTGCTTTCAAAAAAAATAAAATCTTTTTAGTTATGTTTAAATTTCAGAAACGAGTTGGATCATAACAATGATTAGTTCAATAACAAGCTGACCGGAGAGATAGTGCAGATAATCAACATGTCAGGAACATAATGCAGCAAATTCGCAGTGTTGAATTATATGTTATGAATACTTCATATTGACAATACCGAAGCTTATACGGTCAATTCACTCTCTGAGAATATGTGAGAGAATATCAGGGCTTAAAAATCCTATCGATTATCGAACAAGGTGTTCTTTAAAGTTAAAACTTGCTCATGAAACCAATTGAAAATAGCAGATACTCAAACTGCACTACAGGTGCACATTAGATTTTCTGTTGGAGCAGGTAATCAGCCATTACCAAGTAATTACTAGCAATGAGAAGCTATCTAATGCTATAAAAGAATAATTAAAAAAAAAAAAAAAATACAACCAAGATAACAGGAATTTAGCTTGATTGTTACTTAGTTGAGAAACTAATTATATAAAGAAATAAGACAGGAAATGATACTAATAGGAAGAAGAGACAAGAAAAATATTATGCATTTTAAAGGGTGTATGAAATTAACATACCAGGAGAGAAGCAGCAGACATGGATAACTTCAGGGGCTGCTAGACATAATTCCATAGTATCGCAGAACATCTGTCCATGCTTCAGTGTTGGCCAAAGAACTATACTAAGGTAACGTGTATTGGCAACCAATGGAAGGAAGGAATTACACTGATAAGTGAGTTTCCAGCTACTGAAAAAATCAGTTATAGAATAGTGTCAATATTACAAGAAATATGGAAAAGCAGAATTCTCAAACATTTCAATGCAGCAGCCAATGGCCAGAGCTCCTCCAGAACCGCCTTAACTATTGTTTTTGATGACAGTAAATTTACAGAAAACATAGAACATACGTACTCTATTTAAAGGATGAGAGATAGAATTTTACAAGAAGCTTGATTCAGAGTACTCAAGCTAAAGGGTTTTTTTTTTTCAAAAATTAGCGAGTAATTACAAGTCCTATTAACAACTATATATGACATCTGACATATATTATCCGAGCAATGTCTTACTCCTGCACTCCTACTTTACTTTGAAGTTTGGACTTTAACTTACGTGACTTCCTCCTAGAAAATTTTCTCTCTAGCTTACTAATCCTAGCTTCAAGATCAGCTCCAATATCATCATTAATGATCACTGGGTCACCGAGTAAACCATCAACTGATTTTATCTTTACACATTCAGCTGTCTTGTTACTCTTGTCCTGTTCATCATCATCAGCTACACGGCCCAAGTAAAGCTTTTCTGATTCTTCCTTGCTTTCAGATTTCTTATCTGCAGCATGTACTTCATGTTTCTCCGACTCTGCCATTTCCACGTCATTAAAAACCCTTTGCGTAATCTGAGATGGAGTGTCCTCACAGATTCTTTCAAGGCTCATACTTTTGTCGCAAGATGGGATAGTTTCAACATGCTTGTCAGCAACACTATCCAAACTCCTCATAACGCGCATATTCACACATTTGTCCCTGTATCTTGCTACTAGTTCCATTTGCAAATCCATTTCACCAACAGCTTCCTCAATAGCTACACGTAAGCTTTGAGATGGCATGACTTCATAATTGTCAACCTGGCTTGTGTTGTGACTATTGTTCTTCTCACATGATGGAATTGATTTAATGTATCTCTCCCAAACACTATCATCAAAACCAGAATCTATAGCAACATTGCTAGGGGAAGGTAAACAAGGAAGAACCCCCTTGCTGTTATCCTCCACATTCTCACACAGTTCAATCTTCGGTTTCTTTGGACTTTGACAAGGCAAGCATCCAGAGTCACCTACATGGGCATTCTGAGGTCTAGTGGTGCTCTTATCGTGGAATGTGAGAAAACCAGAAGACACAGAAACATTACAGGAGGGTGCTAAACAAGATGGAGGGCCCATATCTTTTTCCACATTCACATCTAAATTCTTGGAGAGTTTTTATTCTTTAGTTTTTTTGGACATTCGGATGGAATGTACCTCGAATTCTCAACATAACTTCTGTTAGGGAAGCTTATATTGCTGCAACATGCGGTAGTTTTATTTTGCACTACCTCAATGTTAGATACAAAACCAGGAGTATCAAAAACATTAGACAAGGAAGGTAAACAAACAGGAGTCTGCTTGCTATAATCCTCTGTACTCGCAGCAAAATCCTGGGATTCAACAACAGCCACTTTGCTTGTACTTTGAGATGTCATGCCCTCTAAGCATTTAATGTTGATTTTTTCATAAGAGGAGTCATCTTTAATGCGCATCTCCCCAACCCCAACGCTATGAGTGGAACAGGATGCTAAAGGAACATCAAACGGAGAAGTTGGACAAATAGGAGCACGCTTGCCATTCCCCTCCGTACTTCCATCTGAAGCCTTGGACAGTTTGAAGGTCACTCTTGGACGACTGCTGTGACTTCTCTGTTTTTTTAAGACCGAAACACTATTGCTGCTGACACACAATGCTGTCCTGAACCAGTCAGAATACCGAGCAGTGACATCTCCCTTGAGCAAACGAGGAGATAAATACAACTTCAATCCGTTAAGAGATATGTCATAGCTATTCCAAGCAGCTAAATGACCCTCATTCGATCTAGGCACGGACCTTGGAACATCTTGATCCAATCCAAACTGCATCCCTGTTCTATGTGGAAGGTATTGCTCAATACTGTCTAACCCTAACAGCTCACATGTCCTCAAGCATCTTGCAAATGACAGTAATTCCTCCCCAACCCCAAAATCTACCAACACCAACCTTTCTTCATCACCATAAAATTTCGGAAACTGCCAGTTTTCCACACAAATTCCATAAGGCCTCCACACAAAACTCTTTCCAAGAGACTCAAAATCCAACATGACACATACAAGATTCGGCCTCTCTAATTTTCGCCAACGACTCAATCTCGGCTCACCATCAAGGATGTTGATGGGTGAGGGACCTAATGTAGGAAACCTCTCCCAACCCAAAGCTGAACTAACTGAAAAGGTGCCCACAAAATAAGTTTCCTAACTACACATTCATTCAAAATCCCTGCAATCTTATCTTTCAACAAGCTCAAATCTCTATACATAGAAGCTAAAACAGCAGGAGCAAGCGCAATTCGAGTACCTCTAGCAAGATAAATTGCAATAGGGAAAACATCTTGAGAAATTTTACAATAATGATTAGTTGAAAAAACATACCTTGACAACCAAAGACTAAGAAAAGCCACATGCTCTAATTCACCCCCAATTCCCATGAAATAGCTCATCCATTCAGTGTGACCCACTGGACCCAAAATCCTCCTGTTTTTCATGAAATTCTGCAGCATTTCTTCCCCAAATTCAACAATTTTGATATTTTCAAATGGGGTTTTAACACCTTCCCCTAAAACAGAAAACCCACCTAAAATCATCACATCTTCCAAAGTGATACTACATTCACCACATGAAAACACAAAAGTGTTAGTCTCAGAACACCAATTTCCAGCTAACCCAAAGATTAAATTTTTATCCCATTTTATAACATAAGTAGAAGCTTTAATTGCATCAAATATTCCCACTTTTTTCCAGGTATTTTGGTGGGTTTTCTGCAAATTTTGAACCCAAGTGTCCCAATTTTTCTGGGGTTTTGGCCTTCCTTTGAAAGAAACCTTCCTTTTGAGGAGTTGTTTGATGTTGGATTTTAAGGAAAAAGAAGGCAAAGAAGGGGGTTTTGGAAGTGTTTCATTTTTGGGTTTAAAGGTTGGTTTAAGGAAATGGCCAATTCTTGAAGATGGTGTTTGATTACTATTTATGGAAAGCATGAATTCTTCTCTCTCTTCAATGATCATGGTAATTTCTTCTTGGTTTGAAATTGATGAGCAGAGTAACTGGGTAAGCTACAACCTACAGTATTTCTTCTCTTGTTTGAAGATGAATTTCACTAACTGGGTTTGTGCTAAAAATTGTTGCCTTCCTTTTTTGTTTTTCTATTTTGGTAGTATGAGATAATTATGTGACAAATTAGAGAGGAAATAGAATAAAATGACTTTGTATTAATTATTACTCCGTATTATTCATCAATAGATCGAGTATTTATATAAAACCTACCCCTATAGGAGTATACTACTATAATCATATATCCTATACGGAAAATATGTCACTCATATATTTACCCATATCTCATATGTCTAACACTATGGGTGTACTTTTTTTTTTTTAAATAGTCTGAATATATAAACTTACTCCTTTCCAAGTTTTTACTTTTCATTTATAGAAAACAAAAGATGTAGATTTATTTATAGTTTAGTTATTAGTTTGTTTATCACAAATGTTTTAATTTTTACTCTGTACATTGTATTAGTACTCGAGTAGTCCAGTTTAACTAAGCAAGTACGCAGATGTTAATATGATACAAAGGAAATTCTCTATTCTTTTTTATTATATCTCGAAATTCTTATATTATCTTATTATATCTCTCTCTTTTCATTATCCAGAAATTTACCGTACTCAAACTATTTTTTTCTTTAATCATATCTCATATTTTTTTTTACAAATAATAAACTATTAACCACTATTGCACTTTTTTTTTTATTTAATTTTTTTTTTTACCATTTTTAATTCCCCAACAAACCGGACTACTACCTAAAACTCCGTCAGAGTCAAAAATACGAAGTGAGTAATCTTCACTATGCAAGATCTTAACAAATTGTTCTTGTGTAACAGCAAGAGTGAAATTACATATTTGTAAAGCAAGTAAAATTAATTCAATACTCAATAGTCATTTTCCAGTGTTCCAACAAATATTAAAGGTGTACCAATATATTTTTGGCACAACAAAATCAATTATTTAACAGATGAACCAAGTAAATAAAATGAACATACAATGAATTTCAGCAAAATATATATACTCATGTTGTTAATGCTGAGTTAGCACAGAATGAAGCAAGTAATATAAAATGAATACACGAACTTCAGCAAAATATATTCCACATTAGATGATATCAGTTAGCAAAATGTAACAAAAGATCAACAGATTACTTCTCCTAAGATTAGCAGCTACTACAGTCAAAGGGCTACAATCTGTACATGCAACATCCATCGGCCGAAAGTTATAGCTTTTTACCTTCAGTTTTGAAGGCTATCTTTCTTTTTTCTTTTTTGATAGTTTAGATGCTAGCTTCCGGGAAAATTTCTTCTCAAGCTTACTTATCCGAGCTTCAAGCTCCGAATCTATCGCTTTGAAAGGGTCAAAATCGTCGTTTTCCTTCTCACCAGCACTGTCATCAGCAATAATAATCACAGGATCATCACATGAACCATTTACTAACTTTGCATTTACTTTGCCTGCTTTTCCTTGATCATTAGTAGTATCAATTTCTGTTTCACCTTGAGGTTGAACACCTTCTGAATGCCTACTGCTCTTGCCTGCGTTTATACAACTAATGTCTTCATGAATCATCTCGAGTTGATCAATATCAGCCATTAGTGTATTTGTTGAGCTGGAAACTTGAATAACACCCCTCTGATGTGTAATTATTTGAGATGGAATACCCTCATTAACACGGCTTATTTCAAGGTGATTTGTGCTTTCGTTACAAGATGGAAAGGTTTCCATATGCATCTCTGCAACACTATCCACACTTCTGTTACTGCTCATTTTAACACATTTCTCCCTGCATTTTTTCACTTGCTCCATATGCAAATCCATCCCCCTAATAGCCTTCTCAAAAGCAATCCCTAAACTTGAAGATGGCACGATCTCATTAATGTCAGCAATGCTTTTGTTATGACTATTGTTGTTCTCAGATGACAGGATATCTTCACTGTACAACTTCTCAACACTGTCAACTAAACCTGAATCCTCCATAACATTGCATGATGAGAGTAAGCAAGGAAGAACCCCCTCGCCGTTTTCCTCCACACTCCCATTCTTAGTTTCCGCATCCTTTCCAATGTGCATTTTCTCAAAATCTAACACACAACTAGAAAGCAGGCAAATAAAGCATGAAGAAGAAGAAGAAGGAGAAGCCCCAATGCCATTATGCTCTGTACACCCATGAGATGTGACCGTCCCTTCATTTGTAGGAGACGGCATTTTATCTCCTCTTTCACCCACTGGCTCTGTCACCACTGCAAAATTAGTAGTCACTGGGGTATGTATCTCCTCGGCTAATGGTAAGTATCCATCTTCTCCATTCCCGCCATCCTCATTGCGCCCTTCCCCCTCAATAGGCTTCTCATGGCATGAATTCTGCTCACTGTTATCAATCACTGACTGTGAAGGGCATCCACCTTCTGCAATCTTGGAATCAACAAGAATCTTACAAGCCTGTGCCAACGCCTTAGGCACACCACCCTGGAGCCTTTTTGTTTTAGCCTTTTTTATGAACATAAACAGTCCAGGATACAAAGCTGATATCCTCCTCCTTTTACGGTATTTTCTTTTGTATATGCCATTACTGCGTCCTATAATTGCTTCCTCTTCCTTTGACTGTAGGGATTCGATATCTTGGCTTAACCCCTGCACGTACTGAACAATTTTACATATCCTTCTACATCACTATACTTCCAAAGTACTCCAAGTCAAAATACTAACCTCTTCAACAAAAGATGTGACATCCGTCTCCCTAGCCTCCCGAGGGTGTTTCTTACCATAAGCAACATCTATGCACTGAATAAAATCCATTGGTCACAACTCACAAGGATTAGCATCTCAGTCAGAACAATAATGACAGCTTTATACACAAGAGGGTATTTATATACATAGTATTAGACCTGACCCTGAAACAAGTTCATATGCTCTTGTGTTAATGATGAAACTACTGCTTCATATTATCAAAGAACAATGTCAGTCGATCATGGCGTTATATGATTAAATTTATTTCACTTTCTTATGTACCCTTTTTCCCATATAAAAGGCAGCACACAATATATCAGTGCTTATCAGTATGCACTGAAAACTCACAAAGAACATTCTCAATTTACATATGCAACTCATAAGTTGTGCTCATACTTACCCCTAATTTTCCAAAATCTCCCTGATGAGCCAGCCTATCTTCATCCCCAGCTTTCACCATCTCTGCTTTTGTCCACACTTTTATTCTCGGCCATCTGCACCACATTACTGGATTACGATCCAATCGATCAAGGTAAAAAATCTGCATGTGTCATGAACTATATTAGCCAACGTATGACATAAATAAAACATAAAATGATTAAAGGAACCAAACATCATCAATTACTGGATACTATACTAATGACATGACTTACTGCTAGAAAAATACTACATCCTCCATATCCTTTAGCATATCCATTCGCATAGAACTTCTTTCCGAATCTGCAACAACTGTCAAAAAGCTTCTCCAACACCAATCCACACCAGTCATAGTTCTTCGCTTGCATTGCACATGTCAATGCAGGTACCAAATCCGGTCCCAATTGATAAGACTGTGTCGGACAAAGCACCAAATGCAATGCGAGGATTAAGAAAACAGTCTTGAACTCTGCTTCCTCCTCTTCTCCCCAACTCCCCTTCGCTCTTTTAATCAAGGCACTATTTATACGTATTCCCTTGTGTTTTATAACTTTCTCACTTGTTTTCAACCATGCCTCCCATTCTACCCCAAAGTTCTTCTCAATGTCTCTGACTTTGCTTTTCATCTCCTCGTCCCTCACCCTCCTAGGAACAACCTTATCGCCTTTTGGGATGCCAAGGATCCACCTAACTTGATCCTTGGATAGTTTGTATTCATGTCCATCAGGAGCTCTAAAAAGCTCATTACATGGATCAATTCGAGTCATCAACCAATAGCAAAGATCAATCGAAAGACACCTGTCTACTAGATATAGCAACCCTTCAAACCCCATTTCCCTCACCCACTTCTTTCTCCTGTTGTCAAGGGACTGACATATTTTACCAAAGCCAACAACACGACAGCTAATTTTTGGTCGCTTCTGATACAGAAGAAAAAACAGAAGATAAGCACTCAAATTATATCAAAACTTCTCTTACCACGATAAGAGAATAAAAATTAACATTTTCACTTGCCCTATTCGCACACTCCTTCAGCACTTCACCAGCGTTCTTGACTTGTTCACCTTTGCTTATACTGTTTTGGTGCATCTATCAACGAAAAATTAAGCTCAACTTAAAATTTTGATTATACCACAAATATATTATGATTAGTATACAACATTCATTAAAACAACAAGTCCAATGATTAGCACCTTGTTCAAACAAGGCTCCAGCTTTCGCCGCTTCTCTTCAGCATTGCTAATCTACATATCAATACAATAATGACATTAGCTCTCTCCAAATCAAAAATGTAAAACTTCACTATTACCATCAAAGTGATTAACCACTTATTACTCTTTGACTTTCCAGCTATGAGAATATACAATCATATGCTTCTATCAGAAAATCCCTACCAAATCGAATTTATTTTATGGAAGTGGATCTAAAGCACAATGAAAATTTCATAAAGGTCTTCTAAATTCACAGCTTTAGCTCCCTCTGACTCTACAGAGAGGCATACGAAAGGAAACAGTCTTACACTACCAAAACAAAACTTTCATTCTCCATTCACAGTCCCATAGCAATATATGAGGAACTATGAAAGAATTAGTATACAATATCCATAATCATTTCACCAATCATCATAACAAATCACAAACTTGACACTACATTACCTCATCCTCAGCATGAACATTGGTTTCCTCGTAAAAATCAAACTCTTCCAGTGTTCTTGCTCTCTTTTCATTAACAACTCTTTTATTTCCCACGCTTTGCCACAGCCCACAATTCCTTAGACCGTTCTCCATTGATTTTATCAGCATTCTATCTGCGCGAAACAGCTGACATAAGCTCTACTTCAATTCTTCTTGATAGCATAATAATTAAATAATATTACATGAAAGATCTTCTCATTTAATAATACTTCATACTCACTATATGATTAGTGGAAAGAGTTTGAGTGTTTCATAGTACAAGAATGTGAAGAATCTACATCATAGATTCATGTTAGTAAGCTTTTTTTATCTCAAAACTCCAAATGTGTATAGGTATACGTATCTCCCCATGATCCTTAATGTTTGCGACACTCACTCGATTTTTAATACTTGCAACACTTACTATATGGATGTTGGATCACTATTATTCTGTTTAACTACCAATAAGACAACAACACTTGCACAAAGTGTTTATTCCCTTACCAAATAACCCCCATTGCTTTATTCTTCATCGTTTCCCTTCTTCAATGACCCCCACTTGCAAATATTCTCTACCAATATCTCTTTACTACTGATTAGACCTGGTTATTGGGCGGGTCGGGTCGATTGCGTGTCGGGTCAAAAAGGGTAATATTTTATAGGGTCAATATCGAGTCGGGCCAATGTGGGTCACGAGTCAATAGCAGGTCGATAATGGGCAGACCTACAAAATATTACTTAAAACAAATATTGGACAAAGCCAGTATTAAGTATATATGAATACAAATTTATCTATGAAATTATCTTTACATTATCTATTTTCTTTATTAATTAAATTTGAAAAACATTTTGGCCTTCCTGTCCATTAAAGGCCCTATCCATTAAAATCCCAGCTTGACCCTGACCCTATTATCATTGGACTATAACTCATACCATTAACTACACATGTACATTATTTATTCATTTACATGTAAAAATCATAACCCTTCCTAAATTATGTGCAAACTCAAATGTTACAAGCATATAGAAACAAAGGGATTATTGGTCTAATTATGACAAAGTAAAGTACTATTAATAAGTTGTTTTTTAATTACCATTTTCACTCATCAAAAAATGATTAAAAATAATTTAGTTGTAAATGGAACTTAGGTAAACTTTTTTTTATCCAAATTTATTGTTCCCCAAAATAACTTAATTTACTATTCTCATCATTAATTATTTTTTTTTAAAAAAGATTGAATCTTTAACAAAAAAATACTTATAAAAATGAAGATAGAATGCTTAAATTGAAGAATAGCAAAACAAGGTCTTTGCTTTATTTAACCAAAAAAAAAAAAAAAAAAAGTCTTTGCTTTATATGATGAAAAATCTGATCAATTTATATAGAAAAGAACATCAAATTCTTACCACATTTACCCTCCTTCAGAAAATATTTCTTGAATCCACACTCTAATTAAGATGCAAAATAAGTGAAGTTTATCAAGTAATCATTTTAAACAAAAGGGTGGTGATTTGGCTAGAAGTTTACCTTTGTTTTAATGGCGGTTTAGAATCGGATACTCTGTTTATTGCACGGGTTGTTCAGGCGGCCGTGTTTGGTGGTTGTTCGAATGTTCGGGCGGCGGAGGTTGCGGTGCCGTGTGAGGTCGGGATAAACAGGGGATAGATAGTGGAGAAGAACTGAACAAGAGTTGTGTGTGTGTTTTTTTTTTTTTTTTTTTTTTTTTTTTTTTGAAGGAAGAGTTGAGTGTTTTTGTTTGAGAGATGTGATTTTGTTGATTTTTAATCCCTCACACATCCTCTTTATTTTACTAAACTAGATTAGCACAGTTATAAGATGTGGAAGTTATTAGGAAAAAAAATAAAGAAGTGGTAGTTATTTAATTGGAGGTTATAGCAACACCGAAAAGAAAAAAAAATAAAAAATAAAAATAAAAACTCAAATGCATGATATTTGAGAATTGGCCTTAAAGATTACCCTCATTTTAAGGGTCCATTATTTAAAAAAAATGGTTCAATGTATTATAATAACCCCAAATCTCCAATGTATATTATTCCGAAAAAAAATGATGGTCCTAAACTCCTAATATAGGTTAATAGTCCTAATGTTTTTATTTTTATTTTTTTATTTTTTTTTTTTTTTTTGAGGCAAAGGGAAGGGAACCTTCATTAAATAGTAGACAAATAGTCCTAATGTACTTTTTTTTTCTTGAGGGAATAGTCCTAATGTACTTTATTTTATGACTATTTATTTTTAAATACAATTAACGTTATAAAATAGAGGGAGTATAATTTTATTTCTTGATAAACGAAATTGATTTATCAAAATGGTAAACTTGAATTTTTTTTCGCCAATAAAAACGATGTTTATATAGGAAGATAAGAAGGGAGAGAAAAAGATAAGAAGGGAGGGATAAAACAGATATAGGGCATGTTCGGCAAAATATAGCTGTGAAGGTAGCTGTAGCTGTGATGAGCTGTGGAGATAGTTGTTAGCTGTCAATAAGCTGTTAGCTGTGAAAAAAGATGATTTTAGTATGATTGTTCGGTAAAGTAGTGGTTGACTAGCTGTTACATTTAAGGATCAATATTTTATTCTTAAAACTATACATTAAATTTTCAAAAGCTACTTCAAAAGCTACCTCTTATTTCAAAAGCTAATAATCCTAGCTTTTAATAAAAGCTACCTCCACCACTAAAAGCTACTTGAACCATTACTTTGTCTAACACTCACATTTTTTGTTGAGTAGTGGTTTGGCTTGGTCAAACTATTAAAAGCTACTCAAAAGCTAGCGCCGAACACGCTCATAGTGTTTTGTTTAGGAGGATGGGGATTAGAAGAAAGTGAGGGATAGGGATAAAACACCCCCATTGCCTTCCATTTCTATAATTAAGGGAGGGTGGAATAAAAAAAAAAAAAAAGGTGAAAAATGAGATAAAAACTCTAATTTTTTTTTTCTTAAGTCGGATAAAAACACTAAATTATCTTTAATGAAATTAAAGAGTACTCGTACTAAAATAGGACATGTTTTTTTTTTTTTTTTTTTTTTTGAAAAAAATATGACATGTTGACATTATACATGTTAACTTAACATCTTATGAAAAAAAAATCTTGCCTAAACTATTCTTTGCCATCATCCCTTTTTTTCTCTAATTTTTTTTTCCCTAATTTCCAAGAATAATTAAAAATTGAGTACTTATTTTTTTAAAGAAAAAAAATTAATAAGATTATGACTATACTTTTTTTTTTTAATAATAAAAAATTATTAAAAAAAATTAAAAAACTACTAACCTAGCTAGGAAATAAAAGTGAAAATGTAAAGAATTGAAGTATATTGCTACTAAACTAAATATATAATTCTATACAAAAAAAATTTAAAATGATACTAAAAAAAAAAAATCAATGGTCGGTCAGCATACCATCAATTCATGGTGTGGCCAATTTACAGAAGCAATCAATTGAGTAATATACTACAGTACCTTAATGAGAAATTGAGAACACAACAAAAATAAATGGAACAATAACAATAACAATACAATCATGTTAGTGGGGGTAGTAGGCTAGTAAGTATTGTGCATAGACAAGGCCACAAGGGAGGAGGCTTCACGATAATATCGAACACGAACACGAACTCGATTCTGAGTAAGCTCATGTTAAGTTGACAGAAGGAGCAACTAAAATTACATGGATCCAGAAAAAAGTTCTGCAAAGAGCATTGCAATACTATACTCCAGAAATCGATTACAAATACCTCTGTAATGAAGTTAAGCAATCACTAAACTAAATACAAGACATACAATGAATTTCAGCAAAATATACAATGCATACTCATGTTATCGATGAGTTAACACAGAAGCAAGTGTTATGAAATAGGCGGTAATGAGTTTGATTTGTGCGGAACAAAATCATGAAGGATATTATTAGAGAAAGCGATAAAGAAGATAAACAAAAACACACAAGGATTTACATGGTTCGGTCAACTTGACCTACTCCACGGTAGGGGATTTTCAGAGCTTTTCTTCACTATAGTGGAGGAAACAAGGAGGAAATTACAAAGCTTACAAAGGATGGAGTTTTCTTTGGGGGGTTATTAAACTCTAGTGAAACATTCTCGATAGAGACTAGGTTCACCATACAAACTAGGGAAGTGTACAAATAATATATGCATGTCACATGTAATACATATGTAAATGTAATACATAATTACATATTCACAAAAGTCAACACTTATAAAGTATAAAGTAGGCTAACCATCATCACATGACATGCAAGACTAGACTATAGACATCATCATGACTTTTTTTTTTTTTGACAATAGCAACATCATCATCATGACTTAAAGTCATCATAACATGCAAGACTAGATTATAGACATTATCATAACCTAAAATCATCCTGACATGCAAGACTAGACTATAAGCATTATTACGTGCATGGACTTTAAGTCCACAAATATCTCCTAGCCATACACTTATCTGCGTCAATGTGAGTGATGCTACACATACAATGGTTGTATGTGGTAGCCCACATACAACACCATTGTATGTATGCCACATCAAAAGGGAGGAAAAATAAGTGGAAAATAATAGGGGGAAACAAGATTAGGGAAGTGGACCCTAAAATACAAGCCAATCAAATGCTACCAACAATAGTTGTATACTTGTATGTAGGCCATCACATACAACCATTGTATGTGTAGCCTTTTCCCGTCAATGTTTCCTTTTCAAACTTTACGTAATTGATCCCCGATTACGAGTCACACATTAACAACAAGTAATATAAAATGAATACACAATGAATTTCAGCAAAAATAAATTCCAGATTAGATATGCTGGAATAGATGATGATACAAATCAGCATACAGATATCAGTTAGCAAAATCTAACAAAATATCAACAGATTACTTCTGCTAAGATTAGCAGCTACGTACTACAGTTAAAGGACTAGTATCTGAACGGCTGAACATGCAACATCCGAAAGTCATAGCTTTTTACCTTCAGTTTTGAAGGCTAACTTATTAGATGCTAGCTTCCGGGCAACAACCTTTTCAAGCTTACTGATCCGATCTTCAAGCTGCGATCCTACCACTTTGAAAGGGTCAAAATCGTGGTTTTCCTTTTCACCGTCACTGTCCTCATCAGCAATAACAATCACAGGACCATCACAAGAACCATTCACCAACTTTTCATTTACATTGGCTGCCTTTCCTTGATCATTAGCAGCATCCATTTCTGTTTCACCTCGAGGTTGAGCACCTTCTGAATGCTTACTGCTCTTGCCTGCGTTTATACAACTAATGTCTTCATGAATCATCTCACATTGATCAATGTCAGCAATTAGTGTATTTGTTGCCTGAGATGGTATACTCTCATTAACATCATCACGGCTTATTTCAAGGTTAGTGTTTGTGTCACAATATGGGACGATTTCCATATGCATCTCTGCAGCACTATCCACAGTTCTGTTACGGCTCATTTTAACACATTTCTCCCTGCATTTTTTCACTTGTTCCATTTGCAAATCCACCACCCTAATAGCCTTCTCAAAAGCAATCCCTACACTTGAATATCGTATGATCTCATTAATGTCAACAAGGCTTTTGTTGAGACAATTGTTGTTCTCAGATGACGGGATATCTTCAATGTACAACTTCTCAACACTGTCTACAAAACTTGAATCCTCCATAATATTGCAGCATGATGAGAGTAAACAAGGAAGAACCCCCTCGCCGTTTTCCTCCACACTCCCATTCAAAATCTGGGGCAGTTTGCTCTTTTCTCTTATTTTACTCCGAGATGGAGAGCACAGAGAATGATCAGCAAGGCTATTGCTCCGAGGAGGGATTATCTTATAGTTAGAATTGGTGGATTTAGCATGCATCTCACTGACACTTTGGACAAAAGCAGAAACCATCAGAGTGTTGCATGACAGTGTTAAACACGGAGGAGCCTCCATGCCGTTATGCTCTGAACACCCATAAGCCATTAGAGTATTGCATGATGGTGTTAAACACGGAGAAGCCTCCATGCTATTATGCTCTGAACCATGAGATGTTGTGACAGTCAATTCATTTAAAGGAGACGGCATTTTATCTCCTCCTTCACCCACTGGCTCTGTCACCACTGCAAAATCAGTAGCCACTGGGGTAGGAACCTCCTCTGCCAATGATATGTATCCATCATCTCCATTCCCGCCATCCTCATTTCGCCCTTCCCCCTCAGAAGGGCATCCACCTTCTGCACACCTTCTGCAAGCCAGTGCCAATGCACTTGGCACACCACCCTGGAGCCTTTTTCTTTTAGCCTTTTTGGACATGAGCAGTTCAGGATACATAGTTGATATCCTCCTCCTTTTACGCTTTTTTCTTTTGTATAAGTTATTACTACGTCCTAAAATTGCTTCCTCTTCCTTTGACTGTAGGGATTCAAAATCTTGGTTTAACCCCTGCATGCACTGAACAATTTTACATATCTTTCTAGATTAATAAACTTCCAAAGTATTCTTAATTAATTAAGTCAAAATACTGACCTCTTCAACAAATGATTTTCCATCCATATCCTTAACCTCCCGAGGGTGTTTCTTACCATAATCAACATCTATGAACTGACAAAATCCATTGATCACACAAGATTAGCTTCTCATTCAGAACAATGATGACATTTTAATACACATAAGGTATTCATTATACATAATATTAGTCCCTCAAATACTTGTTCATGTGTTCTTATGTTAATGATGAAACTGTTGCATCATATTATCAAAGAGTAATGTTATTAACAGATTATATATGGTGTAATGACTATAAAAGTAATTAAATGATTTCATTTTCTTATGTACCCATATTTCCAACATAAAAGGCAGCACAAATTATAAAAGTACTTATCAGTATGCACTGCAAACTCACAAAGAACATAGCTCATTTTACATAGACAAGTCATATATTGTGCTCACACTTACCCCTAATTTTCCAAAATCTCCCTGCTCAGCCAGCATATCCTCATCCATAGCTTTCATCATCTCTGTTTTTGTCCACACTTTTATTCTCGGCCATATGCTCCACATTACTGGATTACGATCCAATCGATCAAGGTAAAAAATCTGCATGTCTCATTATACCATATTAGCCACCGTATGACACCAAACATCAACGATTATTGGATACAGTACTAATGACATGACTTACAGCTAGGAAAATACTACATCCTCCAAATCCTTTACCATATCCATGCTTCTTTCTAAATCTGCAGCAACTGTCAAAAAACTTCTCCAACACCAACCCACACCAATCATAGTTCTTCGCTTGCACTGCACAAGTCAATGCAGGAACCAAATCTGATTCTAATTGATGAGCTTGTGTTGGACAAAGCACCAAGTGCAATGCGAGGATTAAGAAAACAGTCTTGAACTCTGCTTCCTGCTCTTCTCCCCAACTCCCCTTTGCTCTTTCAATCAAGGCACTGGTTACAGGTATTCTGTTATGTTTTATGACTTTCTCACTTGTTTTCAACCTTGCCTCGTATTCTTTCCCAAAATTCTTCTGAATGTCTCTGACTTTGCGTTTCATCTCCTCATCCCTCACCCTCCTAGGAACAACCTTATCGCCTTTTGGGATGCCAAGGATCCAACTAACTTGATCCTTGGATAGTCTGTATTTACGTCCATCAGAAGCTCTGAAAAGCTCTTTTATTGGATTAATTTGAGTCATCAACCAATAGCAAAGATCCTTTGAAAGATCCTTGTCTACTAGATATAGCAGCCCTTCAAACCCCATTTCCCTCACCCACCTCTTTCTCCTGTCATCGAAGGACTGACATATCTTACCAAAGCGTTCAACATTACAGCTAATTCTTGGTTGATTCTGATACAGAAGAAAAAACAGATGATAAGCACTCAAATTATATCAAAGCTTCTTTTTCCACAATAAGAGAATAAAAATTAACGTTTTCACTTGCCCTATTCCCACAATCCTTTGGCACTGCACTAGCGTTCTTGACTTGATCACCTTTGCTAATGCTGTTTGGGTGCATCTAATCATCAAATATTAAGCTCAACTTAAATTTTTTTATTAAACCACTAATATATTATGAGTAGTATACAACATTCATCAACACAACAAGTCCGATGATTAACACCTTATTCAAACAAGGCTCCAGCTTTCGCCGCTTCCCTTTAGCATTGCTAAACTACAAATCGATACAATAATGACATTAGCACTCTTAAAATATAAATAAAAGTAAAACTTCATCAAGTGATCAACCACATATTCCTCTTTGACTTTCTAGCTATGAGAATATACAATCATATGCTTCTATCAGAAGATCTCTACCAAATCAAATTTATTTTAAGGGAGTTGTTTAAAGCACAGGAATTTAATAAAGGTCTTCAATATTCACAGTGCCAAACGAAAACAGTTAAAACATTAACAAAAAATACTTCCATTCTCCGTTCACAGCTTTAGCTCGCTCTGATCATACAGAGAAGCATACGAAAGGAAAACAGTTAAAACATTACCAAAAATACTTCCATTCTTCATTCACAGTTTACAGAGAGGCATACGAAAGGAAATCAGTTAAGCGTTACCAAAAACACTTCCATTCTCCATTCACAGTCCCATAGCAATATATGAGCAACTATGAAAGAATTAATATACAATATCCATAATCATTTCATCATACTAAAGCACACACTTGACACTTTATTACCTCATTCTCAGACTGAACATTGGTTTCCTCTTGGAAATCAAACTCTTCCAGTGTTCTTGCTCTCCTTTCATTAACAACTCTTTTAATTCCCACGCTTTGCCACAGCCCACAACTCCTTAGACTACTCTCCATTAATTTATCAGAATTCAATCTGCACGAAACCGCTGACATAAGTTCTTCCTGATAGCATAACAATATTACATGAAAGAGCTTCTCATTAATACTTGACATATGATTAGTGGAAAGAGTTTGAGTATTGCATAAATTAAGAAATAAATGATCAATCTGTCAATCATATGATACATTCCCTCCATTTACCATAAGTGGTCTCAAGTTAAAAAGCTTCTTGTCCCATGTTATTTAATGTTTGCGACACTCTCCAGGTTCGTAATAATTGCAACACTTTTTATATTGACATCGTATCACTATTATTCTATTGTTTAAATACCAATAAGGCAACAACACTTTAATAAAATCTTTATTCCCTTTTCAAACAATCCCATTTGCTTTATTCTTCATTGCTTGTCATTTTCAATGACCCCACTTGCAAACATTCTCTACCAATTTCTTTTACTCATACCCATTAAGGGCATTAACTACACATGTACATTATTCATTCATTTCCAAGTAAAAACCATAATCCTTCCTAATTTATGTGCAAAACTTTAAACTCAGGTGTTACAAGCATTTAGAAACGAATGGAGTATTAATCTAATTATACTAAAGTGAGTACTATTAATAAGTGGTTTTTTAACCACCTTAAATTCACATATCAAAACATGTTTAACCCGTCAAAAAAAAAAAAAAAAAAAATCAAAACATGTTTAAACTTATTTTAGTTGTAAATTGAACTTAGGTAATGAATTTAATAATTTATTGCCCCCAAAATAAGTGAACACAGGCCATATGCTATATATACTCATCATTAGATAAATTTCAGAATAAAGACTGAATCTTTACAAAAATACTTTTAAAAAAATGAAGATAGAATGCTTAGATTGAAGAACAGCAAAACAAGGTCGATCTTTACTTTTCCTTTTTTTTTTTTTTTTTTCTTTCGAAAAATCTGATCAAAAGAACATCAAATTCGTAACAAATTTAACCTCCTTCAGGAATTCAGGTAATCCACTATAAAATAAGTGAAGTATTAAAGAAAAGGGAGCAGGGAGGTGATCTGAGTAGTATGTTACCTTTGGTTTTAATGGTGGTTTAATTACAATCGGATTCACAATTTTGTAATTGCACATTTGCACGGGTTGCTCAGCGGCCGTGCATGGTGGTTGTTCAGGCGGCGGAGGTTGCGATGGCCGTGTGATAAACAGGGGATAGAATGGGAAGAAGAGTTGAGAGTTGAGAGTGTATTTGGTCTAAATTCTACTAGTAATAAATATTTTTTAGCAATCGTCAAACACGGAAAGTCCTCCCTTTATAGTGGTATAATAAATACTATGGTTCAATTTACTCGCAACAAAGGAATATTTTATGTCTCACATAATACTCCTTTATTACGAGTAAATTGAACCGGAGGTAGAACTTGTATTACTCTATTTTTTTTTTTCAAGTGTCACTTTTTGGCTTTTTGAACCTTTTTTTTTTGGTTCAAAACTTCAAATATTATTACTCTCTTCATTCTCAAAAGAAATTATGTTTGATAGTTTTTTTACGGTTTATAAGGAAAATAAGATATAGGAAATCAGTAATTATATGTCACGTAAATCAAGTATTAGAATTTTTGTATTGGGAGTATCTAAATATTTTAATAGATGGAGATACTAGCATGAAAAATGTATATGTACGTATTAGAAAAATGTGTAAAATATTAATTAAAAGACAACTTCTAAAATGACAAACTTAACCCTCTTTCAGAAATGGAGCAAGTAAATCATGTCAAGTGTCCATATCAACCAAAGTTTGAATACTTTGGGGAAACTCACTCATACAAATTTGCTCCGAATCAACACCGATATCCCACCTTGTAATTGAGCTATTGGCCTATTGTGTTGCCTACTCGTCTAAACATTGTCACATTTTATAAATAAATCAAATAATGAAATCATATGGTATACATCATCAAACACTATTTATTAGACCCACTTTGACTAATTTTTGTGAGTTATACATAAAAAAGTATATATTCTTATGGGTACTTGTTAGAATTATCTCAATGAATATATTAATATTCAATTGTTGTAATTTATACTTATTAAAATTGATCAAAGTTTTTCATCAACATGTGTGCTAAGCTTTAATGGGGGACGTAAAAAATGGAGGCAGATTCCCTAGCTAATTATCTCTCTTTATCCCTCTTTATCCTAACCCCCGTAGGCCCGTATCAAAATACAAAATGTCTCGTTACAACATAAAAGTGAAAATGTATATATAATGCTACAATATACTTCATTTGTCCCCTTTTTTTTTTTTTTTTTTTTTTTGCCACATTCCAAATAATTGGGTGAAAATTTAAAAAATTTTGACTGTAAAGTCTCCTTAATTTATAAATGATAATATAGCTTAGTCAAGTGATGTCTTATTGGGCCTCAAAAAAGAAAAAAAAAAAAAAAGAAAGAAAGAAGTGATGTCTTATTGATTTCGTGTCAATGTATATTTTAATTATACTCCGTATAATGTTTTTATAATTTTTACGCATATAATAAAGATGTTATATGCATTTTAAGAAGCGTCTTGAAGACCTTAAAAAGTCAAATAATACAAATAGGAACAAAAAGAGTATTTTATAGTAATTCTATACAAATATATTGTCTCAATGATACTAAGGGTCTGTTCTTTCCCTCAAAAAAAAAAAAAAAAAAGGTATGTTCTCTTCAGCTTTATTTTAGTTCATTTCCTAATTTCCTTCTCTCATAAACAATTTAGTTCATAGTAGTTTGGTTATAACAGACCCTTAAATAAGTTAAATATTTGAAATGATATTAAATATATCAATTTATCACCAAAATATATTTTTGCCCATTTAAAATGTATTGACATGTGTAAGTGTGTAACTTAATCAATGTTATGGGGTAACAGTTAATGATGAGAGAAAATTTCATATTTTCAACTTGAGGAGTAGGTGTTATATTAAATGTTAAATTTTTTTTTTTTTTTTTGAAAGTTTTTTTTTTTTTTTTTTTTTTTTTTTTACACACAAATTACATACTCCGTATGTGATATACTGATATGTATATAGGTTTTAAATATTTTGGACATATACTTAAATATATATATTCCCTCTGTCCCCCGAAAGAACGACCCTTTTGGATTGATTTCACGGGTATTAATAAAGTTAAATAAAAAGAAGTAAAAGTATACTGGGAAGATAAATTTACATGGGGTTTACAAAAAAGTAAAGAGAGATAGTAATAAAAGTATATGGGAAAACAAAATTTTATATGGGAAAACTAATTTTGCACAAATATTGTTGCAAATTGGTGAGTATTTTAATGCTAATGGGTCATTCTTTTTGGGACTAAAATTAGGTCAATTAGGTCGTTCTTTCGAGGACGGAGGGAGTACAAATATATTTTCGAAATGATACTTAAATATTTTAAATGATATATTTTTCAAAATTAAATTTACATATGCAATGTACACTAAAGGTTTTACGAAAATATTAATGTATAGCAGGTAAACACGTCATTAGTTGATGGTGTAGCCAATTCACAAAAGCAACTAATTGAGTAATGTTCTACCTTAATTCAATGAGAACTTGAGAATGAAGAGCAAATATGTTGAGGACTCCGGAATATTTGATAATTTTTAAAAATATTTTACCTATGGAGTAATAAGTAGCTAAATTGATACGAAGTAGTACTAGTCAAATATAAAGATGTACAACACACAATGTAAATTTGTAATTAGTTATAGAAACTGATTCCTAGATCAAATACACAACAACAACAACGATAGAATAATGTAAGTGGGAATCGTAGTTGGTACGTATCTTACATAGACAAGGGAGGAGGCTTCAGGCTTCAATTGCTTTGTAAAAAATCTAATGATAACATTGAACACGAACACGAACTCGATCTTGATCAAGCTCATGTTAAGTAGACAGAAGGAGCAACTAAAGATAGCAGAAGATACATACAGAGCTAAGAAGTTCGACCTTTACAAGAAATTTGATCTAACAACTCAGTTCAAGGGACATCATAATATTGATAGTAAATTTACAAGCGAGTTTTAGTTCTAACATGAGCCTTTCTTTTGGCCTTGGATTGTAACTTAGCTGCTTGTTTCTTCAAAACGATTCTCTCGAGCTTACTAATCCTACTTTCAAGTCCAGAAATATCAAAAGGGATTAAATCATTATTTTCCTTGTCATCTTCATTATCATCTTCGATAATCACAGGATAATCAAATGAGCTGCTCACTAACTTCATATTTACACTTTTGGCTTCCTTGCCATGTTCATCAGTAGCAACCTCTGTTTTGTTACAGTTTGTGTGCTCATGAGTCTTCTTGCGTTTATCAATTTCGGCTGTTCGTGTATTCGTTGAGCTAGGAACTTCATTATCAACTTTCTGATTGCAAAGAGATGTGCTGACTTCATTCACAACATCATGGGTTTCTGTAGGACTGACTTCATTCACAATATCATGGCTTTCTCTAGGACTGACGGCCTTGTTGTCACAGGATGGGAAGGTTTCAGTGTGCATGACCGCGACACAATCAGCACTTCTGTCACTGCTCATGCTCACACACCTTGTCTTGTAAGTTTCCACTTGTTCCATCAGAAAATCCATTCCCTCAACAACCTTCTCAATATCAATCTGTGTACTTGAAGATGGCACAATCTCATGATTGCCAACATCATGGCTTATGTTGAGACTATTGTTCTTATCAGAAGATGGAATAGTTTCAATGCACATCTCCCCAACATTGTCAATCAAATGAGAACCTTCAACAACATTCAATGAGGAGGGCAAACAAGGAAGAGCACCCTTGCTGTTATCCTCCACAATCTCATTCAAAATCTGGGATGGATCGTTCTTCCTTTCTTTAATTAGGCTCTGAGATGGGCAGTGGCCAGAATCATCAGCATGGTCGTTGCTCGGAGTAGGGGTTCTCAATCTATTATCAGCATTATCGCAAGATGTGATAGTTTCATTGGGCATCTGCCCAACATTATGCAAGTTGTTCAAATCTGCAGTCTGTTCAAAACTGTTGGAGGTAGTCTGCACTTCCTTTGGACATTGTGACGGCATACACTCAGAATTCTCGCCATAGATTCTATTAGGAGTAGCTCTCATGTCACAAGGAGCAGCTTCAATATGTCGTTCCTCAGTGTTAAGCACAAAACTAGAAGGCACAGGAACATAGCATGAGGAAATTACACAACCAGAAGTTGCATCACAATTCGGCGCTGTAAGCCCATATAAATCATGAGATGATGTGATTGTCAGTTCATTATTTGGAGTTGGAGATGGCATTTCCTCATAATTATCAACATGGCTTTTCTTGTCCCAAGATGGTGTGGCTTTAATGTGCATCTTCTCAACACTATGAACAGAACAAAGAGCAAGAACATTGCTTGAGGGAGCCAAAGTAGGGGTGCACTTACTATTATTCTCTACAAACACATCTGAAATTGTGGATGGTACGAATCCGCCTAATTCCCTTACACTACTTCTCCCAACACTATGATTAGAATGAAGCCCGAGAACAACATTGTGTGAGGGAGCTAAACAAGTAGGGGCACACTTGCTACTATCCTCCACAACCACATCTGAATTTGCGGATGGTATGAATCTGGTTAATTCCCTTACACTACTACTCGCAACAATACGATCAGAACAAAGACCGAGAACAACATTGTGTGAGGGAGCTAAACAAGTAGGGGCACACTTGCTACTATCCTCCACAACCACATCTGAAATTGCGGATGGTATGAATCTGGTTGATTCCCTTACACTACTACTCCCAACACTATGATCAGAACAAAGACCGAGAACAACATTGTGTGAGGGAGCTAAACAAGTAGGGGCACACTTGCTACTATCCTCCACAACCACATCTGAAATTGCGGATGGTATGAATCTGCTTAATTCCCTTACGCTACTACTCCCAACACTATGATCAGAACAAAGACCGAGAACAACATTGTGTGAGGGAGCTAAACAAGTAGGGGCACACTTGCTACTATCCTCCACAACCACATCTGAAATTGCGGATGGTATGAATCTGGTTAATTCCCTTAAGCTACTACTCCCAACACTATGATCAGAACAAAGACCGAGAGCAACATTGTGTGACGGAGCTAAACAAGTAGGGGCACACTTGCTACTATCCTCCACAACCACACCTGAAATTGTGAATGGTATGAATCTGGCTTCCCTTGCACTACTTCTCAGAATCTTCTGTCGCTTAAAGTCTAAAGTAGTAACGTATTCCAGACAAAGCTCTGTCCTGAACCAATCAAAATATTGGACAGTGGCACCCCCCTTGAACAACCTGGGAGATAGATATAACTTTGCACCATCAAGAGATATGTCATAGGTGCTCCAAGCAAGTTCTGCACTGTCATTCACTCTAGAAATAGAACCCGGAATATCTTGATCGAATCCAAATTGCTTCCCTAGTCTTTGTGGGAGGTACTGCTGTATACAATCTAACCCCACTAACTCACAGGCTCTCAAGCATTTTGCAAATGACAGTAGTTCCTCCCCAACCTCGGAATCTATCAAAACCATCCTCTCTTCATCATCATAGAACTCCGGTAACTTCCAATTTTCCACGCATAAAGCATAGGGTCTCCACAAAAAACTCTCACCAAGAGACTCCAAACCCATCATGACCATCTTATTTTTCAGCCTTGGTAAATTTTTCCAGCGAGCCAACCTCGGCTCACCATCAAAGAGCGCGATAGGCTTAGGACACAATGTTGAGAACCTCTCCCAAGCCCAAAGCTGAACTAATTGGAAGGGTGCCCAAAGAATAAGATTTGATTCATTAAAAGGGTTCACAAAGCTTACAATCCTATCTTTCAACAAGCTCAATCTCTATATATTGCAGATAAAACAGCAGGAGCAAGTGCAATTCTAGTACCTCTAGCAAGAGCAATTGCAATAGGGAAAACAAAAGGAGAAATTTCACAGTAATGATCAGTTGAAAAAACATACCTAGACAACCACAGAACAAGAAATGCAATATGCTCAAATTCACCCCCAAAATCCATGAAATAATTCATCCATTCATATTGATTGATTTTGTTGCGGCTATTCTTCCTATCACCAGAAAAAACACTAAGCAATTCATTCTCAATATCCTCAATTTCTCTGTTTTCAAATGGGTTATTAACACATTCCCCCAACACAGAAAACCCACCTAGAATCATAACATCTTCCAAAGTAATGCTACATTCACCCCATGTAAATACAAAACTGTTAGTCTCAGAACACCAATTCTGAGCTAACCCCAAGATTAACTCATTATCCCACATTAAATTATAAGTAGTAGCCCTAATTGCATCAAAGATCCCAACTTTTTTCCAAGTAAATTCATGGGTTTGCATTAAATTACCAACCCATAAATGCCAATTTTTCTGGGGTTTTGGCCTTCCCTTGAAAAATACTTTCTTTTGGAGGTGATTGATGTTAAATTTTGAGGATAGAGAAAATGAAGAAGGGGGTTTTGGAAGGGGTTGATCACTGGGGTTTGAAGTAGGTTTTAGGAAATGGGCTTTTCTTAATACAGGAGTTTCATTGTTACTATTTTGGGAAAGTATGAGCTCTTCTCTCTCCTCAATCATGGTGTTTCTTTGAAGGGTTTTACACTGGTAATTATGGAGTTTTCTACTCTTCTGAGATTATCCCCAACAATTTGCAACCTATTCCTACAAAGTACAAAGGGCGTATGGATATGGAAATAATATGGTACTGTCTGAAAATGTGTTGCTTTCTACAAACATTTTTTTTTGGTTCCCTTCTTCTTTTCTGTTTACATACGAAGTACTGTAAATGAAGAGAAAATAAAGAGGGTAATTTGGTGAGAATAATAAAGGCAAGACCTACACCTACAATCAAATCAAATACGAAGTACGAGTAATAAATTAAGGAAAATGTTATACATATTCCTTTGGGCTATATATAAGCATTAAATTTACACTTGAAAATCGTAAAAAATTGAGAAATCATCAAAATATAAACACTAATAACATTGATTTACGCGTGTTTTTGTCATAAATTTATAATTTTATACAATTTTCAAGAGTATATTTAATGCTTATATATAGCCCTTAGGGCTACATATAACATTACCCATAAATTAAATACAGTATTAATAAAGCAAAGACCTACACCTACAATTTTTTTAAATGTTTTTCTTTTTTCTAGGTAAAGTAAACCGAAAAAATTATAGAAAAAAATTAATCTCAAATTTTGAATATCAATACGATTTATGAGTATGCAATCTACCAAAATTTTAACCAATTAAATTAATTGTCATTATATTGTACTCCCTCTGTCCCCTTTTAATAGTCAATTTTGATAGAAAATCACGGGAATTAATAAACATAAGAAGTAGCAAAAGTACATTGAAAAGGTAAATTTATATTGGGTATGCAAAAAAGTAGAGAGAAAAAGTAATTAAAGTACATGAAAAACTAAAATTTACATGGGAAATTTAAATTTGCATAAATATTTTTGCAAATGGGAGAAAATTTTGGTAAAAATTTAATATTAATAGTTGTTGGAAAAAGCAAATGAGGTGAACATTTTTGGACTAAAATTTGTCCATAAGAGACTATCAAAAGGGGATGAAGGGAGTATTAATAGTACTTGAAAAAAAATAAATGTGACTAACATTTTGGGTCACCAAAAATGACATAAGTGTCTATCAAAAGAGAACGAAGAGAGTAATACAAATTACGTTACGTTCATCTAAATCAAAGAGTATTCTTTCAAAAAATAAAAAATAAAAATCAAATAGTAACATAGACAAAGAATAAGTAGATCATAGAATAAAAAAGTAAATGGAAATTATTAAATGTTGTTACTAATTAAGGTGTGGTGGTTTATACGAAGTAGTCAAGTAGTAGATAGTTTTCCAAAATCGCTTTTTAGGAGTAGTGTCTCTTGTATGAAGTAAAGACCCAACCATTATATTCTATACTCATATTTTCGGGTTAAGCTACTAAAATAAAACTTTATCGATTAACACTGGATTTTAGTTCATATGAATTTATAGTTATTTAATTATTAATTCTATAATGATGATCCTATGAGCGACCAAGGGATTATGGTTATTGGTTGTTGACATCCTTCAAAAGCTTTTTTTTTTGGTGTTTAGAGAGCCACAAGGGCAACGGATGAGAAACGATCTCAAGATCTCTAGAACCGGGAGGGGAGATCTAACACCTTGAGTTATTCCTCACTCTCATCCTTCCGAGGCTATGGGGCTTAAGCTTGAAGTGAAGCTATGGGGCTTAATTAAGCTTGAAGCTAATATCAGCATGTTTGCGATAATTTTACCTCACTCAAAAAGACCAAATAATCCGCATTATGTTAGCAATTTATAAGTGACTCGAGATAAGTCTATGACCGCAATAAAGTGCATACTGCATACATAAAAAAATTATGTATTGAGACGAGATTTCATGTAAACTTGTTGATCAATAATGAATATTACAGCACTTGAATCATGACAAAAGTGAAAATATTAGGAAAAACATTTGAACTCAATACTTGTTACAAGTGCCATTTGTAATTCTTTAATAGAAAATCAATATTGCAGATAAAATTATAAACTAGAAATAAACACAAGTAGCAACATAAAAAAGTTAAGCTTGCACCTTAACCGACTACATGCCTTATGATCATTGCAAAGGATCGTTTATTGTTTTACGCCTTACTGCAACTCTGCACTTTGAGCTGCATTCAGACCTGCAATACTTCTCACTTCATAGTTAGATTATTTTTTAGGAGATTATGAATTGAAATATATGAAGCTAATGATGCAAGATTTGAAATTAAATTTGTTAATGACATCCATATTCTATCAATGATTTCTCTATCAGGTAATTAACTTGAGGCTTATTATGAGCTTATAAGATTCAGATATATCTGAAATTCATTAACTTCTCACAAAAGCGTGATGGTAAATATGTAACTTAAGATTAACACTTCCGGAGAAGTTGATTTTTTTAAATACTGTTGATTCAGGTTCAGAAACAACATAAAACTTGCAGAGGCATTTTCTGGTGTGTTAAGATCATAATACAGCAAAAGTAGCTCTGAAATAAATGGGAAAAAAAAAAATTTGATCTTAATATTAGATCAAATAGGTAAACTGGGGCTTTGCAGAGATTTCGTTGCTCACGGCTGCTAGCCTGCAACCCTTCCTCTTGGATTTGATATAACGTTATGGTGGCTGGAGACAGAATTATTATAGATATTAGCAGAATGCCAAAAGGTACATTTTCTTCACTTGCATGTTTAAAAAATGTAACAAGTATATTGCAGTGCTAACACAGTAACACTTCATGAACCAAAAATGATAATTGTATAACTGATTGACTATGCTGGGTTATAATTAATGTACTCTTCATAGTTAGCTGATATTTTTTGCCGGTGTTGATAGAATCCTGAATCTTGTAACATATGGACCAGATTCACCTTTCTTGAAGGGAAGAAGGAGAACGTGGTATTTCTTGCTATTTTTCGTAGACTCTTAGTTATCAAGATACGGTATGTCTTTCCCTTAAACAGCTATACAGAAGATCACCTAAAGAAAAGAAACAGAGGAAAGAAAACAAAGAACTAATGATCTTTGCATTAATTATCAGCAAGACAGCAACGTTCATCAGTCCATGTCTCATGAAACGCTTTTAAATTAATACAATTGAAATGAACTGAAACAAACCTTCTTTCCTTTTGCTCGGTTGGTTGTCACAAGAGAGCCGAGTTGCTTGTTTTACCTTATATTCTACACATATAAACCAGAACTAGACATGAAGAAGCTTACCAAAACAATTACCTTTTCTCCTTTTGGTCACTGATCAGTTGCCTTGCAGAAGATGTTTCTCATAAGCTTACTACCAAGAGACTTTACTAAATTCCTTTAATCACACACAAATTCCTTCCTAGACCTTGCTTAAATTTTGACATAGCTGCTTTCTTCCTAGAAAAAACACTCTCAAGCTTACTTATCCTACATTCAAGTTCAGAACTAACCACTTCAAAGGGGTTAAAGTTTTCACTTGCCTCGTCATCCTTGATTATCCCAGGATTATCAAGATCCGCATCTACAGTACACAAGGAAGCTAAACAACTAGGAGCCCCTTTGATACTATGATCTGTACTCCCATCTAAATTATGTGATGTGTTTGTCACTTCCACTGGAGTAGATGGCGTAATATTTCCACCCAAAGGCTGCATCATCACTATACATTTAGTACCCTCTAGGACCTCTTTAGCCAATGGTATATTTCTGCCATCTCTGTTACCATCTTCCTCAGAATCCTCACTCTGTTGTTCCCCCTCAATAGACCTCACATCAGCATTGAAGAATGAAAGCACACAACACGAGCTATGCTTACCATGATCAATCAATGACAGAGTAGGACTCTTCTGAGGCTGTGACACCTCTTCCTGAGCATCATCATCCCTAGAATTTCCTCCTGATTGTGAAAATTGCCCCCCTTTTACAACCATGGAAAGAATGGGGTCCTCTGTAGTCTGAGCTAACTTATTAGGCACACTAGCCAGGAGACTTTCTTCTTGTTTATCCCTAACCAATTTGCACAACATAGGATTCATTTCTGATGTCCTTTTCTCCCTGTTGTAACCGACATAATTAAGTTCCAAACTTGCTTCCTCTTCCTGTGGCCGTTGGGATCGAATAATGAGGCCTAATCCCTGTATATACAAACAACGTTATACCAACCTACTACACTTCCAAGCTGTATCCTATATAAAGAAAAACAAACTAACCTCCTCAGGAAATGATGTCAAGTCATCCATATCCTTAGCCTCCCAAGGGTGTTCTTCACCATATGCTACATCGATGCACTGGACAAACCCATTGGTCACATAAAATAGCTTCATTCTCAATCAAAACAACAGTTATTTCGGAAAAAGGTAATCAACACAAATAATCCAGACCTTCGAATACAAGTTCATACGAAGTATTGTCTTATCTTAATGATGAAATTAGTGATTCATAATATCAGAGATATTACGTAACTTATGTTAATGATTGATGGCGTTATAATATTGGGAAAAAAATTAAATAAATTAGGATTGGATTTCCAATTTACTCTTTTACCACATGAGGGAGCTCAAGCACAGTACTCATAGGCAACTGGTTGCAAAAATCATGGCTCAAGTTATGTTAACAAGCTATACAATTCACTCACTTACCCCTGTATTGCCAAAATCCCCCTTCAGAACCCGATCTTCCATCTCAGCTTTCACCATCTCCTCTTTTGTCCATGCTTTTATTCTCGGCCATTTTCCCCACATCACCGGATCTCTGTGTAACCGGTCAAGGTAAAATATCTGTGTTTGTCATTAATTAGAAAGTATTAGCCTAGGGCATTATGAAAACATAGAGAAAGAATCATTTAATAGGATAGTAATGACCCAACTTACTGCTAGGAAAATACTGCACCCTCCACATCCTTTTGCAAATCCATCAGCATAGAACTTGTTCCCAAATTTGTAGGCACTGTCAAAAAGCTTCTCCAACACCAATCCACACCAGTCATAATTCCATGCTTGCTTAGCACATGACAATGCAGGTAACAAATCATTATCCAACACGGAAGAAAGTGGCGGACAAAGAATCATATGCAATGCCAAGATCAAGAAAAGAGTCTTGAACTCCTCTTCATCCTCTTCCTCCCAACTGCCCTTCGCTTTTTCAAGCAAGGCACCTTCTATAACTATTCCCTTCAGTTTGTTAACTCTCCCACTTTTTATCCGCTTAAGCTCCCATTCTTTCCCAAATTTCCTCTCAATATCACTGACTTTGCTTCTCATTTCCGTACTCGTCACCTTCCTAGGAACAACCTTGCTGCCTTTTGGAATGCCAAGGATCCACCTGACTTGATCCTTGGATAGTTTGTACTCATGTCCATCTGGGGATATGAAAAGCTGATTAAAGGGATCCATCCGGGTCATCAACCAATAGCAAAGGTTCATCGGAAGCCAGCTGTCCATCAGGAAAAGCAACCCTCCAAATCCCATTTGTCTCACCCACTTCTTCCTCCGTTCATCAAAGGACTTGCATAGTTTCCCAAATGCATTAACTCGACAATGAACCCTCAATTGCTTCATATATTACGGAAGAAAAAGAAATTAGATAGTAAGTACCCAAATAATGGTAAACGCTAAATCTACCCTCTTCCCACAATAAGTGATGAGATTTTACATTCTTGTACTTACAGAGTTCCCATTATCATTCAAGCGCACCTTCAGCACTTGAGCAGCTTCTTTGACCTGATTACCTCTATTTTTACTGTTTTGCTGCATATCATTACAAGCTCAACTTATTTTTTGAAAACAAACCTATATATCAACAGCAAGTAAAATAATACAAGTAACACCTTAAACAAGCTACCCTCCAGCTTTAGTCGCTTAGCTTCACCATTGTCAATCTACAAAACCATATAATGATAACATTAGTGCAATCAAAATCCATAGACAATTTACCATCACCATCAAACAATAATAGAAAGATCGTTACTAATGGATTTTTAACCACTCCAAATTTGTAATAGTCAGTAAATATAAAAGCACAGTCTGAAGTGACGAAGCCAGAGAGGGACATGAAAACCATTTCTTTCTAGTTTACTACCATAACTCAATACCTACAAAGAGGCATATGAAAACTACACAATTCAATAAAACACTTGCATTTCCTGTCCCATTCACAATCCTCATTTATATCAAATACAATAAAGACGGAAATAAATGCACGAAATTCATAATAATTCTACCATAACAAACATCATTTACACACTAAATACTTGTTACCTCATCCATCATATGATCTCTGGTATCCTCTTCTTGATACTCAAACTCAACCCTCCTTTCACTGACAACTCTATTCTTACTCCCTTTTGGCCGCCCGCGTTTCCTCTTGCCCGCCCATGTTTCAGTTAATTTACATTCCCTTGAACCACTCTCCACCAATCCAAGTTTCCTTGCACCACTCATCAATGATTCACATTTCCTCGTACCACTCTCCATTAATCTACGATTCCTCATACCACTCTCAGTTGTAATCCTCTTCCTTTTCCACACATCCTGAGTAACTCACACCCAACATAACACCAGCAACATCAGTTCATTTTCATAGCATAACAATATCACAGAATAATTCACATGATTGAATCTTACTCATAAATATTATACTGTATTATCAAATACATATATACCCTAATTAATGAACACCCAGATCACACATTACCCAATTTTATATCTTTGTACACTCAATTTAATCTTCAGAGTTCAATAAGTTCATACCCTATATTCATCAATGTTTAATCAATTTCCCACATTTTCTGTTAAGAAAGGTCAATTTTATTTCCCATTTCAAATCGAATATAATCTAACCCAGCAACCCTAATGAGCATAATCTTGTTCTTACAAGCTACAACAAGCCCACAAAATTTCAAAACCCTCCATTTTCATTAATAACTTATATTTAACTAATTATAAAACTAACCAATGAATTTAAAATAGTACCCTCCATTTTCATTAATACTTGTATTTAACTAATTATATAATTAACAAATGAGTTTAAATAGTACCCTCCATTTTCAGTAATACTTGTATTTAACTAATTATAAATTTAACAAATGAATTTTAGATAATATTTGGTATAAATCATCGTCTTTTACCAACTAAATTGATTACCTTAATCTTCTCTTTGAAAAAATTGATTACCAAATCTTCTGGCAATCTTACTACAGCGCTATTCCTCTGTCCTGTGCACCGATTTACCTTCCTATTATTACTCCGTACAGTGGTTTTTCAAGGTAATGTCAATCAACCTAACTTTTAATCTTGTCGCTTCATTTTTGGACCTTGAATCTGAGTGTTTAGGGTTCGTTTGGCATTGCTGTGGTTTTCTGTTTTTTTTTTTTTTTTTTTTTTTTTTTTGTTGTATAAAAGTATATGATATATGTCACATGATGAATCAAAAATTATTTAAACTTATTAGAATCATAATAATGTCAAACAGGAAACTAACTTATTTTTGGTTTTTAGTTTTTAAAAAAACAGGAAACTAAAAACCAAAAATAATGCCAAACAAGCCCTTATTTATCTATTGTACTATATACTTTCTCTGTTCTATTAATATTACAACAAGGATGAAATCACGCATCCCAAAGTATATTTTATATGCTAAATATCTATAATATATAAGAGTAAAAATTGTAAAAATTTGATATTGTGAAAGTATTTTATTAGACGAATCCAACAAGATCCCACATGACTATATTTTTCTTAACGTATAAATCATATTATATGGTCAAACAAGAGTAATGAATAGTGCAAAAAGTCTATTGTTGCAATATTAATAGAACAAAGGAATATATTGTATCTATATAATAATAGTATAATACTACGTATAAAGAGAATGGGCATTGTGTAAAATAAAAATAAAAAAAATAAAAAAAAAAAGGAGAGAGAGAAAGAGCATGTAGGGGTGATACATTTGTGTTTTTCCAAATGCCCTTCTTAATATTAAAAATTACTTCTCCTATTAAAAATTAAAAATTAAATTTTATTTTAATAAAAAAAAACTGCTCTATCATAACCAATTAACCACTATTTTATTTTAATAATAAAAAAAAAAAAAACTTGCTCTTCTACGTTAAAAAGCAATTAGCTTTAACACAAAGTCTTATATGTGTGAATAGAGGTTACGTCGCTAGTGTTAAAGGGGTTACTTCGTCATTGTTATAGAATTACTCGGTCAGTGTTATAGAGGTTACTTGATCAGTATTATAGGGGTTACTTAATCAATGTTATAGCGATTACTTTAAGTGAGTGGTCACACGGTGTGGCGGCAGCGCCCAAGACGAGCTGCATTTGATCCTAACATTTGACAGTTTTTTTTTTTTTTCAACAAATCTCTTCAAAATTACTCAAATCTATAAGACCATTTTTTCTTTTTAATTATAATGGGCTTATTAACCTTTCACAAAAAAAACTTGATTAATCCCAAAATTTATTATATTTTTCTAATTATCAATATATAAAGAGAAAAGCACTTTGGTTGATAAATTTGACACTTTCCCAAAATATCTCTCTGAAAAGAAAAAATTACATATCTCTTATCCACAATTAAATATTAAATAATTTCCCTAAAATAACTACCCTTATTCATGTTAAAAAAAATTTAAAAAAAATTAAATAAATTTATTATGTCACGTGGAAAAAAATAACCACCAATAAAAACTGATTTTTAACAAAAACAAAATAGAGAACATATATATCACGTACACAAACTTTTTTTTTAGTTAAAAAAAACACTCTCTTTAATCATGTACAGACTGAGAGGGTCACGCTACGCGTGTACAATATAAGAATTTTATATTGTACCCACGTAGTGTGTACCTCTTAAGGCTTGTTCAGATTGACTGAAATGAGCTGAACTTGTTGGAGCTGAATTGAACTTTATATTTTATGAGAAAAGGAAATTAAGAACTAAACTAAACTTATTGGAGTTGAATTGGACTGAAAATAATTTGAAGTGAACATGCCCTTAGCTTGTAGAGATTAAAGAGAAAGGACCTTTTGGTTGATAAATTTTTGCTTTTCGTAAAATACCCTTATACATTTTAAAAATTACGAAATACATTTTTACGAATTTTCGTGCATCTCTTAGCTTGTTTATTTAATTTTTTTTTGGGGATTTTTTAAAGTAAGGAGAAAATGTCCTATCAAACTGAAACCTTTAAATTGTGAACCAACCTTAAGTTAGCGGGCTAGACGGCTAGACTGCTAGACCTAAGTAGCGAGAAGCATCTAAACATAATAGATTTAAAGCACATTTTTTAACCTATAACTATAAATAAAATAAATTTATGAATTTCCTCCCAAAGTTATGGTTGACATCATTACTATCAACATATCAACCTCTCATAAATTTCCTGCCAAAATATTAGTGACATCATTTTTGTCCAGATAAATAAAGGTTTGAAAATATTATTCTCTCTGTTTTTTTTTAATTTGCATCAGTTTGACCGATACATTTGCCGAGATGCATTTTTAACGATTAATACTTTTAATTGTCTAATAGTAAAAATTATAGTAAAATTAATTTATGAAACTAGACATTATGACTAATAATCTAATGATACTTTTATATAGGAGTAACATTTATCTTTATAAAGGTGAAAAAATTAAGTTAACCATGGTATGTAAATAGTGCAAAAATCAAAATGATGCATATAAAAAAAAACGAAGGAAGTAAATTAATTATAATGACTAACTATATTATTTCCAATGGACTTAAAATATAAATAATAAAAACGGCTATTTCACCAAATGCCACTGAGCAATTTAAAAATTCACCAAATGCCATCGGACTTTTCAGAATTCACCAAGTGCCACCCAGTTTTTAAAAAATTCACCCAGTGCCATTAATGACCAACGGTCGTTAACTCCGTTAGTAATTATGGGTTAATCATGACACGTGTCATGACAGAATTAGACCATTTATCTTAATTCATAAAAATTAAAAAAAAAAACAAAAAAAGTTAAAAAAAATTAAAAAAAAAAAATCCCCAAAATTTTCCCAGCCACCCCGACCACCGCCAAACACTAACCCCTCCCCCCCCATCTCGCCGGAAAACGGCCGATCACCACCGGAACCACCAACAATCGGCCGACCGACCATGTAGCTCCCCACCCGACCCACCGCCGACCCCCAAAACCATCCTCACAAACTGCCCCGACCCCATAAAACCGCAAACACGAGCATCACCCACCCCAAAAACCACCCACACAACCGCCCCGACCCTAATAACCACCAGTAAAAAGCCCCTCCTCCCTTCTCCCACCGTCGAAACGACAGATTTTGAGGTTGGGGAAAGGGAGGAGGGGCTTTTTACGGGTGGTTTTTGGGGTCGGGGCGGATGTGTAGGTGGTTTTTGGGGTCGGGACGAGCAGCGTGAGTGGTTTTGGGGGTCGGCGGTGGGTCGGGTGGGGAGCTACATGGTCGGCCGGCCGTTTTTCGGCGAGATGGGGGGAGGGGTTAGTGTTTGGCGGTGGTCGGGATGGCTGGGAAAATTTTGGGGATTTTTTTTTTGTTTTTTATTTTTTATTTTTATGAATTAAGATAAATGGTCCAATTATGTCATGACACGTGTCATGATTAACCCCTAATTACTAACGGAGTTAACGGTCGTTGGTCATTAATGGCACTGGGTGAATTTTTTAAAAACTGGGTGGCATTTGGTGAATTCTGAAAAGTCCGATGGCATTTGGTGAATTTTTAAATTGCTTAGTGGCATTTGGTGAAATTTCCGTAATAAAAAAAGTGGTCGGAGTATTTCATTTTTCTATAAACTTTATCTTTCACCTACTCTATACATTTTATACAGACTATCTGAATTTGGGTTCCCACTCTTTATTAATATATTGTATTTCACTATTTTGCTATTACATACTACGTATTATACACAAATAAGCAAAAAAATTATTGCTGAAATCATATGTCGTACAAGTCTAACTTAGTATTAAAGTACTCCGTAATTTGATACCCACGGATATACCATATAAAACTAAATTTAATTCTACCCAAAAAGATAAGTTGGTATCAAATTATTTGATTTTGATACAAAAATGTATTTATTTGGGAGACTCCTTATTTGGTACTGTGATTGATTTATAAATTTATCACAGTTTTACCTTAAGATTCTCTCAGCTACGCTAGGAAAAAGGTAAAGGGAATACCACTCTCAAGTTTCAAGTTGCTAATCCTTTATCAATATTCACTAAACTAAGGATTACAATGTTAACTAGCTTTTATATTAATCTGTCACCAATTGTTGACTTTTATACAAATTTGCTGCCAATGATAACTTTATACTAATATGTTTTAAGTTTGCAAATTTTTATACCAGTGTGTCAATTGACCTAGGTTTTTTTTTTAAAAAAATTTAATAGAATGGAACTTGCCTTAGAGTCTATTTTGTTCACATTATTTTCACTCTCACAAAATAATGAAAAATAATAAGTTTAATTAAGTTTGGATAAATTCAAACACGATAAGTTCATGAAAAATAAGTTTGGATAAAGGTTAACCTATTTAAAATTTATATTAATTGACATTATATCCCATTGTTTCTGTTATATTTAGCCACCATGCATCACCATTATGTACAGCATTTGAGCAGAAATTTTGACATATACTATGAGTACATCAGTACATGAGCTTATTCCAATAACATTAATGGCCAACAATTAAATACAGAGTAGAGAGTACCATCATTTAGAGAAGAGGTTAAAATTGGTAATTTATTGCAAATAAACTTCAAAGTCCAATTCAGTTTCAGAGTAAGTCAGGAGCCTGAACATGAATAATGGCCACTTCAAATAACTGCATGACTTGATATTTCATAAGAATCATAACATAAATAATGAATGTTAATATTGCTAAGAGCTACAATTAATTGAATGACTTGATAATTCATAGGTTTGCAGATTGCTATACTTGCAGAATATGAGGCAGGTAAGAATGACAAACAACAGCTGAAAGTTCTTAAGGATCAAAATACAAAACAACATGCCATCAGTAGATGATTTTCCTAACAGGGAAGAAGCCGGAGATTAATAGTGAGATACAAGATAGAGACAATTTACAATTCGATCTGCTGACATGATTTTCAACTCAGATTTCAATTGTGAACCTCCTGAAACATTTATAACAGCAAAATGATATATGTTGCCATTGCAAAGCATGCATGAGTGAGGGGTACTCGCATTGCAGCTTGAAATTAGTAAACTACCATTGAGATGAATGCATCCTCCAAAATTATCAATGTAGCTAGAGAGGGTCCAAGCATGAATATTATGATCCAATACACTTCAAATGCTAAGGTTCATTTTTTTTAACAAAAATGCCACGGTTCATATGAAATTAGGATCATAAAATACATTAAAATTACATAGAGACTGAGTAATTACACCCTTCTTTCTTTATCAGGCAAAATTAGTTATATTCATTACTGAATGAGAACCTTACACGAATCCTGACCACAAGTTTCGGTGAGTTTTACAGTTGCAGGGCCTGACATGGTAACTAGCACAGAAAAGAAGTGAGTATATATGCAAGATTTTTTTCACTGTAACTTCAAGTTAAAGAGTATCAAATAGGTGCCTATCAATTACATAGAGATCTATTACAAGCACCATCACGATGATACATGTCACACAATACCTTTCAAAGCATCTAAACCCGAGTCTAATTTGCTGAATCTAATCCTGTTCTTCACATTCGAACATACATCAATGTTAATTCAAATAAGTAGATATGCTACCTCATTGAAGACCCAAACTTGGCTGTTTTGAGAGTAGAAACTGTCCTTTCAAGTTTACTAATCCTGGCTTCAAACTCAAGAATTGATTCTTCAAAAGGGTTGCGACTATCATTATCTTCCCCATTGTTGATAATCAGAAAAGCATCAGCTGCAGAATTGACTTGCTTGATGTCAGTACTGTGATTTGCTGCTTCAGTATGTTCATCTTTAGTAGAAGTGTAGCATATCGTGTTCAATGTAGTGTCAAGCAATGTTTCTTCCCTATTTAAGGTTTCATGATCTTCAGCTAATGAGTCATTCTGCAAATGAATGCATTCCATATGTGGCTTGCTTCCTTCATTCGCATTCAATTTGCTCTTACACACCTCATTTTCCTCGCCTTCCTCCACAACATTGTGCTCACATTTTCCAGTGTCCTGTGACCACACTGTCAAATCTATTGTACTAATTTGCTTGTTCTTATCAAACACATTGGAAGGATTTTTTTGTATTGCAATTTCCGGAATATAAGATGGATTATCATTTGGTGTCTCCTTTCTACTGCCAGCCGAAATTAAAACCATAGCCTCATTACATGGAGTAGAACAAGCAGGTACTCCAGACACCTCAACCACTTTTCCTACGCTTCTCCTCTGTTTGTCATGGATGGTCAATGATTCATGATCACACGGGGACAATGCTGACCTCCACCATTCATGATAGTTGATTGTAACATCTCCCTCGAGCCATCGAGGAGGTATATAAATCTTCAAACCATCAAGCGATTTTTCATAGCTACTCAAAGCAAGTTCTAGATCATCATTCAATCTAATAATGGGATCAGGAATATCTTGATCCATCGCGAATTGCATCCCTACTCTATGTGGAAGATATGGCTCCATACAATCCACACCTATCAAATCACAAGCCATCAAACACCTTGTAAATGACAATAGTTGCTCATCCCATAGCAGAATTCAACAACAACCACATTCCTTGATCACAATAAAACTTGGGAACTTCCCAATTCTTCACATTCAAAGCATAAGGCCGCCACAAAAAATCATCCCCAAATGACTCCACATCCTGCAGCCTCAAACTCCCATTTTTCGATTTCTTTGAACCGCGCCAACGAGCCAATCTCGGCTCTCCACGAGCAAGAAACTTCGGCTTTTTACCTAATCTAGTAAACCTTTCCCAAGCCCGTACATGGACTAAATATAATGGTGCAGTAAGAACAAGCTTTGAATTACCATTTTCACCAGCACATGATATGAAACTAACAATTTTCTCATTTAACAAACTCAAATCACGATAAATCGAAGCTAAAACAGCATGAGCTAAAGCAATCTTGGTACCATTAGCTAAACTAATTGCAATTGAAAACAAATTAGGAGCAATAGTATTGTACACATTTGTAGGAAAAACATACCTAGACAACCACAATACAAGAAAAGCAACATGCTCCAAATGACCACCTTTACCCTTGAAATACTTCATCCAACCTAAATGAGTCACAAGATTATTAGAATTACTCATAATTTCAGAACATGAATTGACCAAACTAGCCTCAATATCATCAAAGTTTCTATTCTTAGAAGGGGTAAGAACAGAAACACCCAAAACAGGAAATCCACCCAAAATCATAACATCCTCCAAAGTAATGGTACATTCACCCCAAGAAAAGATAAATGTATTTGTTTTAGAGCACCATTTCTCAGCCAAACTTATGATTAGCTCATTATCCTTCTTAATGTAATAACCCGATGACAAGATAGCATCAAAGATCCCAACTTTCTTCCAAATGCTTTGATGGGTTGGTTGTAATTCATCAATCCATGACTTCCATAACCTTTGTGGATTTGGGGTACCTTTGAATGACACCATTTTTGTGACATCTTGAATGATTTTAGGGTTTGAAGAGAGAGAAAGAGAAGGGGGTTTAGATAGAGAAGGTTGTTGATTAGTGGAGCTTAAGAAGGGTTTTAGGAAATGGGCTTTTCTAAGTGTTGGAATTCCTCCATTTGGTCTAACCATTGACTCTTCTCTTTCAAAAATCATCATTTTTTTCATGCTAATTTTCTGGGTTTATCTATTTTTTTTCAATTTTGTTGGGTTCATTTGCTTTTGTATGCATTTATTTTATGCAAGTTTGGCGTGCTTAGAGAATTGCCACTCTAAAAATGAAGTACAGTTCTACAGTAGGAGTGCAGGGCAATCGAAAGTAGTATTGAGCCAAAATTGGAAATATTTATGCATAAATTTTTCTAATGGTCATTCATCACACAATAAAGGGAAAAAAAAAAACTTTGCTTGTTCTCATATGTTGACCAGATGACCACTAATGTACTAAAAAAATTGTGAATATAGCACGAAAAAATGTGTTTTATACAATAATAGAAGTGCTAAATTAAATTTAAATCGTGAGTCATTTCTCAATTCATATAATGTGAAACGGTTCTAGTGAAAAAAAAAAAGTAATACAAAGTATACAGAGTACAAAGATAAATATAAAGTAAAAATATTCTTTAGAAAATTATTCTAAATATATCAAAGATTGTGCGAAAATTGGACTTGAATATGGGTCGGCCTATAGAATATAGAAGGGCTAAACTTAGACTTTATATTTACCTACACCTAAAAAACTAATAAGCTACTAATTCGTACATGTTTTAGCTAAGTTTCAACTTTTAAAGTTAAAAAACGCAAGTTGGCAAGTATGAATAAATACCTACACCTAAAAAAACGCAAGTTTCAACATGTGGAATTTTGGTACAAATATTATTTTTAAAAATTAATGCATAATAATAGTCTAATTCTTATAAACAATTTATTTTAAAAAAAATAAAATCAGTCATAACGAATTAATGATGAGATTCAATAGGAAACAACATATTCAGAATTTTTACTCCATTTATATTTATGATATTCTCTATATTCAGACTTAAATTTCGTATTAACAGTTCACATTACACACTCAAATCCTCAAAAACAGGATTAAAGAGCACCTAAACTAAATAATTATGTAGCAATAATAAGCCTGCCTTGGGTGAAAATTCTTATAAATACATTAAGGTAGAGGACTTTTTTCAAAGAGGCTAACAGCTCATAAGCTAGAGTTAGATCCCTATTTAAACAATTGATGAGATTATCACGCAATAATCAAACGCTCAGAAATTAAAATCATCAACATCATTCCAAAACAAATTACACTGGAAAATATGGCAATTTCTATTACTAATGACACTAACATGACAATTTCTGGTACTATCAATGCTGATGATAAAACCGTCCTCTTTCTCAAGTTAAGGATCCCTAAACAGAACAACAACAAAGGTTATTTTCTTAATCTTCGGGTGTACCCTTTTATATTATATGGTATTATGCATCAACATAATTCTTATTGCATTCAATTCTATGTTGTTTTACGTACTACTCCTAACATTTAAGGAATTCATCACCCATCTTGAGAGCACTGCATGGATTTAATTCGCCGATTGTCACATGTACAAAAAAAAAAAAAAAAAAAAAAAAAAAAAAAAAAAAGTTACTATCATAGGTTAGGAAAATATAAGCCTGTAAATGTGGAATATGAAACGACTCAGACGTTCTTATAGGGAGACACCTTCATTCTTATAGTTTTGTGAATATTTGTATTGGATGTATAATTGATCACGAGATTATATTGTTTTGTGTAACTAATGGTTTGTTTTTTTATATGTGCATGAATATATATGGAACTACAAGGTTATATTGTCCACTTTCCATTCCACACCATGTATGACACCGCGAAGAGTGTTGCAGATGAGATGGTGAGCGAGCTGGATTTATTAAATGACGGTGATGAACTCAAGATTGCTAATATGATTGACAAGAAAATCTCTGATGAAATTCCTGGGTGGAAAGGTACAAGTTCGCCCAATAATCAACCAGCAGCACCTATTACAGCGCGCCTTTGAATGCCATGAAGTTTGATGAACAGAACTACCCTCCCTACGTGAATGTTGAAATTTCCTCCCTTTTTGGGGAATTTTGGTTTGGTTTTAATAATATACTACAGTATAATAAATATAGAGTAGGAAGTTCTTAGTATACATAACTTAAATGGTAAATTTCTTCTAAATTACTCTGTAGTCATTTCCTGCAAATCTGATGCTGCACGGCAGCAGGACCATCTCAGGTATGTCACAAAAGCAATAATTCTCTAGTTAATCTCACTAGGAAACATGATTACCAACCAATTTGTCAATAATTATGTTCGGCTTTATTCCTTTGCCAAGAAGATGTGCTCTAAAGTCAGAATAGACTCCTCTTGCTAAGTCTGATGGGGTGCTTCATAAATCATGATGCTAGTAAGAAGGCAAGACAGCAACACGGATGCAGTATTTCAGCAACTTGGTTCATTTTTTAGCCAAAAACATTTCATTGTGATTGTGTGGGTTATTTCAGCCACTACAGAAATAAATTTCCCATCAAAGTGAAGGAAGCTGAGTAGCTGACTGTATGGGAGTTCTGAAAGAGCCCAAAGAGAATTCGGAAATGGACTGTTCTCTGCATATCAATTTTCTTCACTCGAGTGTAGCAACTGTTCTAACAGAAGATTTTTTTAGCAGTCCAACCTAAAGTTAATATACTTGGGGAAAAAACATATCAGCATTGGAATTAACTAATAACTGTAAAGATACTATAAACCAAGTAAAGAGACTATTGCAAACAGTACAAACAGACAAACAAACAAGCTATATAAGTAAATTATTATATGATAAGATGAAATAAAGCATTCATCATGCTGCTACATTGCCTATAAGTTATATGATTATATGGACTAAGTACTTACATCGACATTTCTGAATCTGCCGAAAGTACAGTAGATTACACTTAAACCAGATCAGAGTTTATATCATTTTTATGTCCTTTTTTAAACTCTTTGTCAATCCAGCCACTATGATAAAACTGCCTTTACAAAAAATTCTAGCTCCGATCCCTATCCTTAATTATCATATTTATCTAAACCTAAGCTGCATTGATCTTTGCCCTGTGCCCCTGTATATATAAACATATCAATGTCGGTACAAGATCTTACCTTACCATGGACCTTCTCTTAGCTGCTTTCTTAGAATAAACTATCTTCTCAAGCCTATTAAGCCTAGAATTGATTTCCAGACATTTTGCTTCAAACGATTTAAGATCATTATCCATTTCTTTATTACTGACAATAACAAAAGCATCAGGTGAAGTCTTCATTCGCTCTATGTCTTCATCTACTGCAACTGTATCCATTTTTTCACCACTGACATTAGCAATATCATCAAGTGAGGTCTTCATTTGCTCTATGTCAACATCTACTGCAACTGTCTGATGTACATCTTCAGCAATTGCACCACACAAAGGAGTCGTCTCAGTTTTGATCAGTGGCCTTGCTCCACGAAAGGTTCCATTATCTTCAATCAATTTTTCATTTGGAGAACAAGCACCCTCAGAGTACTCTCTATGTTCACAAGAAGTTGATTTTCTGTATGGCCTGTTACTGCTACTCCCAGCAAAATCTACATTCATCTCCTCGTTACATTGGGAAGATGAACAAACAGGAATTTCATTTTGAGAATGAGTACTCTCTGAATACTTGCTGTCCACACCCAGGTTACCATCACTCTGATGATACACTTCTTTTTCCCTGTCTTCCTCTATAGCATTCGATTCATTCACTTCTTTTTCCATGTCTTCCTCTATAGCATTCAATTCATTCACATCTTGCTCCCTGTCTTCCTCTATAGCATTCGATTCATTCACTTGTTTTTCCCTGTCTTTGTCTATAGCATTCGATTCATTCTTTCTGTTGTCCTCTAGCCCCAACAACAAATCAATCACAATATCCTGCACTCCCTTAATTTTTACAGAAGATGGTAATTTTTCATTTGGCTTTTCCCTGCTATTGCCTGAACAATCCAACTCAACAGCCTTAGTACATGGGGAGGATGAAGGAAGAGGAGCCTCCTTGCAATTCCCTTCCTTACTTTCCTGCAGAATTTGAGATAATTTCTTCACCTTCATCTTTCCTTTCCTCTGCATCGGCTTTTCAGCAGGAAGTGAATCTAGTGTCTTCCACCAATTAGAATACTGAATGGTAATATCTCCTTCAACCAATCGAGGAGGCATATAGAATTTCAAACCATGAAGCGATTCGTCATAGCTACTCCAAGCAAGTTCAACATCAGCATTCAATCTAGGAATTGAAATCGGAATATCTTGATCCATTCCAAATTGCATTGCTACTCTATGAGGCATGTATTGCTTAACACAATTCACACCCACCAACTCACACACCCTCAAACACACCGCGAATGACAATAGTTCCTCATCAACCTCAGAATCCACCAACACCCACATTTCCTCATCACAATAAAACTTAGGAAATTCCCAATTTTTTACATACAAAGCATAAGGCCTCCACAAAAACTCACCTCCAGCAGACTCAATTTCAACCCTCAACCTCCCATTTTCCACACACTTCACACCGTGCCAACGAGCCAATCTCGGCTCACCACGAACAAGGGGTTCGGGTTTAGGCCCTAATGTTCGAAACCTCTCCCAAGCCCAAACCTGAATCAATTGAAAGGGTGCCCAAAGAACAAGCTTTGAACCATCACCTTGACCATTTTCACAGTTTAAACTTACAATTTTCTTCTTCAACAAACTCAAATCTCTATAAATTAAAGCTAACACAGCAGGAGCAAGCGCGATTCGAGTACCTCTAGCAAGACTAATAGCAATGTTGTAAACATTAAAGGAAGAAAAAACATACCTCGATAACCATAGAACAATCAATGCCACATTTTCCATTTCACCACCATAACCCTTGAAGTAATTCATCCATTCAAGATGACTAATTTGAGATACATCACTATCTTTCTTGATTTTTGCACAAGCATCCTTCAACCTTCTCACAATCTTACGATCATCTTCAACATTACCCGAGTTTTCGAGAACCGAAAACCCGAAAACTGAGAACCCTCCAAGGATCATAACATCCTCCAAAGTTATAGTAGCTTCACCCCAAGGAAAAACAAAAGTATTAGTTTCAGGGCACCATTTTTCAACCAATCCAATGATTAACTCATTATCCTCCTTAATTTCATAAGTTGAACACCTAATTGCATCATATATTCCAGCTCTTTTCCAACTTAATTCATGGGTTTTCTGCAGATTTTCAACCCAAATATTCCGACTTAGGGCCCACAAAATATAAAATCAAAATTATATTATTAAAAAAATAAAAAAAAAAAATAAAAAAAACCAAACCCACCACTACCACCTCCGACAACCCTCCCTTTCCCCGTTTCTATTTTCGGCATCCATAATTCCTTCAATTTCCTCCACTCCTCAAATCTCACCACCACCACAACCCACCTCTTAATCTCTTATATAGTTCTATCCATAGTTACCAATGTCAACCCATATTCTAGAATTATCATCCAACTCTCTAAATCTCCTCCTCTTCAATCAATTACAAGCTACTCACTTGAAAATTTTAGAAGTTTGTACATGCTTTAAATCCATTGTTGGTTGAATTAATTCAACAATCTTATCAAGCCAATAAATCAAAACCATAAAAACTGAAAATTAAATTAAAAAACAAATTGAAGAGTGCAATCAACCTTGGAATGAGCAGAGGAAGCGGCAACGTGAATGTTTCGTGAGGAAACGCCGATATGGGTAGGGGTATTTTGAGGAAGTGACAAAGTGGGTGGGGTTTGGTGGTGAAGAGGCGATGTGGGTAGGGGTTAGGGGTGGAGGCTAGGTGGGGCTTGGTAAGGTTTGCCGAAAGGAGTGGTGGTTGGTTCGGGTGAGGGTGAGGGTGAGGGTGAGGGTGGTGTGTTAGGTCGTTGATTTGGGTGGAGTGCAGGAGATGGGAGAGCTGCCAAGGGTTGGGTTAAGGGGATTTTTTTTAATTTTGATTTTTTTTTGAGCAATTATGTGGTGACACGTGTAACTAAGTCAGAAAAGTGGCCGGAAATGGAAAAGGGCGGTGAAATTTACATGTTTTGACATTAATGGGTGGTAATTTTTAATTTCGAAAAAAACGGGTGGTAAATTCAATACATGGTACATTTTGGGGTGGTTATTTACAAAAAGTCCTAAATAAAATACTGATAGTTAGAATATTAAAAAATTACTCTATATAAAAGAAATATAATGGGATTAATAATGAGTATTATCCCATTTAATTACTAGATGGGATACTCAGGGTAATGCGGAAATTGTTTGTAGGGATGTTTTCCCCCAAAGCATTATTGCTTTGGCGGATGGTGATTTAATATAAAATACCCTTAATGCTTTCTTTCAAAAAAAAATTATTGAAAAGTAATGAATGTGAGAGAAAATTTAAAAAATAAAATAAAATAAAAAAAAGTAATTGTGGGTTTGGATGAGGGCCTTAAAAGAAAAATCATATGTAGTATGATACGTAGTATTAAAATGTAAATTTTTGCCAAAGAGAAAGCGTAACATTTATTAAAACACGACTAAATTAGGTAAGTATAACAATTATTAAAATACGAAGGGACTAAATGCTTTATTTTTATTTTTCTATGGCACATATTTGTAATCAATAATATCTTTAATTATCAATAAATATAATTTATAACAATTAAAAAATTAATAATCTATCTATTTTTTAAAATGATTCCACAAATACTCACAAAAGTATATCAATATCAATAAGGGGGTAGTTCAAGGGAGGGTGGGGGCAAGGGGTACCAAGGTTTGGATAGCATGGCTGCATGGGGAAGAGGTGTTGAGGATGGGACTTGGGTGGGGAGGAGGGTGCCTTTGTTGGTATTATTTGGGGAGGCCGACGGTGAGGCTGGGGTTGGGGTGGGGAGGCCGATGGTAGGGATCAAGAGTCGATTCGCGGTGGATAAGGGATCCAATCCGACAATAGGGGATGGGGAGGGGGGGTTGCCGACAATAAGGGCTGAGTGGATTGTTTTGGTTTTTTTACCCAATTAATATATGGTGACATGACATAGTAGTAGGCCCTACTAATAGAATTCATTAAGTGGTGGTGAAATTTAACTTTTTAATTTATTTGATACGTAGTACTAGTGATAAAATAAAAGTTTAAGAGATTTTGATGGTAAAAAACAATATCAAATTTTAAGATGAAGTAAAAAAGACTCATCCTCTTCAATCTTATTAAATTTTTTGTGTTTCATTTGAAGTAGGTTCTCAATGGAAAGATTCTTGTACTTCATTTGTGTCACATCATTATAAATGCATGTCAATATGGCTAATTTAACTACTATCATTTGACAACTTTTGGATTGGCATTTCTAAAATTGACATCTTCAACGATTAGAAATTTGGGAGTTTATAACAAAAACTTAGGTAGATCAATGTAATTGACGCTTAGTTATTCTCAATTTTTTTATATAGTACTCTCTTCATTTCTTAAAGAAAGTCACGTTTGGTGATTTTACGCCCGTTATTAAGGAAAGTAAGAAGGTGAAAAGCAATAATTATGTGTATCGCATATATCAATTATTCGTTGAAAATAGATAAATATTAATGTAAATAAGAATAGTTGCATTATGTCTCTTGTTAATTATTTTTAAGCCTAGTAGGGGGCTTCGGCAGGGTGATCCTATGTCTCCTTTCCTGTTTATTATGTGTGCGGAGGGTCTATCTGCTCTTCTTCGTGATGCTGAGAGGAGGAAGCTCATTCATGGGGTGAAGATAGGTAGGCATGTTGAACCTATCTCTCACTTATTTTTTGCTGATGATAGTCTGTTATTTATTAGAGCAAATGAAGATGAAACTGATGAGGTGCTCAATATTCTCTCTACTTATGAGTTGGCGTCGGGCCAGAAATTGAATATGGAAAAATCGGAAGTGTCATTTAGCCGAAACATTGAGTGTGATAAGAAAAATATGCTTCAGATGAAGTTATCTTTTAAGGCTGTCGTTGGACATGACAAATATTTGGGTCTTCCAACTTACATTGGGGGGTCTAAAAAACAGGTTTTTCAAAGTATTCAAATTCGGATCTGGAAAAAACTCAAGGGGTGGAAGGAAAATTTTCTTTCTTAGGCTGGAAGGGAAATTCTTATCAAGTCTGTGGCTCAAGCAATACCGATTTATGCTATGCAATGCTTTTCACTCCCTACTAGCATTCTTAATGTTGTGGAAAACATGTGTAGGAACTTTTTCTGGGGACAAAAGAAGGATGAAAGGAAGTTGTGTTGGGTGGCTTGGAAGAAAATGTATGGAGCAAAAAATCAAGGGGGTATGGGGTTCCGGAATATGCATATTTTCAACAAGGCCATGTTGGCAAAGCAAGCTTGGAAGGTGGTGACTAATGAAAACTCTCTTATGGCTCGGGTATTGAAGGGGAAATACTTTCCGTCATCAAATTTTTTTGAGGCGAAAGTAGTATCGGGTATGAGCTTTACTTGGCGCTCTATATTGAGTGTGCGGGAGGTGATTGTAAAGGGGGCTAGGAAGAATGTTGGAGCTGGGTCTGGCATCAATATTTGGGATGACCCTTGGGTCCCCAATTTGCCAAACTTTCGGGTGCTATCTGCCAGGGGTGAGGGGGATGATGCGCCGAATGTGGTTTCTGATTTGTGGGAGGATCGTAGCTGGAATCGAAGCACTTTACAGGGACTCTTCTCTGAGTGGGAAGTAAATGAGATATGCAGCATTCCAATCCCTACATTTGACAATGAGGATTCTTGGTGTTGGCACCTGTCGAAGGATGGAATCTATAGTGTCAAGAGTGTGTACAATTTTCTTATGGATGAGGAATTAAGGAGTAGGGCGTCTTCATCACTGTCTTTCCCTCCCTTTAATTGGAAGTTGATTTGGCATGCTAAGATACCTCCAAAAATCAAATTTTTTGGGTGGAGGTGTATGAGGGGTGCCATTGCTGTGAGATTGAACTTATGTGCTAGGGGCATGGAGGTTGATCGCATTTGTCCAATGTGTGGTGAAGCCGAGGAGTCGACATTGCATATGCTGCTGCTGTGTGCTGAGGCGAGGCCAATTTGGAAGCATTCGTTGCTTAGGCTCGATATTAAGGAAGATGATGAGACTTGTTTCAGGAGCTGGTGTGCCTCAATGAGCAACAAAATTAAAGAACCAAGGTGGTGGAGTGTGTTCTGGTGTGTGGCGTGGGGGGTCTGGTTGAAGCGCAACTCTTGGGTCTTCGAGAAAAAAAAGATGGCTGAGCATGTTATTATACACAAGGCTGCTGTTTTGGCTTGTGAATATGAAGAGGCAATGTTTCAGAGTGTTGGTGGGCTGCAAACTCAATCTTTGGGGTCAGTTTGGAAGGCGCCTCCAGCTGGGTTTTATAAGCTAAATTCAGATGCAAACTTCTCCACCAGTATGCAGCTTGGTTTGGGAGGGGTGCTGAGAGATGCTGTGGGTGATGTGGTGGTTGCTTTCTGCTCATTTCTGCCAGGTTTTTTCAGTGTTGAAGTTGGTGAGGCGATTGTTATGCGTGAGACCCTCAAGACTGTGCTCGAGGCAGGATTTCGAAGAGTGATTCTTGAAACTGATAATATCAAGCTCTTCCATCACATGAAAAAGGGGGTGACGCCACCTAATGCCTTTGGAGGGGTAGTTAAAGACATCTTACGGATGTCAGGTTTGTGCTCGTCTGTTTCGTTTTCTTTTGTTAAAAGATTGGGCAATGGTGTGGCCCATAGCTTAGCTAGTTTGAGTTGCTCTTTTAGTGAATATCGTGTTTGGTTAGAAGAGTATCCCCTGGAAATTCAAAGGGCAGTTTGTAAGGATATTGATCTTTTGATGAATGAATAAAGCTAAGCTCGGTGTTTTGTCAAAAAAAAAAAAAAAAAAAAAAAAAGAATAGTTGCATTAGAAGTAGGTAATTATTTTAGTAAATAAAAATATATTATAGATGCATTGGAACGGTAAATGTGTAAAACAAATTTACATTAATATATAAAATGCTTAAAACGTACTCGTAGCAAACTAACAATTATAGGAAAACGCTTAAAATGACTCACGTAATCATAAACAGAGGGGATATTTTCATATTACGAAGTATTTTATTTTATCCACATAATAGTATTGTTTTAGTGCCTAATTTAAATATTTGTCCGTTTTAATTTTGGAACTCCAAGGGACAACGCGTAGAATTTTTAAAGAGTGAAGTAAAAAGTGAAAGATGAAAGAAGATTGGTATATTTTATAAGAAGGGTAAATAATTCAATTCAAAATATTTAGGAAGATTGGTACGGAGTATATTTTATAAGAAGGTAATTATGTCCATTCAAAATAAAATGCGAGTGTTACCTAGTAAACAACCCTTTTTTTTAATCGTTTGAATTTTGAAATGCTTAGAAGTTTTTTTATTAGAATGTGTGCCGACATTCTCTCTTTTTTTTTTTTTTTTTTTTTTTTTTTTTTTTTTTTTTGTTCATTGCAAACAATCAGCAAATAATTGAATTATATATCCAAACCTTGTTTAATGTCGTTTCATTTATTTACCGAGTATCCTATATTAATGTTAGACCTGGAAAATAGGTTATTCGGGTCGAGTTAATTTCGGGTTCACAAATATTTGGGGCGGGTCAGTTTGGGTCATCATTTCGGATTAAGTTTGGGTTGGGTCAAGTTCGGGTTGAGTCACTTTTGGGGTGGGATTTGGTTCGGGGATTGATTTCGGTGGTGGTTATGGTGGTTTCAGGGTGGGAATTAGTGTATGGGGTGATTTCGGTGGTGGCTATGGTGGTTATGGAGGTGGGATTTGG